GCCGCGTAGACGTTACTGCCGCGCTGCACAAGGATTTGGGCACACATTTGAGGGGGACCGCTTGGTGGGAACGTGCACTCCTGCGGGCTGGACCCACAACTGCCGGCGCCTCACGTCTGCCCAAGGCGGACATAACCTGCTCACGCGAGGATAGAGCCGCGCAGGACGGAAGAAGCCGACACAAACTCCCGGGGCGGGAGCTTGACTGACAGTTTTGGTTGAGCTGTTGCCGGACATCGTTCGCGTCCGCGGTCCTCGCGATATGGAGGGACCCAGTGCTTTGGACACCTCGTGCCCGCTCTGCCGGGGGCGCTGAACATCTAACGGGCCCGAGCAATGTGCCTTGCAGCCCGTACGTATGGTTCCAAGCATGCGGGTCCCCCGGTGGCGTTCACAGATCAGCGGCTGTGATCTCCGCAAGAGCGCACGCGGCCGCGCCTGTGTGGGCTCCTCGAGTGTGTTGGGTGAGAGACAAGAGAGACCACCCCGCGATGGAGGTCCTGCAGGGTAAACACCGCACAGCTCTGGCGGAGTCATCAAATGGAGGACGAGCGCGATGTGCCGTACATGAAAGCCTCGTTGGCAACCTCGAAAGATTTCTTCGTGCAGCCTTTGTACCGAGCCGATCAGCATGACAGGTGCGAGCTTAAGAAGTACGTGAACTTACCTTGGTGCAGGCCGCAGTGCGACGGTGTTTCTCGCAGTAGAATCCGAGCCCCGATGGTCTACAGAGCCCTGCTAGCGTGTATATGTCGTCTCGGTGAGGGTGTGCCTGTTGTACATTGCGAGGGGCTGTATGGAAGCGATGGGAATGGCGCGGGAATGACTGTTATGCTCGAGCGTGCTCGACTCGGAGCGAATTCGGAGGTGCTGTGTACAAGCGAGACGTGATGGCAAGTATGGTCAGGAACCTTATGAGAGAGTCTGGGCACCGAGTTTCGGCTCGCGCCGCCTGATACGTGCCACCGCCGGAGTGGACATAGTCACTGGAAGAGCAGGGCAGCTTATGAGCGTACACGCACGAGAATTCGCCGCTGCGCAAGGCGCGAACTGCACAGAGCTTAGCATGAAAGGAATACGGCACATGCCATGCGCATCACCAGAAATCTGCTGCTTACCTGAGATGTGGCATTCACGAGTGTCGTGCCGAAGAGCGTGCCATCTGCCCTTCCCGGACGGTACAATGCGGAAGAGGCTTTCCTGTATTGAAATGACGCGCTCGCGACTTCCAAACGAGGGCTGGGTCACTGTGGCAGAAGTCTGATCCTCGCCTACCAAAGCTCCGACGGCGTGACACGCATAACTCGGGCTAGTCGATGATATGCAGCCGGCGAAATGAAGTAGTGAGCGCAGCCATTCCTTGCGTATATGAGAATACGCACGCGGGTCCTGCACATCCATAGTCGACGAGGATGGCAAGCAAGGGCGGGAGATACTGAGTAGCTGCTCGCAAAGTAAGCAGTACAGTATCGCATGGGGAGATCATTGCAGGCTAGATTAGCAAAAATATCGCCAGATTTGGGCGCGGGGCAAGAGCTCACTGTTTTTCCTCTTCGCGTCGGAGGGGAACCGGTTCTCACGCACCCAGATGTAACAACCTGAAAAAGAATATCAGTGCTATTTGCACAACAGGGAGAGTGTGAAATGCTCACCCGTCTCCGCGATGTTGAGCATATGCCCATAAGACTATGACCGCTGACGTTCGGACCGCCATGGCTTCCCCCGAACTGCCCGACGTGCCCCCTTCCCCGCCCTCCGTCTTCCCGGAGGAGCCCCCCACCGTGACGTTCTTGCCTCTCCAACCCTACACCGCCCTAGAGCCCGAGTCTGCTTTTCCGACCACTCGCGATGGCTTGCGCATGGAGCTCCGTACTGAAGTCATCGGCGAGTTTCGTGAGTACCAATCGCGCGCTCTTTCCACCGTCCAGCTGCTCACAATGATTCTAGGCAGACTCACCGGCGTCGACGACGCGAACCTCAGCTATTCGGAGAAGCTATACGCAAAGAACACCGTCATCAGAGACGGGTGGAAGCTGTGCGGATGGCCGAAGAAGATTCCGTTCACGGACTTCAACAGCATCCGGGGAGGGAACACGGCGCTGTGCACGCTGCTCCGTCGCTGGCGGAAGGGCGTTCTGAGGTTCGAGCGTGCGACCCCCGAGGACATCGAACTTGCAAGGCGCAACCCGAGCGCGGTCCGCCCGGGTGCTGCGAGGAAGAAGGCGCGTCCATCGCCGGCCGCGGCCGCGCCTTCTTTGAACGACTCCGTCAACGTCTCCCCGCTCGCCGACGACCCAGGTAGCCCGAGCACCATCTGTGAGCATTCGACATTGCGAGTCCAGCCAGCGCCCGCGGCCGCTCTCGGCGAACACCAGCGCCAGCAGCGTATGGACACGAAGAAGCCTCGCGGCCGAGACCTCACGGGGCCGTATGTCCGCAAGAACCCGTTGCCAAAGGAGGGCGTCAAGAGCAAGCCGTTCATCATCGACTCTGACGTCGAGGACGACTTCGGACAGCCTGCGGCGGAGCACGGGGAGTTCTATATATTCGACGAGCCGATGCCGGCATTCCAACCTGCCAGTGACGCGGAAGGCGGCTTGTTCGCCTTGTTCGCCTGTTCTCCATTCGAGTCCAACGGACGCCCGAGCGGCACCATGCGCCTCTCGGACGTCGTGATGGGTTTGTAGCCTGAGGCGGAGGAAGGGTCAGGCTCGGAGTGGGATTGGCGAGTGTTCGTACCTGCTCGGGGGCTGGCGCGAGCATATTCGTAGTTCTTGTGCTCGCAGCGCGGATTATATTCACAATTAATTGGAATTCTTGGGCAATGCTGGCCGTTGCGTCCGTTGAGAGTGAGCAGGGAGGGCGTTGAGACAAAGGTTTGGAGACGGCGGTGGTGGGCGTCTCAAACGAGGCTTCTTTCCCGTTCAGGCAGACATGCGCGCTTGCGGATCGTTCCTTCGTCCTGCTCACTCATTCAAGTTGCGTGCCCAGCCTGCCTTGGAGGAAACTCGCTCGCCCGCCCGCAATGCGAGGTCTCCGATTTACTGGCAGAGCGTGTTTCGGGTTCTCGTAATGCATGACTAATGCACAAGCCTCTACGGCGGTTCATGTGCTCAGGCTTGAGCCGGGCAGGCATCGACATACAGCGAAATCCGACAAGGATTTCTCGGTTTAAGGTATGTGCAACCCGCAGCCGTGATATATCGAACCTGACGCGCCTCTAGGCTCAACAAAGTGTCCCTGGTCCGCAATGGAAGACGCGGCTTCCGATCATTGCAAGGGAAGTGAATTCCCCCAATTTGAACTAGGCTCCCCTCCGCCGACAGATTTCGGATCTGGAGCGCTCGCACGCTGACAGTGACACGGTATATAAGGTTTCTGAGCGCGCAAAATCACTCCTAGTCGCCAACACCCCCTCCCTGCCGTTTCGTGTTTTCCTCCAGCTCGACCTGGCCTCGCCCCATCTGCGGCTACTTTGTACCACTGTGTCAGCTGTTGGCACCCCCGGGCCGGGCTCGCTCCCCCTTCTTTACCAGGCTGCTCTTCTTTACGACGGCCGTCTTCTCTGGGAACAACTCGCGAGGAGAGGTCAGCTCGCGACCGGTCCAGTGGCGGCAGCTTGGTAGCTTCGTGCGGCGGCAATGGAGGCGCCAAATTTGGTGGGCACTTCGCCGCGCATGCCAGTGTGTCTCCGCTGACACGGCGAGTTCTCGAGAGTCCGCGCGTGGGGCTGGCCCGCGACATAAGTTCGCTCGCTCAATGCTGGGCACGGGTTCAGGGGACTATGCATCTGTGGTGAATGTTAGGGTGAGTCTCGAGCCGTCTAACCGCGTTCGCCTGCTAATTCAAGGACTGTGGCAGCAGCTTGCGCCGAGTCTTGGGCTCCCTCTATGCAGTTAGGCGCCCGCACCGGAAATCGAATTTCTAGGCCTCCTCACACCCTCTTTGTGGCGTGCAAGCTGGTCGATTGAGGCGGTGCAGGCGCGCAAGCCCGGTGCGCGGTGTGAACGTACGCCTAAGCCCTCCTGCGGTGTTTTTGAGTCCACGCGCGGCACCGGCCCGCGACATGAACTCGTTCACTCAACGCTCGGCACCGGCCCAGGAGTCCATCTATCTGCGGTGAATAACATTAGGGTGAGTTTCGAGCCGTATAACTGCGGATTTCGCTGACTGATTCAAGGACTGTGGTAGTCGCTAGCTCCGAGTCTTAGGTTCCCTCCACGCAATTGGGCGCTCGCTCAGAAATGTGTATTTCTGGGTCTCCCCGCGCTCAAGTTCGTGACGCGCAGGGCAGTCGGTTCGGGCGAATAATATCCGGTATTGTGCTGCATTCACTTGGTGCGATGTGTGCGCGCATGATGCCGCTGCGGCGGTGCGATGGCACATCGCCATTCTGATCTCGCGCGGTGTTGCTCTACTGCCCGCGCATTTACTTTCGGTACGTCTCAATCTCTATGCGCCCCCAACGGGGATGCATGCTCATTCCGGCTCAGAATGAGGTCGCACATACTCGTATCGTGGCAAGTACGACGTAGAAAGTCCAGCGTACGCGCGGAAAAGGCGGTTTGGCTGGTGTAGGTGCAGCAACCGCAACCGCAGAGGCGGGGAGGGTCGCTGCGGCGGTGTGCTCAGGCGAACAGACGGGGCGGGCGTCCGAGTCGGTAGCGCGCGAGGCACCGTGTATCCTCGCATTCTCTCGATACTGCTATCCATGCTGCATGTCCGAGGCGAAAATCATGTATTCATTGACAGTGTATCTACGTTATGTACATCTTCGCGACGCTCTCGCCGCGTGTGCTCGATCCCACCGTGTGCCTGCCGACCTCGACCTCCCTCCCGCCCTGCCACCGCCGCCCACCAACCCTCACCGCCAACCAGCCCTCACCACCCTCCCATACTTACCGACTCGTTCTCCAGCCTCCAGCCCCGGCAGTCCGCACCGTCCGCGCCGTCCGGGAGCCCGATTGACCGTTCTATATCATCCCGCGAGCGCCCCCTCTCTACTCATCCACGAGCTCCCCAGAGGAGTCTACGCTCCCGCCAAGGTGCTCCCACGCCGCCCTGATCTTGTTCATCTCGTCCGTGACCGCCTGCAGCTCCGCCATGAACGTGACCAGCGCGTCCGGGTCGAGGTCGTCCATGTCCGCGTCGCCGTCCGCGTCGTCGTCCCCGCTCGCCTCCCCGTTCAGCATGCGTTCGATCCGGTCCCGCCGCTGCGCCTGCTCCTGGTACAACCGGATATACACCAAGAAGCACGTCTTGTAGTACCCGCGCAGGCCCGTGCGGTCTGCGGGGATCGCCGCGCGGGGCTTGAAGCGGGCAGGGTGCCTCTGCTTCACCTTGAATTTCTTCGCGGCGGGCTCGACACGGGGTGGGGGGTCGGACTCATCAGAGGACGAGGTGAATTGGATCGAGGGCCGACGACGCTTCGTGCTTGACGCGCGATGCGGGCCATCGTCTTTCGCGCTCGCGCTCGACGATGAGGACGAGGGCGGCTGCGGGTTCTCCGGCATCGAAGGCCTGGGCGGCAGAGACGAGCGCGGCGGTGGCGAGGACGCGAGCGATAGCGGCGACGGCTCCTTCTTCACCTTCATGGGCGGCGGGCGCAAAGGCGAGGGCTCGCGCAGCACGGGCTTCTTTGGTAGCGAATGGTCCCGCCCGCGCGGCTTCTCAGCGGCGCTCTGCTGGTCGTCCAAACGGCGCTTCTTCGTGTTGCTGAGCGGGACGTCGCGTTCCGAATACTCAGAGTCGTCTCCGTCTCGCGGAGCCTTCTTGCGCTTCAGAGGAACAGGCGACCCTTGTCCTCTGGATCGCTGCCGCTCGTCTGCCGCACTCTGTCGCTCGCGCTCGCGCAGCCGCTCTTCTCGTCGTTCTTCCGCAGCACGCTCCTCCTTGGTCTTCTTCCTGAACTGGGGCGTGGAGCTCTTGGGCTGCGGCGATGGCATCGGCGCTGCGATCGGTGGGAGCGGCCGTGCCGACCCCGAGGGCGCAGGTAGCTCGCGCTCTCGCTTGCTTTCTCGAGCATCCACCGGTCCTGTTCTCTTCGGAGGAAGAGGCGAGTGTGCGCGCAGGTCGGTGGCGGGTGGTGTGGCGGACGCCTTCGGGATGAGCTTGAATCCGGATCCAGGCCTCCGGATCGTAGGCCGCGTCGCGCTAGTGGGCGTACCAGCGCCGCTTCCCTCGTCCGTGTCGCGTTCGCGCGCTCTACCCTTGACGCTGTGCTCATCTCGACCCGGACGCGCGCTTTCGTCCTTCGCGATGATGATATCTGGCACCTTCTTCCGCACTCCCTCCGCAGGCTTCGCTTTCTTCGTCGTGCCTTTAGACATCATGCCCTTCTTGGGCTCTACGCCCGCCGCGCTGGGGCCCGCCGCTGACTTGGCCGACGCGCCGTCGGCTTCGCGATAGCGCGCATGCTCCCAGACGGGGTCGGACTCTGGGATCCTCAGGCTCTTGTAGATCCCGCGTGCCTGCCGCGATAGACTCAGGCGTTCGTCCGGTTCCAACAAGGGCCATCCGTACGGCCGCACGTCGCGCCACGACTCAGGCTTCAGCTCCCATAGCTGGGGCGTATCAGGGCCGCTGCCCCTAGTTCCAACCTTCGGCTGCCCCACCTGCGCAGCTGTCAGAGAGCGCGTATAGTCACATACTAACCAGACAACTCACGCTGTGCAACAGTGAGATCACTTCCTTCTTCATCTGCGGAGACGGATCCTTCCCCACACACAACCCGATGGCCTGATCGGATGTCCGAGGCTTGAGCGCCAGGCAATGGATCAGACGCGCTCTCGTCGGGGGAACCTCGTTTGTTGATCCATTCCCGTGGGAGCCAGAGGCCGGAAGCGGTGACGCCACCCTCGTCTTCATGCCCGACGGCGGGCGGTTGACCGGGGGCAGAGCTGGGCGACGAGGGGCTGTCGCGTCCTTCCGTCTCCCCTTTGCGCTGGAGCGGCTCAGATCCGGGGGCGTGTCGAGGTATATGGCCTTACGCTCGGTGCGCTGTTTCTCGGCCTCTAGCGTTCGGTCACGCACCGAGCTTTCGACCTTCTCCCCGAGCTGGCGGTCCACAGTAAACTTGCCGATGACGTTGGCGTACATCTTGAGGGGGGCCATGGGCTTTTGCGCCGAAGCCATGCGGAGGTATAGTTCGTGGGGGCCGTTCTCTTGGTCAGCTCGTACAGAGTAAAAGGCATCGTTGATGTAAAGTCCCTATATGCTTGTTAGAGATACATGTGCGGGGTAAGAAGACGAAGATAACGCACTGGGGTCTTCCCGAACTCGAAGTGCAGTTTGGGGAGGTTCTGCGCGTCCTCCAGCTGCTCAAAGGTCTCCGCCGACATGCGGAACAGCATGGCCTGCTTGGGTTTGGTGTGCATAAGATCTCCGGGACCAGGCTGTCCCTGCAGGGTGAGGGTTGCGTCGGGTGGAAGAGGCATGGTGGCTAGGGTATCAGAGTCGGACAATGCAGCAGCGAGTGGCGCGGTATGGGGGAACGTCAGAGGGAGGTACAGGCCAATCCACTGCGCAGAGCCGCCTATATAGGCAGATATGGCGGGTATATGCGTCGACGACAGCGACAGCAACGGGGACAACGATGTGGGCCCGAGCGTGCACGGCGGGGAGGTGGGGAGGAGAGACTGAGTTGCGGTTGTGGCACCGCCGTCTGGTCAGATCGTATCAGTCCACGTGCGCTAGCCGCCCGCCTCGCCCCAGTCCGCGTTAGGCCTCAAACCTTCGCGGACGCTTCTCTTCATGAGCTGCGAGGCACGCCCTCGTCCAGCCCTCCCGCTGCGACGACCGGTGACGTCGTTGGCCACCGCGTCACCGCTCGTTCTCGTGTGCACCACCAACTGCATTGCTGCGACACTAGTATGTACACGGGCGCCCGTCTCTACTCTAGTCGACTACTAACCCCCCAATGCTTACCTCCGTCGCACGAGCAGCCTCGGCCTGCACGTGTACCGCGCGCCGATGATCAGTGCTACGGCCTCCACTTACCACTCGACCGCCCTCGCCCTGGTGTCTCCGGTGCTGCATACTAACTCCTGAAAGGTAGAAGACGGTTAGCGACGACGCATTCCGCCGAAACCCACCCTTCGTGTGCTGCACGCCGCTCTGCTACGACTGCAAGTGAGTGATCCGACCCTACCTTACCCGCAAATCGAACGCTGACACGCATGGTCAGCATGTATGCGCGCGCGAGTCGTGAATAACGCAAGGACATGCTCGTCGTGGACGGCGCCGTACGTTCACCGTCATATTCGCAATGACGGCGGCGGCGTAAGCTGTACACACACAGTCAGCGGACAGATGGTCGCAGGAGCCACGACCCAGGACGTACCGGACGACACAGCGCATTCAGTGTTCGACGAAACGAGGGCGGTGGGCGAAGAGGTGGGGATGGGCCTCCTCTCAACGCCCTCCGCCAGCTTTTAACCGTCCCAGGATGCGCACGGACCGCCCCCTCGTCCTGGACATGCACCGTGCACGCCCGGGAGCCTGAGCTCGCTCTTCGGGTCGTGGCGCGCTCGCCATCTCTGCCGCCGGCGCCCCGTCCACGCTCGGACGTCAACGCTGTCCGGGCCCCACGCACACGCATCCCTGACGGCGTATCCCAGCCTGGACGGCGCACGTTCCGCGCCGAGCGAGCAGCGTCCCCCAGCGCAGGCGTCCCGCCTCCTTCGCCGCCCTGCGCATCGTCTGCGGGCTACGTACCCCGCCGCTCGAATGTGTGCAGCTCGGTGCGGCACAGACCGCCCTCTCCGTGGGGACAGCACGCACACGGGGCGCGGGGCGCAGAGCGCAGCTCGTTGCGGCTAGCACGTTCGCAAGGTACGTACACGGTACACCGCGCTCGACGTTCGCACTCTCGATCTGATGCCCCCGTGCCCCGAAGCGAGCATGGACGCCGTTCCCATTTGCGTCCAAGACGCCGTCTCCGCGCATGCCCGACGCACAGCGGGCATGTCGCATGGTCCGCGTGCTTCGCACCGTCGTGTACGCCGTGCCGCATGCGCCCTCGCCTCTCGTCGGCGGGGCCCCTCCCCTCTCGAGGCCGACTCCCGCCGCGACGTCTCCCCGTGCGGCTTCCTGAACGCGATGGCGCGCTCACGCGCACCACGACGCATGTACACTACAGTACGCAGTGCCGTCCGCGCAAATATATTGCGTCATCTTCGCCCGTTGGATGGCTGGAAGGAGGCAGAATACGGCGCGTCCCCGCCCGCTGTTACGTCCTTCAGTGGCGTTCCTCGGTCCACGCGCATGGGCGGACGTCTGCGGGGCTCTCCGCCGTGCACAGACGCGTGCGGGCAGTGCATGGCGGCATTTCGGCGGGCGGCGCCGACGCGCAACGTCCTCGAACTGTGAGCACAGGGGCACGTTGTGCGTGCTCGGGACGCCGCTCGAGGACGCCCCCAGCGTCCTCAGCATTCGCGCATCGTGCGCGGTCGTCCCGGGGACGGGGGCGCGCCGACAGAATGCCACTCTCGCGCCTCGGCGCCGCACCAGAGGCCTTCGTAACCGCGATAGCATGTTGTATCACACCGGGACGCATGGCGCCGCCCAATCCCAGGGCAATCAGGCGAGCTCGTCTCCGCGTCGTTCCACGGCCAGAAACCAGATGAGAACACAAAATCACGGCTCGCGGTCCGTGCTCGTGTCGCCCCGCGGCGCGGCGTGGAACGTTAGGCAACACGACGGCCTCCCGCCGTTTCCCGCCGCTCCCAGCTGTGCGCGGCGGCCTTGGGACAAGCTAAGCTGGATCTCGACGATGTCGCGGGGCCACTCGTTCGCGCGCGTTCGCGCACGTCGAGACGCCGCTGCGGAGCGGGCCTCTCGACCTCAATTGACGTGCATGCGCTGTACATCAGCAGGGCTCCCCTCGCCGCCGTAGTTCGCGGCCGCGGGACGCACGCAGTCGCTGCGGTGTCGCGCGAGCGCGGGTACATTTCCACGAAACATCGCGTTCCCGCCGCGCCCTGCGTTCCTCGCCTTCCGAAACGCACGCACACACTCTACGCACCGGGTCGCATGCGCTCTGTGAGTCTCGGCGCGATCCGGGCGTAAACTGCTGACCGCGTTTCCGGTGGTTTCATGGGCAGAACCGGCGGAATGCAGAAAAACGCGCGTCCCGACCTCCGTGCACATCCTCCCGCGGCGCGATGTCGCGAACGCGCTCGAGCGGACGTCTGCGATGGGCCCTCGCTACGCGTGAATGTGTGCGAGGAGAAAAGTTGCCCGTCGACGATTTCGTAAGGGGGGACCCTTGGTGCGTGGCCCGGCGGTGCGTCTGTGCGTATATATTTCGTACTCCATGTATTGAAGTGATGTATACCATCTAGAACGCGGCGGATGGACACACAGCATGCAATCCACATGCGCTCGCGGCGCTCGATCGTCGCTGTGCTCGTCCGGGTGCTGTGCCAATGGGGGAGCCTCCCCAGAATCTCGCCAAAACATCGCTTCTCCGTCGGGTTCTGCATCTGGGGCCGTCCAAAACGCACCTATGCGCTCCGTGAACCAGGCCACGTACGCTCCGTGAGTACCAGTGCGATCCGAGGACAAAATGTTGACGTCGTTGCCGGTGATTTCATGGACAGGACCAGCAGAACACAGAGAAATGCACGTCCTGGCCCGTATTTTCATCCTCCCGCCGCGTTCTTCTGCCAACGAACTTGGATGTGCGTCCGGTACATGCGTCTACACGCCTGCATGTTCCCGGAGAAATAAGTTTCTGCTCGATGATTTCGAAAGGGGGGACCCTTAGCGCCGGGTCTGGAGGTACGTCTGTACTTATACAGCTCGCACTCCACGTATTGAGACGCTACAAACAATCTAGAACGCGGCGCAGGGACGTACAGCATGCGATACACACGCGTACGTGGTTCTCAGTCGTCGCTGTGCTCGTCCGGGCGCTGTGTCAATGGGAAAGAATCCCAGAATCACGACAAAACATCGCTTCGCCGCCGGGCCCTGCATCGGGAGCCTTCCAAAACGCACCCACATACTCCGCCAACCGGGTCACATGCGCTCGGTGAGTACCAGCACGATCCGAGAACAAAATGTTGACCTCGCTGCCGGTGATTTCATGGGCAGAACCAGCAGAGCACCGAAAAATGCGCGTCCTGGCCCGTATTTTCGTCCTCCCGCGGCGTGCTTCGACCAGCGCGCTCGGATGTACGTCCGCTACACGCGCTCAGACGCTTGGATGTCCGCGGAGAAATAAGTTTCCGCTCGACTATTTCGAAAGGGGGGACCCTTAGCGACGGGTTAGAGGTGCGTCTGTGTGAATACAACTCGCATTCAAAGTGCTGATGACGTCTCATCTATCTAGAACGCTGCGTATAGACGTACATCATGCGATACGCACACGTGCACGATGCTCGGTCGTCGTCGTACTCGCACCGGCACTATTCTCGCTGGGAAGCATGCTCAAAATCCCGCAAAAACGTCGATTCCCGTCGACTCCCGTTTCGGGTGCCCTCGAAATCGCAGACGCACACTCAGTGCACCAAATCGCGTGAGCTCGGTGAGTTTCAGCGCGATCCGAGGACAAAGTATTTGCCTCGTTATCGACGATTTCATGGGCGGAGCCAGCAGGACGTGAAAAAATGCGCGTCGCAACCTCTGTTTGCATCCTCCCGCCGCGCGCTTTCGCGAAAGTGCTCGAGTGGACGTCTCCGACGCATGCTCGCTGCGCTTGAATGTGCGCGGCGAGAACATGCCTCTCGGCGAATTCGCAAGGGGGGGCCCTTAGCGCCGGATCTGGAGGTACGTCAGTGCGAACATATCTCATATACAAAGTGTTGAGATGCTCTTGACAGTCTAGAACGTGGCGCGTGGACGTACGGCATGCACTGCGCATGCACACAAGGTACTCGGTCGACGCCGCACCCGCGCTCGCGCTGTACTCATCGGGAGCATCCCCAGAATCCCGCCAAATCATCGCTTCCCCTCCCGCGACGGCACCGGGAGCCCTCGGAAACGCAATCACACGAACAGTGCACCATTACGCGCGTGTTCGGTGAGTTCCAGCCCATTCTGAGCACAAAAGGTTCGTATCCTCTCCGACGTTTTGCATTCCCAGCGATGGGGCCGCGGCAGAGAATTCGCGCGACGGCCGAGTTTGGCATCCTCCCGCGTCGCGCTTTCGCACACATGCGCGAGCGAACGTCTGCGTCGCGCTCTACCACGCTCCAGTGTGCGCGCTGGCGAAGTTGCATTTCGATGATCTGCAGTTTGTACGAGGGGAACCTTGGGGCTGCATCTGAGTTCGGTAATAATCCATGCCCCGAACATGTAAACACTTCGTAGACGTGTAGAACACGGCATGGGATCTGCGAACCATGCTCCACACATGCACCGCGTGCTCGGTTGGCCTTTGACAACACATCCCGAGGTATCTTTGAAAATTCGACTTGTGGACATTTAAATTGAGTTACCGCGTGCAGAAGGTCAAAGCCTGGGTGTGCATTGGAACTGCGCACACCAGTGCGGATATATCATATCCCTGAGATGTGAATGAATACACTGCGTGCGCGTTGGGAAGGCGACACGGGGTCCTGCGCACTCCTCGCCACAAGGTTCGCGGCCATTACTATATTGCACCTGCGCCGTGGGGCGTAACCCGACAAGACGTTGTCCTCCTCGATCCGATACCGCCTCTAGAAGCTTCGCGAACACATAGACGTGCTTCCCCGCACCGAGGCGCATGTTTCAGACCAGCCGCAGCGCCGTCCGCGACAATAGCACGTCGTCAAGACATTGTAGATAATGTGCCTATGGTAAGATATATTTCGCAGACCAACCGACTTCACGTATGGATCCTGCACACATACTGCAGGATGCGGCCTCCACCCGTGGCCCTCTACGACGACAGTCACATAGGCCTCGCGCATTGTGCTGCTCGAGTCGCACGTCCGTCCGCCGCCGTCGCTCCCGCTGATGTCGGACATTGACGCTACACTGGCAGGATCACATCCCTGCAACGTGTCTGCTAGCAGCAGCCTATAATGATATCGGAGACGTCGGTGAGAACGAAAGGAAATGAACCTGCGCGAACGGGGGAAATGCCGTACCGTATGACGAGGGTTTCGCCGGCGGAAGCGAAGAACACGGCGTGCGCCCCACAATGAGCGCGGCCTAGCTCGTCTTGAAGACGCGCGCTGACCCTGATACGAGTACGTGCTCCGATAGACCACTGGCAGCACGTTCCCGCTGCCGCGTAGACGCTACTGCCGCGCTGCACAAGGATTTGGGCACACGTTTGAGGGGGACCGCTTGGTGGGAACGTGCACTCCTGCAGGCTGGACCCACAACTGCCGGCGCCTCACGTCTGCCCAAGGCGGACATAACCCGCTCACGCGAGGATAGAGCCACGCAGGACGGAAGAAGCCGACACGAACTCCCGGGGCAGGAGCTTGACTGACAGTTTTGGTTGAGCTGTTGCCGTACATCGTTCGCGTCCGCGGTCCTCGCGATATGGAGGGACCCAGCGCTTTGGACACCTCGTGCCCGCTCTGCCGGGGGCGCTGAACGTCTAACGGGCCCGAGCAATGTGCCTTGCAGCCCGTACGTATGGTTCCAAGCATGCGGGTCCCCCGGTGGCGTTCACAGATCGGCGGCCGTGATCTCCGCAAGAGCGCACGCGGCCGCGCCTGTGTGGGCTCCTAGAGTGTGTTAGGAGATGAGAGAGAGACCACCCCGCGATGGAGGTCCTGCGGGGTAAACACCGCACAGCTCTGGCGGAGTCATCAAATGGAGGACGAGCGCGATGTGCCGTACATGAAAGCCTCGTTGGCAACCTCGAAAGATTTCTTCGTGCAGCCTTTGTACCGAGCCGATCAGCATGACAGGTGCGAGCTTAAGAAGTATGTGAACTTACCTTGGTGCAGGCCGCAGTGCGACGGTGTTTCTCGCAGTAGAATCCGAGCCCCGATGGTCTACAGAGCCCTGCTAGCGTGTATATGTCGTCTCGGTGAGGGTGTGCCTGTTGTACACTGCGAGGGGCTGTATGGAATCGATGGAGATGGCGCGGGAATGACCGTTATGCTCGAGCGTGCTCAACTCGGAGCGAATTCGGAGGTGCTGTGTATAAGCGAGACGTGATGGTAAGTATGGCCAGGAACCTTACGAGAGAGTCTGGGCACCGAGTTTCGGTTCGCACCGCATGATACGTGCCACGAGCCAGAGTGGCCATAGTCACTGGAAGAGCAGGGCAGCTTATGGGCGGAGACGCATGAGAATTCGCCCCTGCACAAGGTGCGAACTTCCCGCCCTTTCCACACCCGCACAGAGCTTAGCATGAAAGGAATACGGTGCATGCCGTGCGCATCAACAGAAATCTTCTGCTTACCTGAGATGTGGCATTCACGAGTGTCATGCCGAAGAGCGTACCATCTGCCCTTCCCGGATGGTACGATGCGGAAGAGGCTTTCCTGTATTGAAACAATGCGCTCTCGACTTCCAAACAAGGTCCGTGCGCGACAGAAGTCTGATCCTCGCCTACCAAAGCTCCGACGGCGTGACGCGCACAACTCGGGCTAGTGGATATTATGCGGCTGGCAAAATGAAGTAGTGAGCGCGGCCATTCCTTGTGCATCTAAGAATACGCACACGGGTCCTGCACATCCGTAGTCGACGAGGATGGAAAGCAAGGGCGGGAGATACTGAGTAGCTGCTCGCAAAGTCAGCAGTACAGTATCGCATGGGGAGATCATCGCGGGCTAGATTAGCAAAAATATCGCCAAATTTGGGCGCGGGGCAAGAGCTCACTGTTTTTCCTCTTCGTGTCGGAGGGGAACCGGTTCTCACGCACCCAGATGTAGCAACCTGAAAAAGAATATCAGTGCTATTTGCACAACAGGGAGAGTGTGAAATACTCACCCGTCTCCGCGGTGTTGAGCATATGCCCATAAGACTATGACCGCTGACATTCGGACCGCCATGGCATCCCCCGAACTGCCCGACGTGCCCCCTTCCCCGCCCTCCGTCTTCCCGGAAGAGCCCCCCACCGTGACGTTCTTGCCTCTCCAACCCTACACCGCCCTAGAGCCCGAGTCTGCTTTTCCGACCACTCGCGATGGCTTGCGCATGGAGCTCCGTACTGAAGTCATCGGCGAGTTTCGTGAGTACCAATCGCGCGCTCTTTCCACTGTCCAGCTGCTCACAATGATGCTAGGCAGACTCACCGGCATCGACGACGCGAACCTCAGCTATTCGGAGAAGCTATACGCAAAGAACACCGTCATCAGAGACGGGTGGAAGCTGTGCGGATGGCCGAAGAAGATTCCGTTCACGGACTTCAACAGCATCCGGGGAGGGAACACGGCGCTGTGCACGCTGCTCCGTCGCTGGCGGAAGGGCGTTCTGAGGTTCGAGCGTGCGACCCCCGAGGACATCGAGATTGCAAGGCGCAACCCGAGCGCGGTCCGCCCGGGCGCTGCGAGGAAGAAGGCGCGTCCATCGCCGGCCGCGGCCGCGCCTTCTTTGAACGACTCCGTCAACGTCTCCCCGCTCGCCGACGACCCAGGTAGCCGGAGCACCATCTGTGAGCATTTGACCTTGCCCCAGCCAGCGCCCGCGGCCGCTCTCGGTGAACACCAGCGCCAGCAGCGTATGGACACGAAGAAGCCTCGCGGCCGAGACCTCACGGGGCCGTATGTCCGCAAGAACCCGTTGCCAAAGGAGGGCGTCAAGAGCAAGCCGTTCATCGTCGACTCTGACGTCGAGGACGACTTCGGGCAGCCTGCGGCGGAGCACGGGGAGTTCTATATCTTCGATGAGCCGATCCCGGCGTTCCGGCCTGCCAGTGATGTGGAAGGCAGCATGTTCGCCTTGTTCGCCTGTTCTCCGTTCGAGTCCAACGGACGCCCGAGCGGCACCATGCGCCTCTCGGACGTCGTGATGGGTTTTTAGCCTGGGGCGGAGGAAGGGTCAGGCTCGGAGTGGGATTGGCGAGTGTTCGTACCTGCTCGGGGGCTGGCGCGAGCATATTCGTAGTTCTTGTGCTCGCAGCGCGGATTATATTCACAATTAATTAGAATTCTTGGACGATGCTGGCCGTTGCGTCCGTTGAGAGTGAGCAGGGAGGGTGTCGAGACAAAGGTTTGGAGACGGCGGTGGTGGGCGTCTCAAACGAGGCTTCCTTCCCGTTCAGGCAGATTGGCCGGACTTGGGCGCTTGAGTATCATTCCTTCGTCCTGCTCTCTCATCGTGCACTCAGCCTGCCATGGAGGAAGTGCGCCCGCACGCTCGCAATGCGAGGTCTCCAATTTATTGGCAGAACGTGTTTTGGGCTCTCATAATTTATGGCTAATGCATGAGCCTCTACGACGGTTCATTACGGGCTCAGGCTCGAGCCAGGCGGGCGTTGACATCCAGCGAAATCCGACAAGGATTTCTCGATTTAAGGTATGTGCAACCCGCGGCCGTGATAAATCGAACCTGATGCGCCTCTAGGTTCAACAAGGTGTCCCTGGTCCGCGATGGAAGACGTAGCTTCATTGCGAGGGAAGCGAATTCCCCCAAATTGAAGCGGGCACCCCTCCGCCGACAGATTTCCGATCTGACGTGCTCACACGCTGACAGTGACACGGTATATAAGGCTTCTGAGCGCGCAAAATCACTCCTAGTCGCCAACGCCCCCTCCCTGCCGGTTCGTGTTTTCCTCCAGCTCGACCTGGCCTCGCCCGCATATGCCTCGCCCCATCTGCGGCTAGTTTGTACGACTGTGTCAGCTGTTGGCACCCCGGGCTCGCTCCCCCTTCTTTACCAGGCTGCTCTTCTTTACGACGGCCGTCTTCTCTGGGAACAACTCGCGAGGAGAGGTCAGCTCGCGACCGCTCCAGTAGCGGCAGCTTGGTATGCGAGCGTGTGCTTCGTGCGGCGGCAATGGAGGTGCCAGATTTGGTGGGTACCTCGCCGTGCATGCCAGTGTGTCTCCGCTGACACCGCGAGTTCTCAAGAGTCCGCGCGTGGGGCTGCCCCGCGACATAAGTTCGCTCGCTCAATGCTGGGCACGGGTTCAGGGGACTATGCATCTGTGGTGAATGCTAGGGTGAGTCTCGAGCCGTCTAACCGCGTTCGTCTGCTAACTCAAGGACTGCGGCAGCTGCTTGCGCCGAGTCTTGGGCTCCCTCTGTGCAGTTAGGCGCCCGCACCGGAATCGAATTTCTAGGCCTCCTCACACCCTCTTTGTGGCGTGCAAGCTGGTCGATTAAGGCGGTGCAGGCGCGCAAGCCCGGTGCGCGGTGTGAACGTACACCTAAGCCCTCCTGCGGTGTTTTTGAGTCCACGCGCGGCACCGGCCCGCGACATGAACGAGTCGTTCACTCAACGCTCGGCACCGGCCCAGGAGACCATCTACCTACAGTGAATAACATTAGGGTGAGTTTCGAGCTGTATAACTGCGGATCTCGCTGACTGATTCAAGGACTGTGGTAGTCGCTAGCTCCGAGTCTTAGGTTCCCTCCACGCAATTGGGCACTCGCTCAGAAATGTGTATTTCTGGGTCTCCCCGCGCTCTTCGTGACGCGCAGGGCAGTCGGTTCGGGCGAATAATATCCGGTATTGCGCTGCATTCACTTGGTGCGATGTGTGCGCGCATGATGCCGCTGCGGCGGTGCGATGGCACATCGCCCTTCTGATCTCGCGCGGTGTTGCTCTACTGCCCGCGCATTCACTTTCGGCACGATGCGCCCTCAACGGGGATGCATGCTCATTCCGGCTCAGAATGAGGTCGCACATACTCGTATCGTGGCAAGTACGACGTAGAAAATCCAGCGTACGCGCGGAAAAGGCGGCTTGGCTGGTGTAGGTGCAGCAACCGCAACCGCAGAGGCGGAGAGGGTAGCTGCGGCCGTGTGCTCAGGCGAACAGACGGGGCGGGCGTCCGAGTCGGTAGCGCGCGAGGCACCGTGTATCCTCGCATACTCTCGATACTGCTATCCATGCTGCATGTCCGAGGCGAAAATCATGTATTCATTGACAGTGTATCTACGTTATGTACATCTTCGCGACGCTCTCGCCGCGTGTGCTCGATCCCACCGTGTGCCCGCCGACCTCGACCTCCCTCCCGCCCTGCCACCGCCGTCCACCAACCCTCACCGCCAACCAACCCTCACCGCCAACCAGCCCTCACCGCCAACCAACCCTCACCACCCTCCCATACTTACCGACTCGTTCTCCAGCCTCCAGCCCCGGCAGTCCGCACCGTCCGCGCCGTCCGGGAGCCCAATTGACCGTTTGGTGTGGCGGACACCTTCGGGATGAGCTTGAATCCGGATCCAGGCCTCCGGATCGTAGGCCGCGTCGCGCTAGTGGGCGTACCAGCGCCGCTTCCCTCGTCCGTGTCGCGTTCGCGCGCTCTACCCTTGACGCTGTGCTCATCTCGACCCGGACGCGCGCTTTCGTCCTTCGCGATGATGATATCTGGCACCTTCTTCCGCACTCCCTCCGCAGGCTTCGCTTTCTTCGTCGGGCCTTTAGACATCATGCCCTTCTTGGGCTCTACGCCCCCCGCGCTGGGGCCCGCCGCTGACTTGGCCGACGCGCCGTCGGCTTCGCGATAGCGCGCATGCTCCCAGACAGGGTCGGACTCGGGGATCCTCAGGCTCTTGTAGATCCCGCGTGCCTGCCGCGATAGACTCAGGCGTTCGTCCGGTTCCAACAAGGGCCATCCGTACGGCCGCACGTCGCGCCACGACTCGGGCTTCAGCTCCCATAGCTGGGGCGTATCAGGACCGCTGCCCCTAGTTCCAACCTTCGGCTGCCCCACCTGCGCAGCTGTCAGAGAGCGCGTATAATCACATACTAACCAGACAACTCACGCTGTGCAACAGTGAGATCACTTCCTTCTTCATCTGCGGAGAAGGATCCTTCCCCACACACAACCCGATGGCCTGATCGGATGTCCGAGGCTTGAGCGCCAGGCAATGGATCAGACGCGCTCTCGTCGGGGGAACCTCGTTTGTTGATCCATTGCCGTGGGAGCCAGAGGCCGGAAGCGGTGACGCCACCCTCGTCTTCATGCCCGACGGCGGGCGGTTGACCGGGGGCAGAGCTGGACGACGAGGGGCCGTGGCGTCTTTCCGTCTCCCCTTTACGCTGGAACGGCTCAAATCCGGGGGCGTGTCGAGGTATATGGCCTTGCGCTCGGTGCGCTGTTTCTCGGCCTCTAGCGTTCGGTCACGCACCGAACTTTCGACCTTCTCCCCGAGCTGGCGGTCCACAGTAAACTTGCCGATGACGTTGGCGTACATCTTGAGGGGGGCCATGGGCTTTTGCGCCGAAGCCATGCGGAGGTATAGCTCGTGGGGGCCGTTCTCTTGGTCGGCTCGTACAGAGTAAAAGGAATCATGGATATAGAGTCCCTGTGTGGGTGTCAGAGTTGCACATAAGCTGTCTAGAGATGCGGACGACGCACTGGGTTCTTCCCGAACTCGAAGTGCAGTTTGGGGAGGTTCTGCGCGTCCTCCAGCTGCTCGAAGGTCTCCGCCGACATGCGGAACAACATGGCCTGTTTGGGTTTGGTGTGCATAAGATCTCCGGGACCAGGCTGCCCCTGCAGGGTGAGGGTTGCGTCGGGTGGAAGAGGCATGGTGGCTAGGGTATCAGAGTCGGACAATGCAGCAGCGAGTGGCGCGGTATGGGGGAACGTCAGAGGGAGGTACAGGCCAATCTACTGCGCAGAGCCACCTATATAGGCAGATGTGGCGGGTATATGCGTCGACGACGGCGACAGCAACGGGGACAACGATGAGGGCCCGAGCGACGAGGTGGGTGGGGGGAGGAGAGTGGTTGTGGCACCGCCGTCCGCTCTGGTCTGCTCAGATCGTATCAACCCACGTGCGCTAGCCGCCCGCCGCATGTACTAAACCTTCGCGGACCCTTCTCTTCATTAACTTTGAGCACCTCCTCCATACACCCTCTAAGCTCGCATAACTGCACCGCGACCGCCGTACATGGCTACGAATGAGAGGATATGTTTCACGTTTCAAGTGGCCTGTTCACGCGCGGTCAATAGCGCACAGTGTGAATCGATATTTGACTATCCACAGCGGTTTCAAGGCGAGATGGCCGAGCGGTCTAAGGCGCCAGACTAAGGTGTTGCAAGCTGCATAATTATCTGGTCCGAAAGGGCGTGGGTTCGAATCCCACTCTCGTCAGCTAAGTTTTGTTTTGTTGCATCGGAGTCGAGCAACGGAGGAACTTTCATGGGCGACGTGCGTTTGGCAGATGTCGTAAGGCGGTGACCAACTTGAAGGGACCCCACAATCTAGCTTTATGGCCACATGCAGGCTGTTGCATGGAAAGCTCGGTCCAACATATCGATCGTCCGAAAAGGTGGAGAAACTCTTGATAAGTACAATTGAGGCTTGGATCCAAGGCAACGACAGGGAACGAGACACGAAGACCGGGGAGCGTCACTGTGTGATGCTCGATGTGAGGGGTTGGTCCTACTCAAAGGCGGCGGAGGAATACATCCCGGCGCCGTGTGCAACGCTTGCGCTTATACGCAAACTCGACAAGGGATCCGTCTTCTCAGGGTAGATACGTACGGTCCGCGCGAACGGCCGACAATCCGGGTAGATGTAGAAGTCTTCCTCGGCCTGCGGGTCTGCGACATTGTGCTGACTGCAGGCCATGAGCGTGTCAGCGGCGGAAAAAGCTCAACTTCCGAGACGTGACACTTACCTTTTGCAATGTTCGACCACACCGGTGCGGCTGCGATGGTGGCAGCGCGTGCAGGACATCAACGGGGCCGTAATTTGGAGGTGCATGTCGAAGCCCGCCAGCGACGAGGTGATGACTTGCTCGCGCTCACGAACACGCGCAGCGAGCTCGGCGTCCAAGACCTTCCATTTGCCTCCACAGCCAGATTTTGGTCCCATCTTGAACGCGGGCGGCTTGTGCGCGACCTGATATGACCGAACAGGTGAGAACATAGACTCGGAGCGATCGGCGTACTACGCACCGCTCGCCACCAATCCAATGCTTCCCGGCATTGCACCATGGGATCTGCTGAACAAGCCGTGCAAACCAGCCTGGCCTCACATTCGTCCATCTCCTCGTGTGTTGCCATGTCCGGATCCAGCCCACAAGCAGCGACGACAGAGCGGGCGGCCGCCACCTTGGGGCTGATTGAGAACACGTTCTTGCGATCTCGCCAAGGAAACCGATGTCCCTTCTTTGCGCAAACGGTTGATAGCGCGCGCTTGTACGGGGCGCCAATGTAGGTCGAACCGCGCACGCACTTGTGCGCAAGGATGTTCGGCCATCTGAGGTCCTCGCGCTCACAGGAGGCGCAGTGGAAGGTGACGATCGCGAGCGAGAGGGGGTCGACGCCGTTTGGAGCTTTGAGGACGGCCTCAACCTTCGGAAGAAGCTCCGCTTTGCGTTCTGCAAACCATTCAGCAGCGAGGGCGGGTATCGTGTCCTGCAACGCCTCGAAATCGGCCCGAGTGATCTCTGTGGTGGAAGGCGCCTCCGCGAGTGCTTGGAATTGAGGCGCCAAGGCCAGGTCCGAAAATCCAGCCTGGATATCCGACTTGGCAGTCCTACGTCCTTGCAAATCCTCGCGGGCGGAGATGACATCGTGTAGGATGTTGAGCCGCTCACAAATGAGCTGGTGTCGCTCGTGTGCGAGGCGGGCAGTGCGTACTCCCTCCACATAGTCTACGACTTCTTGCCGGATAGATCGCCATGCTACTCTCGTCAGTTAGGGTTACAACATATTATGAGGATGATACCTAAACCTACCATTTTCAGTGAGCTTCTGGGCCTTGCGAACAACCTTGAGCGCTTCGAGCCTATGAAGGGTGTATCTTGACATGCGACCCAATTCGTCTTCCCAGCCCTCTTGCCGGAGCCGTTCCAAGATACTTCAACAAATTGTGTTAGACATGCGGACCTCTGAGTGTGTATAGCATACCTCTGGACCCGAGCTTGCCTGATGGCTTCCAATTCTGCGGCTCTACCATCTAGCTGAGCAGCCTTCCAAAGCCTCAGCGCATTAAGTGGCTGTATGCGACCTGATGAGCTGATGTCTTCTCGCTTGACAGCAGTATAACTTACAGCCTTTCTCTCCTTGAGAGTATCCGCTTGTTCTTGAATACAGCGCGTCTTCTCGTTGTCAGTTGTGCATCCTTTCCACTTTTCTTGAAGGCGCAAGACTTCGGGGAGATGGAAACAAGCCATGTGATACGGCACATGCTTCCTGTCAAATGAGGTGCTGAGAGTCAACGAAAACATGAGGCACGTCGTAAGCACTCACGTTTGTGAAACATATATTACGGTGATGAATTCTGTCACGTCCACTTCGACTTCCGTCTTTATTTCTCTCAACAAAGCGTGACCATTGAACACGTCAGGCAAGATCCTAGAGGGCCGCATGAGGCGTATTTCTCGCGGAAACGATGACTACATGTCCACCTACAGTTTGTCTTTGCACGGTTGGCAGTAGCGAGCATAGATCTCCCAGACCGTAGTCTGGATGTTCGGCTTCAGGCAGTTCTGTTATGTCGTAAGCATATACATTCAATCGAGTTTTAAATGCGTTGCTCACATGGCAGTTCGTGAAGAACAGCAAGTTGGCGTACTGTGGCTCACTTAGAAACGAAGGGCATTCAGGGAGACCCTCGACCTGCTTCCGCGCCGCCTTCCAGAAGGGCGCAGCACTTCGACTCATCAAAAAAGCGCGGAAGGCCTTCGACGTGCGCGCGATGTTTAACAGGTCGCGCGGGTGCATGCAGCTGAATATCTAGCGCATATAACGATGAGATAATGAGAAATAGGCGAGAACCAAGAGCGACCTCAAGAGAGACCAGCCGTACCTCTATCAATATATCCAGCGGCATGTTGGGTATGTCCTTGAGGCCACCACGTCTCCCACGGATAGCGCGGCGAGGGGGAGTGCGGTTGGAGGGACCTGCATCCGTAGCTGCCGAGCCTTCTAGTACAGCACTCTCCGCAGCCTGACTCGGAGGCGTGCCACTCGTAGGAGGCTCGGTGCGCGCTGTTCCCTTCCTGGCTTTCTTTCTAGGGGGCATGGTGGGAAGTTTGGATGGCTATATGCGCGAGCGAGAGTGGCACTCGAAGGGAGGGAATGAGAGTTGTAAAGAGGGAGGTTCGCGAGCGGCCGGCCGCTGCCTATGCTGTAGATCTGAGATTCGCGATCTGGATCGACGTCAACTAAGCCGTTTAGTCTCGGCAGGTCTCGCCACGGACCCTTGCAGCCTTTGCGCATGCGGACCCTCGGTTCCGATTACATTGCAAAAAGCTCTTTCAGAAACATGTAGTATTGAGCGTATCAAGCGGGAAAATCGGTTATAATAAGTTGTGATATTATTGATACCGGATAGACTATCATGTTCTGGTACTTGTGCTACATATATCAAGGAAGTCGTAATGATTAATAGTGTAGTAAAGAGAAGCCCAAGACGGCGTAGGTTCGTCATTCGAATACGGACGGCGCATAGAGACCATACCCGTACTCCACAGCAGTAGCCGCGCGGGACGCGCCGCGCTTTAGGTTCTCGGGATAGAGGGTGATGCTTCGCTCAGGAGGCCTCGAGTCGGGGTGTTCGTAGTAATCCAGCTCGGGTTGCGGGCCATTGATGTTGTGGCGACTGCAGTCAGAGGCGGCGTCAGCGATCACATAATTTTGGTGCACGGCGCACTTACCTCTCGCAGTGTTCAGCCATGGCGGCGCTGTCGTGGCAGTGGAACTCGCAATGAGCGCAACAGAGCTTCTCCTCATCAAACAACGGCCCGAGGGAGAGCAGAGTCTGGTCGTTGCACTCAACCTTTTGGACCCGGGCTGTAAGTGCCGCGTCGAGTAGCTTCCACGTGCTCTGCCCTGGGACTCCTCTGCACTGGCGTACAGTCCCAAACATGCCTCCGGAGGGCCGGCCATGTGCGACCTGTGGTGGAGCCACTTCAGCAGACGCCGTGCCCAGCACAAAAAAAGCACATACCGCCCCCCTCCAATCGAAGGTCTCCTTGCTGATAACCTCGGTATTTGGCGGACAAGCCATACATACTAGTCTGGCTTCGCTTTTGTCCATCTCCTCGTGTGTCGTCACGTCTGGATCAAACCCACACGCAGCAACAACGGAGCGCGCTACCTCTACATGGACGTTCGCAGAGAACATGTCGTCCGTCGCTGTCCACGGCGGTCGCTTTCCCTGCCATATGCAGAGCTCCACCGTTGCCTGGCCCCATGAATCTTGCCGGTATCCCACACTCCTAGCACACGAGTGTGCGAGGATGTTAGGCCACTTGAGATCCCCACGGTGACAGTTGTCACACTTGAACGTGAGGATGGCCAGTGATAGATTCGGTTGAGGGGCGCCTTCCCCATGAGGAAGAACCTCCAGAGCTTTCTTCAAAAACTCCTGTTCGCGCTCTGTGAACCACGCAGCCTTGACGGCCGGGATCGTATCCTGCAGTCGTTCGAAATCGGCCTGGGTGATCTCGGGGCTTGAGGGTGCGTCGACCAGCTCTTGGAACGGAGGTAGCTTCGCCAGATCTAGAAAGGAGGCCTGGAACTCCGTTGTCGATGTCCGGCGCCCGAGCGAAGCCTCATAGGCGGCAGCAACGTGACCAAGATAGACGAGTCGCTTGCTAAATTCCCCGAATCGTTCCTTGTCGAGGCGTGCCGCTCGCACCCCTTCCATGTGAGATATGACTTCCTGTCGGATGGACTGCCAAGCTACATGTGTGGTCGATATCACTGGTATCTCCAGTGAGAGAGGTCGACATACTGGTGTTAGAGAGCTTCTGGGACTTGCGTACAGCTTTGTTTTCTTTGAGCTGATACAGGGAGTAAGTGGTCATCCGGTCGAGCTCATCTGCCCAGCCTTCTTGTCGTAACCGGGCTACAATGCTGCACATCGCATAAGACGCGCGTATGAACGACTAGCGCAAATACGCTACTTACCTTTCATATCGAGCCTTCCTGATGTTCTCTAGTTCTTCAGTCCTGTTGTTCGATTCTGTCGCCTGCCAGGCTTTCAGAGCTTGAATCGGCTGTTGGGAAGCATCATAAACGATTGGTCGACCTATCCGCGCCGTATTACAAGACTTTACCAGGCTCCTCTGGTTGCGCGCGGCCACGCGCCCCTGGGCGAACTGAACCTTCTCCGCTTTGTTTTTGAGAGTCTTCCACTTCGCCAAAGCTTCTTCGAAGTGAGGAAGGTACACAAACGGTGTATCGTGGTAAGAATTCTTGCTAGTCTTCAGTTGAGCAATGCAACATAGGAAGAAGGTGCGGCATATCGACTCACGAGCGTGGAATAAGAGCCGTGCTGACTGCGAAGTTGCGCACTTCCGTCTCCGCTCGCACGAGGTGGTTGAAGTCCGTCGCGTCATATGCTCTTTTCTGAAACCTGGGTGGCACAATGTGAGACCAGCGTAATCATGTGTGTAGGAAAACATACAGCTTGTCCCTGCATCCTGGACAGTACCGCGCATAAACCTCCCATATGATGGTCTTGACGTTCGGCTTCAAGCAGCTCTGCTCGAAAATTAACGCGCGCCTTGCGCTTTGAACAATCACAAGCTACTCACATGACAGTACGGGAAGAAGAGCAGGTTTGCATACTGCGGTTCGCTCAGGAATGGTGGACAGCTCGGTAGCCCCTCGACTTGCTCGCGCGCTGCCTTCCAAAAGGGCGCGGAGTTACGGCTCGTCAAAAACGCGCGAAATGTCTTGGACGTGCGCGCTAGGTTGAGCAGGTCGCGCGGATGCATGCAGGTGAATATCTGACGCGCGAATGCAAGCGTCCGTTAGCTCTCCAAAGCAGCGATGTATCTGAGCGGCGCAACGTTACCTCTATCAAGATATCCAGAGGCATATTGGGCATATCCTTCAAGCCGCCGCGCCGTCCGCGGAGGTTGCGACGAGGAGGTGGGCGGTCCGCCGGGAATGTTGCTGTGGCAGCATCGGGCACGTCAGTGGCGGGTGCACTGTCCTTTCTTGCCCTCTTCCTCGGAGGCATGGCGGCTAGGTAGACACCTTACGCGCCGTAAGGTGTGCTTGAGTTGGTACGAGATGGAGGTTGGGAAGAGAGAACGCGGGGTGGCTCAGCGCTCAACGCCCGGGGTCTTCCCTTCCCTAATAGTCACTTAGATCGCAGATCTCAGATCCGGGATCTGCGCTACGAGCACTCAAATTAAGGTTATAAGCACATCAACTCGTCTTCGGATTTGACCAAGCATTCAACTAGACGTTATTTGCAGTGGGGGTGCGCCCGTTGGAAGTTCAATATTGCGAGTGGAGCAATACCAGATCCTGTAGATTTCAGCCTGTTCACAGTGCGAGAGGCCCACGCGATGGCTCCATGTAATACAAGCGCCGGCACCACCTGAGCTGGTACAAACCTGCTGCAAATAACCTCTACTTGTAGGTACCCCCTTGCACTCACTCCCTTCTAGCTTCTAGGCCGAGATCTGACTGCCGTAATATGTGCATACCCAGGAAGCTCAGAACCAACGTGCACTCACTTCAGTTCGCATCTATCCAGAAACTCGTACATCCAAAGACGGAAACAATCCGGACACAATGATGACTTCTGCTACTATACATACTGCTGCCAGTGCTGGACAGATGACCAGGTTCTAGGATGCTACGCCAATGATGACGGTCAATGACTACACGAAACTTCGGCTGCGAACACCAACTGAGATAGTGAAGAGCCATCCGGTTCAAACACGGACGCCGGCGCGTAGAGACCCTGCCCGTCCTCCACAGCAGTAGCGGCGTGAGAAGCTCTATGTTCGAGGTTCTCAGGAAACAGGGTAACGCTCGGCTCGGGATACCATGAGTCGGGGTGGACGTAGTAGTCCTTCTCGAATTCCGCAACAGGGATCTTGTGCTTGCTGTGGTTGCAGGAGTGGTGTTAGCGGCGGCCAGTGAGTTTTTATACACCGCACACTTACCTCCGACAGTGTTGGACTATGCCGTCGCAGCAATAGAACTCGCAATGAGCGCAGCAGAACCTCGTATTTCCCAACTCAGGCTCAACGTCGGGCGGGTCCGGTTGGTTAAATTCAACGTCCCAGACACGGAGCATGAGCGCAGTGTCGAGCAGCTTCCACTTGCTCTCTCCCGAGGATCCTTCGCATCGCGGCGAGTTCCCTAGATTGATGTCGGGAGGTCGTTTGTGCGCGACCTGTTGTGGGGGCGTAAGCAAATATTGACCATCCAGTCCAGACTCGGAGAGCTACGTACCGCCCCCCTCCAAGTGAAGGTGTGCTTGCAGAGAAGCTCGGGATCCGGCGGACAATCCATACAGACAAGTCGCGCCTCGAATCGGTCCATTTCCCCGTGCGTGGCCACGTCCGGGAATAACTCGCATGCAGTAATAACAGAGCGTGCTACCTCCACATGCCAAACGCTGGCAGAGAACAGGTCTTCCGCGGCTTGCCACGGGGGCCGATGCCTATTCCAAGTGCAAAAACGGACGATCGCCTTGCTCCATGGCTCCCTCCCATTGAAGTGCATAGCCGTAGTCCTAGCGCACGAGTGCGCGAGAATATTGGGCCATCTGAGATCCTCACGATGACACATGCGACATTCGAACGTGAGGATGGCCAGCATGAGGAGGGAGACGTCACTGCCGATAGGAATCACCTGCTGCGCCTTTTGCAGAAACTCTTGCTCGCGCTCGGCGAACCATGCGGCCTTGAGGGCCGGGATCATATCCCGCAGCTGTTTGAAATCTTTCTTGGTGATCTTCTTGCTTGAAGGTGCGTCGATAAGCTCTTTGAATGGAGATCGTTGCGCCAGGTCTAGGAAGCACGCCTGAATCTCCGTCATCGCCGTACGGATCCCAAGGGAGGCCTCGTGGGCAGAGACGACGTCGTTGAGATAGCCAAGCCGTTTGAAATAGCTCTCGAGCCATTCTTTCTCGAGACGCGCTTCCCGCACGCTTTCCATCTGGGCTATGACATCCTGTCGAATTGACTGCCAAACTGCCAGTACCGTTAGTATCGCTTGTCTCGCCGGTATGTTTACTACGAAAGAGGGACGGACCGGCGTCAGTGAGTTTATGGGGCTTGCGTACGGCTTTGTGGTGCTTTAGCTCGTGCATGGAGCCTGAGTTGGCCATGCGATTCAGTTCATCTTCCCAGCCTTCTTGTCGCAGCCGGACTTTAATGCTGTACTTCTATGAGGCACGCGCATACGTGAGCAATACAAACGCATTACGTACCTCTCAAACCGAGCTTCCCTGATGATGTCCAGTTCTTTGGACCGGTTGCTCAATTCTGCGGCTTTCCAATCCCTCACGGCGTCCATCACCTGTATGAGAGTGTCATAATCGAACGTCTGGGCTAATGATACGACGACTCACCGAAATCCTCAGCTTGTGCGCGGCAACATGCTCCAGGGCGAAGTGAATCCTCGCCGCATCATCTGTGAGAGCCTCCCACGTCGCCTCGAGTTTCTGTATCTCAGGAAGGTAGACATGGTCCGTCTCGGAGAATGAGTTCTTCCTGTTGTACATGTGAGCAACGCGATACAAGAAGATGCAGCGCGATAACCCACATCCGCCGCATAGCAACAATGGTGACCTTGAACTCGGACACGTCGGTTTCCTCCTGTACGAGCTGCACGAAATCCTTCGCGTCGTCTACCGCTTGCTCTCCTTGAAACCTGAGGAGCGCCACATGAGCCTCACGATATTGGCATGCATGAATATCAACGTACACCGTTTCTCTGCACCCAGGGAAACAGAAGCGAGCGCAGACTTCCCATATTACGGTCTTGACATTCGGCTTCAGGCATATCTATGTTAAAGTCAGTACACGGCGTCTTGCATGCGCGCTGAGCGCATGCCACTCACATGACAGTAGGGGAAGAACAGCAGGTTTGCATACTGTGGTTCGCTCAGGAAGGGCGGGCAGTCCGGCAGACTTTCGACCTGCCTGCGCGCGGCCTTCCAGAACGGCGCGGAGTCACGGCTCATCAGGAACGCGCGAAAGCTCTTGGACGTGCGCGCCAGGTTGAGCAGGTCCCGCGGGTGCATATAGGCGAATATCTATCGCGCAAAGTGAGCGGTTGTGAGTGTCCTCGACTTCGAGGCGTTTCGGAGGGCGGGGGACGTTACCTCTACCAAGATATCCAGGGGCATGTTGGGCATATTCTCCAGGCCACCCCGTCGCCCCCGCAAGTTCCGACGAGCAGGTGCTGGTGCGAGGACCGGCGGTGGTGCTTCTGCAGGAGCTGCACTGACACTGGGGGCACCACCAGAAGCAGTAGTCTTCGCCGTGGTGAGGGCCGTGTTCTTTCTTCCCTTCTTTCTGGGAGGCATGATGATCAGGTGGAGGCTAAACGTGTCGCAAGGAGTGCTGTTGTGGACTTCTGGTGCGAGATGGAGGTTGTGAGAGAGAACGCGGCGCAGGGGTGGCTCGACGGTGTTCGGAAGTACTCGCGCACGGCAGGCAAGGTGCGGAAGCCCCTAGGTGCTATAGTCGGGGTATAGCCTGACCAAAAGGCTGAAAAGGATGTGATAGTCTGAAAAAAGGGCGGAAAGGATGCGATAGTTTGACGCCGGTTTTGACTATCGCATGGCTGTAGTGGCATGTCAGTTTTGACCTTTGTCTGCCGTGTCGATACGATACAGTGTACGGATCTGAAATCCTCACGAAGATCAACCGAACGCCCCAACAAGGTATGAACGTACCTTCATATCCAAAGAACCAAGGCGTGTACGCTTTCGGGTACCTCGGGGCCAGTAGCTTTGCATTCTCTCCAGTCCGTATCTAAACGACAACTCGTACATCCAAAGGAAAAGCTCAATCAAGGCGGTCTCTACAAGCACTACGTATTCAGAGTTCGTTCGGGAAGAAAGCAACGTCGCAGAGATGAAGCAACACGGCGCGAAGGGGTGAGGTACGTGTGAAGGGAAGTTTAATAAAGAAAATGCGGAACAACCGAGCCGTTGGCAGTCCAAGGGCGTGCGCGCGCTGATATACAGATGGTGTACACGCGCGCGCCGCCCGGCGACATCGTGTCCAGGTGTTGTAACGGTGTCGTAAAGAAACCAAAGGGCGGGACAAGGGGGATAACACAGCACAAGCACACAAGCACAAGCCTCCGAAACGTCTTCGTCTTCGTCTCCGCCATCCGCGCGTCAACCTCGTAAGCAGTCATGTAAACAGATCGTACAGAGTTCAGTTCATATCCTCCCAGTTCGGCCGCGGCGCGCCGATCGACAGCTTGCCCATGATCTTCCGCTGGCGCAGGTTCTTCACCTCCGTGCTGATGAGGTCCCGCAGCCTCTCCAGGTCGAGGCTGCGCTCGGCCCGCGAGCCCATGAGCAGGTTGCGCCAGATGCCCGCCGCGGCGACCGAGTTGTCGATCGGGAGCTGGAGAGGCCGGTGAAGGCGGACCATCTTCTGCATGAGGTGGTCGGGGCTGGGGTATATGGCGTCGGGCCAAGCGATGCGGATGGCGAACCACCAGCCCAGAGGCTACAGGCGTACGCGTTAGCATCATGAGAATAAAATATTGGCAAGTTACTCACGCGACCATCCGGTAGGCATCGTTCCGGGTATGTGTCGTAAGTCGTCAAAGAGCCATCGGGGAGGGAGAATCTACAACATCCCGATCAGTCATTGCGAGGATGGACCAGTGTGGCCAAACGTACCGATGAACCACCCAGTGGTTGTCGTCGTTCCGATGCTTCGCGAGGACGATGAGCAGCCTCGGGATACCCTCCAGCCCAAACGGCGCCCACAGCTCCCGGAGCATCCCGCACGCGTCTCCATGCCTTCCGTTGTACACGGCGGTGCTGATCGCGTCCGCCATGTTCGGCGGCACGAACAGACGGTCGACGCGGCCCGGCGGGCTGTCCGTCATCTTCGCCCGCACATAGCGCTTGTAGGTCTGCGTCGACCAGATGCTCAGCGCGATCTCGTCCACCTGCATGCCGCGGTTGCAGCTGTTGACCGCGTTGTCGAGCTCGCTCATCGGCCACACGATCGCCCAGCTCAGTAGGCGCTGGTGGATGCGCTGCCACGGCGGGAGCATGCGCGGCTCGTTGCTGTACTCGGCCTGGTGCCAGACCTGCCCGTGGTCCATCATGTCGCCCCGTACGTCCTGCGGGATGGGCGGCAGGGGCGGCGAGGCTGCGCGACGATCCGTGTACCCGCCAGTGTGGCCGTCAGGGATCTCGGGGAGACCGGACTCCGTGATGGCAGCCTGTGCGTCGCCCTCTTCGTAGTCCTCTCCGTCGTCCCTAGCGAGCTCCCAGGTCTTGTGCGTAGCGACGGACTGAGCGCCGTTGTTCGGCTTGACGCGCAGCTTGTACAGCTCCTGCTCGAGGTACTCTTGGCCGGGAGAGTTCTCGCGGTCCTGAGCGGCGTACTCGCTCTCCAGACCGCGCCCTTCGCCGTCCGTTGTCGCGTAAGGGTGATCTTCCTCGTCCTCGTACCCGTCCTCCTCGCGGATGGCACCGTGCATTGACCCATCGTGGTGGTGCATCGACCCGGGCAGGGTGTGCAGATGCGTCGACTCCCTCATCAACTCGGTCTCCTGTGTCTGGTACATGGACTCGTCGCCCGTTGGGTGTTGACGCACATCGATTGTGGGAGTCATGGTCTGGGGGTAGCCATTCATCTCTGAGCTGGGGTAGTGATGATGGTGATGGGGGTGCTCCTGAGGGAGATACCCTCCTTGACCGTCAGTGAGATACGAGCCGCCTCGAGAGGTTCGTAGACTCTTCTCGATCTTAGGAGCGAGGTCCTCCATGCGGTTGTTCATGCGAAGGAATCCCTGGATCAGCTCCTTCGCCCATTCCGGAGGCTCCTGGTTGTTGCCCAGTTGTGTCCCGCCTCGAGACTTTGACATGGACGACAGAGCAGCCGCGAGATGAACACCGGGGTCATGATCGTGGTACGACTTGCGGTAAGCCTTGATAGACTGGATGCGCACGGAATTCATATATATGGCTGTTATTTCCGAAGCACGAACAAACACTTACCTCGTTGTCGTACTTCATGCCGAGTTTCTTGACCCGGGCCCTGACCGCCTTGCGCACGGCCTTCTTCACCGGCTCACCCATGGGTTGATCTAGGGCGTGAAGGAGTTGACACAACTCCATGTCGTGGAAATGGGAGTTCTGGACCTCAGGCTCCAGCATGGAGGGTGCCATGGCCGAAGGCGCATATGACGTCCGCGTCCGCGAAGGCCTGGTAAGAAGATCCTGTACCAGACGTTGTTCTTCCGCGCTCAATTGTTCCACAGGAGAAGCTGGGCGCGAAGGCGTTGGAGTAGTGTCGGGGTCGTTGGCCGGGTGTCTGGAGCGCGCAGGGGACATGGGAGGTGCCGAGCGCAGCGCTTCAGTGGCAGCTACGCTGCGCTCACTGCGTTCACGAGGCATGCGTGTCGCCTGACTCCGAGGAGACATAGGTGCTTGGGAACGGGCTGCAATATTATTCGTGAATAATTTACCAACCTAGTCTCTGCACAAACATACCGGCACTCTGGGACTTCGCGTAAGCAGGCGCTTCTGTGGGAGCACGTCCATTGACTTCGGTGGGGGCACGGCCGTTGACCTCAGTGGTGCTCTTCACAGACTTCGCGGACTTCTGCGACATCTCGGCTTGCTGTTGTTGCAGCTGCTGTTGCTGTCTCACACGACGGGAGCCTGCCTGTGAAGCAGACTCCGAGGGTGCGATGGAGTACGCCTTCTGCGTTCGCTGGCCATCATCGACCATCGACTCGGGTAGTGGTGGATATGCGGTTCGTTGGGTCTTCTGGGTGTTGCGGGACTTGACAGACTGGTTCTGGGACGCAATGGTCCTAGGCGACAAAGGCCTCTCCGCGCCAGCGGCCGTGGCCGTACGAGTGGGAGATAATGCACGAGAGGCAGACTTCGGGGACAGCAGCTGCATCACATGATAAGTAACCACGATCACGGCAAGCGAACACACCACATACACCATTCTGAGCGACAGAGGGAGGTTTCTGCGACACCTTGGATCGACTGCGCGAACCGACGCCACTGGGCGCACCGGCATATGATGTACCGGCTATTCCAGTCGTAGCAGCGGGGGCCATACCAAATTGCTGCTTGCACGTGAGACGCAATCCCGACAGCCTCCGACACAACCTGCTTACCTGGAACGGGTTGGGGTGACTGCTAGTAGGTGAAGCTAGCACCGTTTCGGGAAGCGGCACGCCCGCAGCTTTCAATGGAGAGCCCTAGCAACGGCTTCCGTTCAACACATGGCAGCGGACCAACACATCGGAAGCGTACCACCGCATTCCACTGTTTGTTCCCATTGTAACTCTCGCGAGGGAGAGGTCCGAAATTGCCAAACGACGAGCCATACGATTCAAAATGGGGGCCGGGAGGGTCATCGGGGCCAGGCTCGTGTTCCGGCTGACATTCATGAGGCACGAGGAACCGGACACTTCGAGACGGGGTGTACTCACAATTCCAGTGGTGTGAATGGGGATCGTGCGCGCAAGCTCGGAAGCGTTTTCCTGGACGTCTGACCTGATGTCATCGCCATTCTCTCCATCCGCGAACTCCTCCATGCGGCGGACACTACTGGCAGCCTTACTTTTCGCGCGAGGGGAACGCATGCCCTGTGATCCGACACTGCTACTGCCGTCGTTTTCGGGGGGAGTGCTCTCCATACTCTGGAGATACAATAACACTGTTTGAAGGGGACCGCGTCAGACGATACGTGTCGACTTGGGGGGAGAGGCACAGTACCTTTCTCGTCGGGCGCTGTGATTATCTCGGCGATTAATGACCAGGGCAGGGAATCGAGTGCAGGAAACATGAGGCGCACCGGGCGTGTTGGACCGCATCATGAGCGTATGCAGATTGCTCTGGGATCCTCCCACAGCAGACATAGTGGCGGCAGGTCGTGGAGTGGTAGAACTGAATGCAAGCCGGTAGGCTATGGCACGAGAACGGGAGCACGAGCGGCTGAGGTAAGATACAGGGAGAACAAGAGGGGCGATAAGGTATCCAGAGGGCTATTAGAAAGGAATATGCGCGGAGGGAGTGAGGTCACACAGCGGAGGAGGGAATATGAACTTGGTTCAGAGCTTGCTGCCTCGAGGGCGCCGCATGTTGAACTCTCTGTTGTCGCCTATTTGCCATCACCCACAGGCGCTTCGCGGCTGCTAGCCTGATTGTCCTCGACATCGCCTCCTGCCACTTCCTGCTTCTATCTGTGGGTGTGCGACCCTGATTGTCCGTGGGAGGTGCGTCTGTGAGTTCGCGGGACGTGGTGGTGAACAAGCACGTACCATTTGCTCCCGTCGGTGGCTACCGATCGTACTCAGGTATGGACGCGATCGGCTCCATTCTTGCGCGCGGTCACGGTCTTCTGGCTTGCAGTTTCAGGTCGTTCCTACGTACCGCGTTTTAGGTCCAAAAACTCTCGGCATTCGACGTGTGTAATCGATAAAAAGGGGTTGGGAGTAAGGAGTTGGAATGGTATATATAGCTGACATATACTCCAAATCAAAACAATTATTGCTCGACGGTCACACAATGGCGTCGATGCGTTCCGTAAGCTGCGACGAGATGGTGGGGGAGTAAAGGGGAAAGGGGGAGGCTGCGATCCGCTGCAAACCTCGGGCTATATATCTGCACGAGTTGCACGGCTCCGAGCGGAACTTCTAATTCCTATCTGGGCGAAAACCTACCCTCATTCGGTAGGTCTCCCTCCTCTCCCTTCACTTCGACCCGTTGCGGACGCCAGTACAGCTGTGATGGCATCCATTACGGCTTATCCTAAGTAAGCACCTTTAAATTTGTTATTATCTGACAAGCACCGATGGATTTCAACGGCCCAGTCTATAGCTAGGTTCCTGTTGCCAACCGCAAGCACACCACTGCGGTGAGTTTTATTCGTACGATCATGCGCCCACAACACCGGTCAAATATAAATACCGCTGCAACGCTGAAACCCTCATTTCTAGACATTATCTTGATGTACGCGTACGCAGCGACAATCGTCGGGTCTCAGTCAGCTTCTCACCATTATTTTGCGGTTAAAACGCGCCTGGCGCGGTCATCCGGGGTGCGACAATATTGTCTCAGCCAACTACACTGCGCCGCCCGAGAAACGCCAGGCCGAGTCGCGCGGCTTACCGACGAGGGTGGCGAACAGCGGGCGCTATCTCCATCACACCTTCAGGCAAAACTGCCGTATCAACTTCGACGGTAATTTGACTGCATATAACACGAAATCTTTATTAAAGGCTGACGGCAGCCTCCAGCTGGGTCTTCCGACCTTTGGGTGCTCTCCGTAAATTGTGCGAGCTGATACTGCATCTTGAAGGACAAATACAGCCCCGCTTCGTCTTCAACCGGCTGGCACAAGAACAGCAAATTCTCCTATCACTATGCCGACGGCTCCCAGGTCTCCGTGCCGGGAATCGACGACGGCCTCCTCAGCCTTGCATTCCCCGCCATCTCGAACCTGCAGAAGGTAGTACGTGCTAGCATCGCTTTGGGCCTGTAGCCTCCACCCACCGTCAATTCTCAACAAAACTCCTTCAACACGGAAAAGACGCATGGCGCCGTGAAGAACGATGTCTTCGGTTTTTTCTTATAGCGGCGCAATTGAGGTCCATGCCGTCAGCAGCTCTGGATTTCTGCAGGTCTTCATCAGCACATTCCTCATCGGCGCGCAGACAGTGCAGTCGAGTCTGTAGACAGTCATTGATTCGGGTACACTCATCTACGAGCCCTTGAGCCAGGTCGCAACATTGTATAAGGCGATCTTTGGTGCGAAGGTGTACGACGCGTAGAACGACTTATACTGCTTCCCGTGCCTGGGCACGCCGTCCGACCTTGTGTTCAGCTGGGGCGGACAGCAGTAGACAATCATCGCCGCGGACTTGAACATTGGCCGCGCGAACCTCACCCTCCCCTACCCCGCACCGCTGTCTACTTTACACCCCTAAATACATGCTCGCTTGAGGTCTTCTCCTGATATAATGCAGTCCGATTGCGTTCTACGAGCATAAGCTACATATAATTAAAACAGCTCATAAGACATGCAAACTACAAGACCAGCTGTGCGCAACTAACGGGCGACGCCAGGGATAGAAAGCCGGTACAGTACGTGTACAGTGCGTAACAGACTCTTCCCGAGCCAGGGCATCGCGGTCGTCGGCGTGGGTGATACATGTCTAGGACGTGAGCGGGAGGGGGCAGCCTCGCACGCGAGGGCCGTGAACTGGGAGCGATAGATAAACCCGACAGCAAACCGAGAGCACACGGAACTAGAGAGGGGACGGTGAAAGGAGAGGCGTCATGGTGACGTAGTGGGGGTTCGGGAGTATCGCAGCCAGGGAGGGAGGAGGGGGGAGGGACGTCTAGAGGGAGGGGCCACGACGGGCAGCTTCTGCGTTGCGGGCGTGGTGGCGGCGGACCTTCTTGGCGCCGGGCGCACCGGACTCGGGGGACAGAGAGCGGCGGCGACGGCGGGATCCGGCCTTGCATGAGGGGACGCTGGCCGCGGAGGACGACGCGGCGGTGGAGGCGGCAGCAGCGATGGAGGACTCAACGACGAGCGAGGGGACGCTCGAAACCGTGGCGGTTACGTGCGCGCTCGACGTGGCGTGAGTAGCGACGGATGTGTGCGTCGCCACAGAGGAAGTCTCAACAACCGCGATAGACGAGACACTACTTGAGGACTTCGTGGAGGCGGTTGAGGCGGTGGCGTCACCACAGAAGGTGATGAGCAGGTTCACGTTGTTGCTCTCGCACTGGACCTGGACCTGGTTGTCGTCCGGCTGGAAGAACGCGGTCTTGCAGGTGGCGCTGTCACAGGTAGTGCCTTGGCCATCGCACCCGCCGAAGTAGCTGAACGACGTCGGCACGTTGAACTTGTGGGGCGCGATCAAGCTAATGTCGGTGGAGGAGCCAGCGCCCGGAGCGGTCGGGTTGACCAAGGTCATCTCAAGGGTGGAGCAGTTCTCCCCGTTGAACAGGCATTCGCCTATTTGGCACGTGGGTTAGGTCACATAGCACGGAAATGACCAACGGACATACCGGTCTGTAGGTAACTGCAAAATAATCAATACGTGCAACCGATGGAACTGGAGAGAAGTGACATACGCGATACCAGCAGAGAAGACACCATTGACGGTGTAATCTGCTCCAGTCGAGAGGACTTTGCCGCCCTGAATGAGCTGGGGCTACAAAGGGGTGGTTGTAAGCTCATGAACTTGAGGGTATACAGACACTGAGCGTGGGGCGATCTTCCTCCTCCGTCTCTGCACCCCAGAGCGCGTAGCTAATCAAGCGCCTTTCCGCCACCCTGACCAAAGACTGGCGACAAGCGTGCGAAGGATCTACTCACAGTTCCCTTTCCACACCTTCACAGGAGCCGATATCAGCAACGTATCTCAAGCAGAAAGCAAGGCAGACAGTACGCACTTGTTCTCAAAACGGATAGTGTGAGTCTCGGCACGCACGAAAGCGCCGGCAAGAACAGCCACAGCGGGGACAAGAAGCGAGAGCTGCATGGTAGAGAGCGTGTCGTGGGGCTTCGTCTAGCGAGAGCGAGGTTGTGGAGAGCACCTAAGTACTGCCTGGCGGATGAAAAGAGCGAGGAGGGAGGACAACGGTCGACGAGAAGCACGCCGCGAACACGGGCTTTGTATATATCATCCCCGTTTCAGGGACCCCGGGAACTTGCCGACACCCATCTTTTCTCCGCCTGCGCACCGCCCACGGTGCCTATGTATGACGCTCGGGGTGTAAAAAGAACGGCGAGTCTAGACCGGACAGCATCTGCCATTTGTTACGTTGGAACGCGGTCTCGTCGTGTTGAGAAAAGGCGTTGCAGAGCGGGAGCTGTGGTAACGACGGACGCAACTTGTGTGAGTGATCGAGCGGTTTAGAGGTAACCGATCGCTATACTCAACGCCCACACGTGGCAAACACGCTGATAATGAAATGAAGGTACGCCTCATGTTCAGGCAAACACGAGGTGCAAGCAAATAGAGTCATATACGTGATTCAAGGTATTACATGCGACCGCCCCATGGGTATCCGATAAATGTATGTGCGTCGTAGAAGAGACAGGAAATTATTACTCCAACAAGATCATAAGTACCGATGCGCACGCCCCCGCCGCGCACACCCACTCACCGGACCCGCGCATGTACACGTATGGAGCCAGCCATGTCCGCCAGTCAGTCGTCGTCTTCCCCGTCGTCATCGTCCCCGCCCGCCTGCGCAACCTCCCGGCGGTGCATGTGCGCCGGCGACGGCCGCAGCCCGGCGCTCGGGGGCGGCTCCTCGCCCTCCTCGATCGTTTCTTGCCCCGGCTGGCCCTTCCAGCGCCCCTTGCTGGCCGCAGTATCGTCGGGGCTGGGAGTCAGCGCCTTCTCGAGCGCCTTCTCGCCGCGGCGCTTCAGCCGCAGCGACATCGCCGCCTGCAGGGAGTCGATGTACGACTCGTACTTGACGATCTCCGTCAGGAGATACTGCGACTTCTTCTCCCAGTTCGTCGTCGCCTTCTGGGCGTTGGACGAGCGAGGCTGGTACTGCAGCGAAGCGTCAGTATGCAATCTCTGACATGCACGACACGGCCCGCGGACATCAGACCGCAGGGTAAAACGGTGCTTACCAGGTGGGTCATCGGGGTCCTCAGCTCGTTGTGCTCCTGCAGCTCGGTTTTCAGATGCGCTACATGTTTCTGCAACGCCTCCATCTGCGTCTCTTCATCATGCTGGCTGGGCACCGATGGTGGCAGCGGCGGCTTCCAGTCGTTAATGTACGTCCTGTCCGCCCACGGCGACTTGTCCGCGCGCACGGTCGCAGCCATATCCTTGAACCGGCTGCGGCCACTGCGACCGCTGCGGACGCTCTGGTTGTCCGTGTCCCGGACCGAGTAGTCGTCCTCCGATACCGATCGCCCCCGGGAGACGGGATCCAGGACGCGGCTCCAGCCATACTCCATGTTGGAGACGCCGCCCATGAGCGGTTCCTTGCTCTGGCGCGCCGCCCAGTAGTTGCACGTTGACACCCACTCGTTCACAAGCTCTTCTGTGCCTGCCTGGAAGAAGTACACGCCGCCGTTGGCAAGTGTGAGCACCATGCAGTGCGGGCGTTGTCGATTGTAGCCTGGCGGAGGCAGCGCGTGCGCAAGCGAATGCGCCAGCAAGACCGATCCAACCGGTGTCGCGTTTTCCTGAACGACGTCAATTACTACTGATCGCGCGCGTGTAGAGACGATGTATGAAACTCACCAGCCAATTTCCGCCACCGACAACGCTGGCTCCGCCGCTTCCATGATCACCGAACGTGAACATGCTGAGCTCGCCCTTCTGGATGACGACGAACACGTCCATCCACGCCTTCGACTTCGCCCTCTTCCCAGTCGACTCCCAGTACTGCTTGCGGCACAACATGCCTTCTTTCGCCCAGGGTGCCCCGAGAAGCGCGAGCTCTTCGTCAGTGATGCTGATGTCAGTCGAAGAAGAGTCGTCGCTGCGCAGACTATGTCCGTCATCCTCCTGCTGTTCGCGGATGATCGTGTGGGACAGATTAGACGCGAAGCCTAGCGCAGGTGCCAGGAAGGAAACGGAGGAGCCGTGCATACCCTAAAACCGCTGATTGTAAGTGATGGGAATGACGATATACTGCGTGGAAAACGTGCCTCATTGGAGGTAGCAAAGCTCGGTGCCGGGCTCGCTCGCCCGTCGATACTACTCCCGCTGCTGTATGGGCTGTGGCCCGTCTGAGCACCCAAGATGGATTGCAAGCCTCGAATGCTGCCACGCTTGAGCGTTGTCAGCCTGTCCTGCTGCGCACGGACGCTCCGATTCCGGAGAATCGCGCCGTGTGGTGTAAGAGATGACGTCGAGGAACGCGCCATCAGGACACTCCCGATAGGTTGCAGGATCTGCTGTGCCTTAACGGCGTTGTACATTTCCTACGTGCCACTGTGTCAGCACGCGGTCGTCGGAGCGCGTCCCGCAACGCCCGTACCTTGAGCAAATTCTCCATCTCCACTTCCCAGCTCCTGTCAAATGTGACTGTAGACGCAGCGGGGCCAGGGATCGCGGCGGGAGCTGAGGCAGATGCTGCGGAAGGAGGTGGGTTCGCATCCTGGCTCTGCTTGCTCTCCTGGTTGCTCGAAGCCCCTACAGAGACAGAGCTCTGGTTCGCCGAAGACGAACTCGCCGGTTCCGAGGCCAGCGTCAACTGCCCTGAGGAGTTGACCAGCGTCCCGGATGAAGGCACCAGGGCTTCACGGGTCACACTGTTCCAGCTTGTGATGCTGTCGCTCCGCTTGGCCCGTGCGCGCACTGTGTTCCCGGGACCCTCTCCACCCTCAGAACCGGCGCGCACACTGCTCCAATCGTCATAGCTGAGGTCGGTACTCGAAGCCATGCCACTGGGTTGCAGCTGCATCTGGATGGCAGTCATCGTATTTCGTACGAACTGGCTTCTTGACATCCGTGAGGCGAGTTCGGCGACATGCAGATCGGTGTTAAGCAGAAGAATTGAATACACGACCGCGTGGACGACGCCTTTATGGATGCGTGAGCTGACGGCACGCATGCTGTGAGGAACAGGAACCTACTAGCACTTCCGAGAACGGTCGTCGGGTTGCATTCCCAAAATCGCCGCGCAAACTCCTCCAGTATACGGTCGACCTGCTGTGTTTCAGCTTTGAGGTACAGCTTACCGCACATTTTCCTACAGCGGTTCAGCCATTGCCACGGCCATCTCAGTACAGAATCACAAACCTGAATGCCTGGTCCAGTCGGAGATTTGAGAAGTCAAAGAAGTTCATGTAGTGTCGCAACGCGGCCTTGTTGATACGGCTCCTATAATGACAGTCAGCGCTGAAACAGTCCTCATACAAAGCGTTACTGACTGTCCACCAAGCCACTCGGCGATTTTGTCCTTCGGCAAGAACTCCTCATCCTCTCCCCAGCATCGGGTGGCAAGGTCTTTGCCTCGGTTGTCGAGGTCGGCGGTGTCCTCCTGCTTCCCGGGCGACTGCCTTAATGAGAAACGCAGGTCGTTCGTCGTCAAATCTTGCTGCGAGGCGACGGCGAGCCCCGGTACTGCACGCGGGTCAACGAAACGGTTGGGTGACGATACGGCGCGGATAGTGCTGAGCTGCTCACAGGCACGGCCCTCATCTCGGTCCGGAATGAGCGACGGCTCCGACGCGGAGGCAGTAGAGCGGTGTTGCACACGGAGCCTGTTGGACTCTCGAGAAGCGGAATGAGCGTGGTGCAGGATCTGTCCGCCCGCTCGGGGTGGGGGCGACCGTGGCCCGTACTTGAGGTTCGTCCCACGCTGGAAGCTGCCAGCATTGGAGCCGGCGCGGGCACGCAAAGGAGTGTGGAGGGATGACGAGCGAGGGGGCACGATAGGGCCCTCTACGGAGGACGTGTGTGATGACGAGGAGGCCCCGGCATTCACCAGCGATTCCTCCGCGCCAGAGATGGTTTGAAGGGTGACGGCAGGAGTGCCGAGATCAGGAGGGAGAGATTGTGCAGACTTGGGTGTCGGCCGGCCAGTTGGTGGCGCTGAAAGAGGGGTAATGGTTTCGCTATGTGAACGAGGGGCAAGAGGTCGTCTAGAGGGTGTTGATGGATCGTTGAGGTCCAGCGAGGTGGAGATGGGCTCTAGATGTAGTAGCTCGCCCTTGAATTGGGACATGATACCTTCCAGCCGCGAGTTCCAGCCCGGCGAGCTCTCGACAGCCTGATGGTCTGTCGACATGCGCAGCGGGCTCGGGCTCGGGGACCCACCAGCAGCCATGGCCTTCTTGAGTTCCGCGTCACTCACGCTCATGCTTCTCCGTTTGCTCCTGCTCGGAGCCCGGATGGGCTTCTCAGGACGCCCCTTGACCGTGTGCGTTGGCGAGGGTGATCGAGATCGCTGGTCAGATGGACTATTGACCAAGATAATCGACTGGTCGTCGGAGATGTCGGTGCCCACCGAGAGGCGGTCGCTATGGTTAATGGCAGGAAGGGGCTTGTCAGTGGAGGCGCGTGGGGGTGCGGTGAATACGTCAGTCACGTCGACAGACGCGGGCATGCGTGATGCGTGGGCTTTAGGCAATGGCGGGACCGGGGGCGGAAAGGCGTCAAAGAGCGGAGAATTGGAATACGTCGCGATGGACGCAGAGGATGGAGAGGAAGTGAGCGTTTTCTGGTCGCAGCAGCGAGTTAGGTTCCGCCAGTAACCACTTCCAATAAGGTTGCGCGCTCACAGATCGTTCTCGAGAGCTGCCGGACGCCCCCAGCATTTTCCCGAGGAAGGCAGACGTCTTCGCTCGAACGGAGGATTTGGCGGGCTGGACGCAACGTGTCGGTCAAAGCAGCCGACGAAGCGAGCGCGGCGAACAAATACCTTGCCGTCCTTCATCGACCCGAAAGACCGCGGGCTCGTCAAGACCCAGTCGGGGCTCGTAGCCGACGCGGCATCCGCGTCCCTCTGTGCAGCCAAGTTATGAGAAGACCGCATCCTGCCCTTGGGCACCGGTGTGACTTGCGCGGACGAGATGGGTGATTGCGCTGCACGGGACACAGTGAGGGCGGCACACAATCAAGAATAAAGCGGCACGTACGGTCGCGCGAGGACGAACCCGACGACGAAAGCCCACCCTTTCTTCCATCCCTGCTCCCGCCGACTCCAGAGCGCTCCTTCGCCTTGCGGAGAAGCGTGGCGAGATCGGGGCTGCTGGCCGTGCCCGGGGAGCGATACATGGAACGCCGCTTGGTCTGATAGTCCGCCGTCTCCTCCGGCGCGTCGTAGAACACCTCGCTCGTCGACGAGGAGGGCGAGGTGAGAGAGCCGGTCGAGGGGGCAGTCGCGGCGCGACCGGCGCTGTTCACGGGCGAGGGTGTGGGCGGGACTATGATCGGGGTCGCGGGCTGCAGACCGAGATAGCCTCGCTGTGCGGGCGACGACGGCAATGAAAAGGTGCCGATAGATGCAACTGAGAGGTCTGCGCCGAGCTCGTCGACGTCGAAGCCCTCGCGGAGTTGGACGGTGCCCCCAGCACGGAGAGCCTGCTCGAAATCTAGGTCTGTGCGTGAGCCGCGGCGCCCCGACTGGCCATTGGAGTCCCTGGAGGCGACGGGCTGGAGGTTGGATGGAAATGAAGAGGGCGGGACCGGAGACCGCGGGGAAGGCTGCCTGAAGAGGGACGCCAGGATGGAGGAGGGCAGCGGCTGCGTTGGCGAGGTCGCGGTCGCCGTTCAAGGGGCGGCTCGCGCTCGATCCGCCGCACCGATTGGCTCGCCTGCGCACCCGAACTCAATCAAATCACCCCTCCCGCGTTTTTAATTTCACTGCGACCCGTCTGCGAACATATATTGCACGGCCGCTTCCGTCGTATACCTAGCTTAAAGAGAGAAAGAGAAAGATCGTACGGAGAATGACTGTTGGACAATAATCTACCGCATCTACCGCCATCATACACCGCATCATGGACATGAGCAGAAGAAAGACATGTGGGGTCGTGCACCATTCGTACTACGGAGCCGGCTGCAGCTACACAAGATCTAGTCAGATTACAAGCATGGATGATAGAACACACAGAGAAAGAGAGAGACAGAAACAAATAGCACAAGCACACGCATACCCTCCGCACTAGGCCCCGCCGCCGTCCTTCGAGGAAGAAGACTGTAACTGGGCACTGGTGGAAGTCCGTCGCTGCCGCTTCATCGACCCAGACGATCCTAGCCCTCCTCCTGTCCGGCTCGTGGGTGACAGCCGTGCAGACGACAAACTGGGTGGCAGCCCGCTTGTCGTCGACGCGCGCGGCCGGTTTCCCTGCGCGGCGATCTTCGGCAGACTCGAGTTGTTCTTCCTCGACGATCCATGAGGAGTTCCGGACGCGCGATTCCTGCAGTACGCTCGATATCAGAATCAACGCCACCGATCCCGTAGAATACGCACCTCTTCTTGATCACGTCCGTCTTCAAAGACAGCGGTCGTACAACCCCATGGAGTTTCTGCGCAAAACACTGTCAGCCTGGCGTCCTCGCACGACTGCGCCGCGGATGCACTTACGAAGAACAAGCCGCACGCGTTACCTGCACCCACACCATAAGCATCACGCCAATCACGCCATACGACCAAAGCGAGGACTCACATAGGGGTTGGCCTTCAGGATCCCGGCGCCACAATGGTGTGATCGTCGTCTGGCAGTTCGTGCACGAAGTTGGCGGAGTGTCGCCATCCTCACTTGCAATCCGCGCCTGTCCAGAGTTCCCGCCGGCTTCAGGCGTGCTCCTGAAACGCGGAAAGCGGTAAGTACGACCCCATGACCGCGACAGCGAGAGAAGCCGAACTCACCCCTTGCGTTGCGCCGCTGCGCCTCCGCGCCCGGCGTTGTCCTGTGTGGCGCGTTTGCTTGACGCGATCTTGCGCGTCTGTGCATTGCGCGAGCTGCCGGGCGCGCCATCGACGGACGGTGGCGTCGATGCGTTCGACACATTATATGGCTCGGGGGACGCGTTCGAGCTGGAGCCCATGCCGTTCCCCCACCCGTCGCTGGACGGGCTCGGGTGGAAGGCGCCCTCGGGCGTGTGTTCGATAGGAAGGATCTGGGTGGGGTCCACGTGCGTGAACGGGTTCGGGTTCGGGCCTAACGCCGGATTGATGTCGTGCGTGGAGTGGTGGTACATCATGTTCATCAGCTGGTAGTCCTCCAGCCCCATGTTCGCCATATTGAAATGCGCGTACGTCTCCGCGACGGCGGCAGAGGCGGCCACCGCAGCGGCCGATAAGCCCTCGTTCATGGGCGGCGAGTAGGTACCGTTGAGCGGTTGCCGCATTGAGTCCGAGTACGACAGTTCCGATAAGTCCTTGTGTGAATGTTGGTGGGGCATCGAGGCGGACATGTTGTGCATGTGGTTCCCGCCGGCAGATAGGTCGAAGAAGGAGTCGTAGGAGGGCACGGAGAAGGTGAAGTTGGACGAGGGGAAGGGGGATTCTCTGCGAAGCTGTTCAAAGTCTTTAGCGTCGATGGGGGGAGGAAGTTCCATGCCACTTGGAGGGTCCCCTCGCAGCATACTCTCCACGTGGGGAGCGTCAGCGCGCCGCTTCGTCCCAAGGACGCCTTCAGGGGACCTGGGCTTTCCGTTGATTTGGTGGCGGCCACTCACCCCGGTAAATATGCCCTCTCTGGCGACGGTGTGATCGAAGCTGGTCTTACGAACGTGCTTGGGGAACGTCCTCTGCTCCGGCGATGGTAGGGTCGATACGGACGCACGGGCGAGAGGGCCGGTAGAGGGAAGAGACGCAGGAAGCCCCCCGTGTGGACTGTGGAGGTTGTACGAGTCGAGATTGTACTGCCGATGCTCGCCGGCGGACTCGAAGACGGCAGGGAGCATGAGTTGAGCCGGTAGCGACGAGTGGGGGCTCCTCCGGCCTGAGGAGCTGGGGATGGGTATGCTGGAGGACGTGACATCGCGCTTGGGTGGCGAAGAGGAGGGGAACTTGAACTGATTGTGCAGATCGGACATGCCCGCCATGGGGGGGCGTGAACGAGAGCGACTGGCAGGACGCCAGTCCATAGGCGCGCGGGAGCGAGACCTGCTAATCGCACGCCAGTCCATCGGCACTTCGCTAATAAGAGGCCAACGGGGCTTAGTATGGCGGAAGATAACGTGATAAGAACATATACGCACTCATCCTCGTCCTTGCCGTCCTGATTCTCCCCGTCAAAACCGACGACCTGCACCTTTGCCTTTCCTTTATCAATCGTCCTGCCCCGCTCCGTCTCCTCCGCCGTCGCGGTCCCGCCCTCTGACGCCTTGCCCTCCGGCGCCTCCGACCCGCGCTCCTTCCCGACCTCCTTGCCCCGCTCCTTCTCTCGCTCCTCGTCCTCCTTCTTCTTCTTGAGTGCGAGCGCCATCATCCGCCATGTCAAGTTCTCCATCCGCTGCGCGTGCGGGAGCGTCGCCTTCTGCCGCGCGTACATCCTCCACACCTGCGTCGCGAGCGGGTCCTCGCGCGCCATCTTCTCTGGGTCTGCGTCCTCGCTCAACAGCTCCAGCGCCTTCAAATCAGGCGACCCTGTCACCTTCGGGGACGAGAAGGCGTGGGGCTGTTGTTCGTCCACGGACGACTGCCGGGAGGGGAATAGGGGATCCGAAAACAGGTCTGACAGGAGACGCCCTTTGGGGCTGGAAGCAGAGGTAGGAGCCGTCGACTTCCCAGAGTCGAACAGGGACAGAGCCGTGGGGCTGGACGAGGTCGCAACCGAGTTGGGTATCGAGGGTTGCCGTGGGGGCCCCATGTGGTTCAGCGACAGAAACGAAGTGTCGGAATAGCTGGACGAGGACGAAGGCATCGACGTTGGTGACATCCAGAGAGAGGGCGGAATCCCTGGTGCGAAGCGCTCCGAGGGTTGGTGCGGGGTGGCATTGAAGTCGTATGAGGAGCGATGAGACGAGAAGCCTTGGGACAGGCTGTCAAGGTGAGGTGATTCCAATCCGGGAACCATAGGTAGGGGACCGCGGCCGTTGGGACTTGACATATGCGACCCAGCAAGTTGTTGGCTCAGTGAGCTTTGCCGGTCATGGCTGAACTCGCCAGAAACGTGCTGGCCGTCGAAGGAAGACATAGGTAGGGGCATCGAGGAAGAGGGGTGGCGCATGGAGACGGGACCATATGACTGTGAAAGACCGCTGACCGGAGACTTACGACGAGCATAAGGGGTGTTGTTGGGGAGCAGATGGACGGGGGACGCCCTCTGAGAAGTGGCAGGCGGGGAGGCGTACGGCGATGAGAGGTTGGACCACTGCGGTGGGATGCCTGTGCGACCATCCTTGTGCGTGCGTGTGTTGACGCCAAAGTCATGGAGAGAGTGATTAGATCGTCCGGGGAGGCTGGTGGGCACACCCCCAGTGGGTGGTCCTAAGACGCCCGATGCCGCGAGGGCTTGGAAAGTTGATGGATCCAGAGGAGCTGAGAACATATTGTTCCAGTCGTTGCTCGGCAACGATGAAGGAGAACCGAGTTGAGTCTGAGAGTCGGGGTGATGGGGCATGGGCTGGAGGGGATGCTGCAACATATAGTTCGCCGACGGGGACTGGCCCGATGTTGCGAGAGGGATCTGGCGGGCCCAGGGAGAGGAGTGCGACGAGTGGGATACAGACGAGGGAGGCGGGCTGAGGTCGAGGGAGGCTGATGATGGGCCTGAGGGCGGCAGAGCCGATGTGTTAATGGTGGGGCGCCCTGAACCGGATGGAGGCCAGGCCTGCTGCTTGGATGACTCTGTGAAGGCTCTAGCAGCACCAGGCGGGAGTTCCATAAGACTCCCTCTGCGAAAATATAATGCGTGAGCAAATGGTGCGGGTGCGCCGGCATAACCGCAAAAGCAACGCACGAGGAGGAAGGGGGCGAGTGATGGCCTGAGGACTCGGCGTGCGCTCGTCAGGGTGCGGTGCTATTCGCGGGTGCGCGCAGGGGTGCGCGACGAGGTGGGCTTGGGGGCGACAGCGTCCAGCGTCGGCCTTTGTCCGGCGAGGGGGAGGGAGTCGGCTGGGGAGGACGACGAGGAGCGATGGCGAGGGGAGGACGGACCGTGCCCGAGCAGAGCGCAGGAAGACCAAACAAACCGCTCGCAGGCCGCAGATTATTATTGCCGATCGCCCGTTTTCGTGCGGTTATACTGTTAATTAATTATTCCCAGATCCCATGCGCCCGGCCGACCGCCCCTCTCTCCTGGATCTTGCGCTTTCTCGCACTCCGTCGTAACCGTCCTCTCCAGACTTTCCCCACGCAGCCCTCAAGAACTGTGTGGGTCGGCCCTGTCCTCCGAGTCCACAGGCACTCATCACCCATCATCCTTCTCGCGACCACAAGGTTACGTTGCCTCCTACCAACTCGTCCAACTGAGTCGGGGCACCTCGGGACGGTGCGGGGTGTTCCCAAGCAGGGGCTCCTTAAAATTTGCAGCGGTGCGGACTGGCGGCCTGGCTTGAGACCGCGCAAAGCACTCATCAGACGCCTGCGTTTGCATCGCACCCGCGTGCAGTCTAGCACCATCGATCCCGCACCCGCCACCTCTCCTCGCCACTCGTATTCCGACCGGCTGAGGTACGGCCTGGCACGGCAGAGGCCGCCGTTTGCGGGGGCCCGGTGGTGACCGAGACCAACTCTGACCAACTACACTGCGCAGGCTGTTCCTCTGATCCGCGCCCACACCCATGCTCTCTCCATCCGTCATCTCCCACCGCAACCGCCGTCATTGCTGTACAAATGTGGTAAGTACGCCATCATAGCAGCTACCCGTTGTCAATGCTTTGTGATCACCCAAGCCCGGCAGAGACGTCGGTGATCGCATGCGTGTTACAGCTTCTTGCTCAGTCTGCGCCTTCTTGATTCTATCCCCGCGAATCGGGCTGTGATGACTTCCGCCGATCATCGTCGATGGACGTTGTGCCAGTGCGCAGAGCTGGTGGCTACGGTCAACGCCCCTTTGACCTATATTCCCCAAGCTGTGGATCGTCCAGCACACTGATTGCCAAAACGTTCCCCGAGACCATGTTACGTGTATTCTACATCCCGTAACCTTCCCTCATCGTTGGCATTCTGCTAGATGGGAGACGCGACGGGCACGGTCCCATGAGATAGTGCTATATTTCGTTCTTGGACGGGCTACGGAACTGGAAACTGCTAAGCGCTCACTGAACTCGACGCACTTTTCCTCGTAATCGCTTTGATACATGTTTGGACAGCGACTACACCTCATTTTCTTCGGTTAATGTGCTTTTGCAGCTATCTTCATTTGAGCCCACATATAAGCTACGTACTAATCCACCGGAGCCACGCTCCTAGCATAGTTTCGGCTTAAAGCATGCTCGGGGCAGCATGATTTCTTTCCACGTTATCCTGCTCTGTTCCTGGGGCGAATCGTGGGCTTCCTCTGTCGTGTAGGTGCGCGCTCGCACGATGGGCAATTGCCCGTGATTGTGATCCGGAATAGGTCAGGAATATGAACTGAACTGGTCGGAGACGACCTAGGAACTGTCTTGTTCAACGCACTATGTCAGATTACGGACTCGAGCAACCAGCTTGTCAAGAGGAGTCGGGTTCAGATGCCTTTCCCAGGCTATCCAGAAGCAGAACATGGGCAGATGTGCGCCGTGCTGTACATGTGAGTCAGTAACAATCAAAATCCCCATTACTAAACTATCTTGCCCCGGGAGTTCGGTGGCATGAATTCCGTTCAGATGGGCTCTTCCGAGCCATAATAGAGCTGTTTCGCAACGCGTTTGCCCTGCCTCGGGAGGAGCTCGCTTGGCCTTGCTCCAGGCGTCTCTCGTGTGGACTTTGGCCTTGCTCCGCTTCGGATTGGTACTACCCCGGGAAAAATCGCGCATTTCGAAACATCTCTATTAGAACGTATTTGCAACGTGGTTCAAACCGTTAGGCGTCAAACACTGTTGGAGGCTGCGTAGCAGGCTAAACCCGAGTTACGCGCCATTGTACGCTGGAGGGGCTGCATCTGTACAGCTCGTCACACTGCTAGGCCAAGGCCGCAGTGAGGCGGTGTAGAACGCTTGCCGATATGTTATATTGTCTGCGCAGAGGGTGACGGAATCCGAGCTTAGACAAGGTAAGATATATTTGCTTTTAACCTCTCAAGATCTCGCCCGCATATTCCGTGGGGGCCGCCCGGAGACAGTACTTCCTTCCAATAAAAACACTCTGGTAAGCTATTCCAACACCCCCAGCTGACAGGAGTTTTACAGTGGTGTACGTACGGCTCGAAAGACCGCCGTCATCGTGGTAGCCCACCTTCCCAATGGAGAGTTTCCGGATGGCCTCCCGGGGTGAGCTTGATGCGATCTTGGTACGCCACGTCGTTTTTACCCAGTTATTTGGTCTGACATCCCGGGTTACGTCGGGACAAAATGACCGGGTTTACGTTGAAGCTATTCGAGTACACGCATGCTACCTATCGACCTTAACTCGTTGCGCAGGTTAGCAGAGATGGGAGCCATGTGTTCACGCACTCCATACACTGGCATCACGCATACACTGACATCACGCACAGAATACCGATTTACAAAGAACAATGCTGCGAAGATCGATCCCTCCGCACTGAACGGGGCTTGGCGCTGCCGCCAGGGAAGTAAGCATGTTGCCGACTCGTCGTTTTCAGCGGAACGGTTCTCACAGCTGTCCGCCACCGAGGTGGAACTCCCGGCCGGATCCTGGCGTCAAGTACCATCATCTGCTCCATCTGACCGTATGCTAGAAGCCTGGGTCAGCATTCGGTCTTGAGGCCGCCACGCAGCGCAATTTGCTCGACAACATGTCGTCAGGCTGTGTTGAGACTGTGTCCCACTTTGTGCTCCTGGTGTCTGGAAGGGGTTCCGGCTGAACCCACTCCTCCGTCTTCCCTCCACCTAGTGCTGGGCACATGTCTCTGCTACTGCGCCACGTTTCGAGAAGCATTCGGTGCGGGTCCCGTCTCACGGCCCACGGGAACGCGCGTGCCGCACAATACACACCCAGGACGCGCCCCCGAGTCGCCGTCCCGCCGCGAGCCCGTTACGTTACGCCAGGACGACGGCAGCAGAGTTCTCGCACCTGCCGCTTTGCGCTGCGTCAGCTGGTACCGCAGCGGACGCCTCACGTCGATGCGCCCGCCGAATCCCCACTGGACGGGCCTGCCGGGCACGCATGCGGAGTTGTTGCTTACCCCACACCCCCGAAGTGTCGCGCTGGCACGCCGCTGGCATCAACGTACGCTGCGCCGTCGGTCGCGCGCACGCCCGGAAGGCGGTCATGGGGTCACTCGTGTGTACGGGACCCCCACTTCGCTCCTCTGCTTCTCCGGATGTAGCGGGGAGCGCAGCTTCTCGGTCGTGCCCATGACGTCCTTAGCGGGGCATCTCATCAAGCAATACGGCGCGCGGTACGCTTCGCGAGCGCTGTCGGCGGTATTCCTTCGAAGTTCTTGAACCGTTTGACAGCCCACTCCGCCCTAGCCGCATGATCTCTACTGAGGAAGTTGCGTTGCGATGCTGGCTGGACGCGCCCGGGTGCCTCATCAATGGTCTGTGTCATTCTGGAGCTGGGCGCGCTCAGGCCCGGTGCCACCACTCTGGCTGGTTCTCAGGCTATCCCTTTGATGGGAACTCGGGTCCGGTTGAAGTCGCGAAGCACGCTCGCGCTGCCGCTCTAGGACATATTTCGCCGGACGTACCTTTTGCACTCAAGACCCCGTTGGCGAACAATGGAGAACGAACGACTCAGGCGGGATCTTGCGGTCGGGTGCGCGTCTCCCCCGACGTCTCGACGGGCCAGCGGCGGACCGTCTGCACGCATAGCCCCGGGTGCCGTAGCGGCAGATGTGGGCGTTTGTATGACGGACGCCGACCACAGAGCTGCTTAACCGAAGTAAGTTCGTCGCGCGGTCCTCCAAGTCTAGCATGCGCTGATCATGGCGTTGCAGGAGGTAATCTGCGGCGACGCGCGTTTACGTGTGCAACGGCCGCTTCCGAGGAGTGCTGGACGACGCCCCTGTGATTACTTCGCGTGTGCGTATCTGCGTTCTCGAGCTCGATTGGCGGTATCTCAAGTCGAGAGGATCTCGCTACCGGTGATCATCGTGAACGCCTTCGCACGCACGAGACCGCGAGGGTGCACGTATCTAATCAAGACGCGTGTCTGTCCGTATATAAGGCCCGCCTCACTCGAAACGTCCTGTTCGTGCTCTGTTCTCTTGGACGATCTGCGCCCGCAGGGAGGCCTTGCGCCGCCTTGCGCCCGCTCGCGCGCTGTGCCACGGCTCGCTCAGCTGCTTGTCCTCTTTTCCGCACTTATGCTCGCTTACGCAACATCCTTGGATTAATTATTCCTGCTCTCCCTGGATGATTCGCCGATCGGCAAACTGCCATTAACTCCTCACCATCTGGACCCCCTATACCTCCGCGCCGACGCGACCGAGGGCTGGCAGAGCGTTCACCACCACCACCCCTTTGAACTTGCACGCTCTGCAAAACAGCGTAGGCACCGGACTCTGCCGCCACATTGCGCCTCGCCCAGGATCGCTTGCACCCCCGACGTTCACGCTATCTAGAGTGCCGGCGGCACGGCCCAGGCTTATCGCGCGGCTCCACCGCAGGCGTACCTTGCGCGCCGGTCGTGCCTCATCTGAGCTGGTTAGGCGGCGGGGAACGCGGGCCCGACGAATGGTGGCGGCCTGGTTTGCGCGGGATCGCGCGCGCCCGATCGAAGGGCTGCCGGATTGGGTGCGAAGATCGACGGGTGAGTCGTTGTCGCGCGTCGCCTGGCGGGGCTGCGCGCGCTTGGATAATGGAAAGTGCCTGGGCCGCGCGGGCCATCGAACATCAGGCCAAACAACAGATGATCGAGAGGCACAGAGGTACGTCAGAGACTCGCGGAAGGGGCTCCGCTCCGCCGGCTCGGGGCGCAAAGTAGCGGATGCGATGTCGAAAACATGCTCGGGAAAAATTCACATGTCCCTGGAGGTCGGGGCGGGGCTCAGACGACGGGCGCGGAGGTAGCGGGTAATAGTTCGTTCATGTTATAGGGGTGATGTACATGTGTGCGGGTGTCGTTCATAAAATACAAGTGTGTCGAAATCAGGGGTCAACGGTGCTAACGGTGTTTCACTTGAGCGTTGCGAAGCCAACCGAGTTCTGGTCGAACGAGAAGACACTGTAGACGTTCTTCATGAAGCTAACGGGTACGGTCAGAATTTGTCCGGTGGTGAAAGAATCTGTCAAGCTTACCTGTCGCCGAGCAACCAGGTGTTGGTGCCGAGACCGAGGTCCTGGCCGGCAATCGCACCGATGCAAGTCGTCGAGCTGACTCTGCCGAAGTTGAAGTTCGCGGCGCTGATCGTCCACTTCTTCCCGCCCCAGCTGAACGAGACGTTCGACGGGACGGAGCTGCACGGGAAGGAGTAGAAGCCGTTCGTCGAGTCGTACACCTTCGAGCCGGGGATGCTCTGGTAGAAGGTCTTGACCTGGCTCGGGGGACCGTAGATGATAGTCGTGCCCGAGTCGATGATCGTCTGGAAGTTCGACTGTACCGCCTGTTTGGGTGTAAAAGTCAAAATGTGTCCTTGTACGCGAAGTAGGGGAGTTTATCGTACCTTGGTGCCAACGTTCAGGCTCGCGCCCGCAACCTGCCAGAAGCCGGAGCCCGTGACGGCGTGATATTCAATCGCGCCCGTGTAGAGCGACGTATCGGTACCGCCGAGGTAGAGTTCCGAGCCGGTCTTGGCCAGCTTGAACGCAAACACGCCGGTCTTCACCGCGCCCTGAGTCTTAGCGGAGTTGAAGAAGGGGGGCTGGCGGAGGTTTGAAAGAGAAGGGAAGGCCAATCCCAGGATACCGTCCATAGCCTCCCCGCCGAACATGGAGGAGAGGGTGTTGACCGGCGAGAAATACTGGTTCTTCACGGTGATGCCGGCGACGGCGACGGTGTCGGTGTAGACAGGCCCAGAGACCTTGGATCCGTCGCCGTATGAGATGGAGAACGATCCGCTCTTGCGTGACTCGGTGGATGTCGTCGAGGGGTCGTACTTGTTCTTCCCGCTGCAGTAGGAGCTGGTGCAGTTTACGGAAGGGACCCAGAGGTCGGCAGAGCCGGCTGTGATTTACCGTCAGCATTGAGGCGGTAGACATGTACGGGTTGACTTACTATCAAAGTCGATGTAGAACTTCTTGCCGGGCGTGCCGATTTGGATGTTGCCCGCCCAGTACTGATCACCTCCTTCGTCGGTGAGAGCCTCAGCCTGACGCTTCTCATGGGTGCTGGACTTGTCCATCTGGGAGTAGTTGGCGACGGGGCGAATGTGGGCCCCCTCGTTGAAGTTGCTACGACCCATGTTGTGTTCGAGGTTGATCATGTTATTACGGTGCTTACTGCAAGCAGTGATGTCAGTACACAGTCATGAATTTGGGCCATGAGGGTACGTACTTGCGATCACGAACAACCTGCGCAACGGCGCGGTCGTGGTCGAACCAGCCGCTGTCGCTGGTGAAGCCATCGCGCTTCTCGAAGGGTATGCGAGTGCCGAGTCCCTCGGCCACAGGAGAGGCGGTTGCCGAAAGAACGAGAGCGAGGGTAATGAGGCTGGACTGGACGAACATGGTGAAGTGAGGTGGATGCAGAGGAATGATGAGACGAGATGGTGATGAATCTTGTAGGCCCAATTGCCCATAACTATATATTCAGAATCCCACATCCGCACTCGCAGGGGCCTGGGCGACGACACCTTTGGCCAGAAGACATGGAAACGGATGAGCACAGCGATCCACAGCGGTGTAGGACATCGCTCCGCCGACTTGACCGTATGCCGATCCAACGAATGGGCTGCTTACCGACCTGAATAGCGGGTATGTGGGCTCTTCTACACCCACAACATTGACTGACCGCCTCTCATTGGCCAGGCGCGAGGTGCGAGTCTGTCGGGGAAGGCGTCCACACCACCCGTGGCGGCGGATATAGGGCACCATCCGAACGATGACAGTGCGGACATACCATGTATGGAAATATCCGGCCACTACGCCACAAGCTTAGCGTCGTCAGCGGATGGGCCGACATGCAATTCCGAAACGGACTGCCGGGATGTTTGACTCGTTCGGTGAGTTGTCGGTGGAGAGCTGCAGGAATACCACCCGGAAGAACGGCTCGCAAAATTGCGAAGGCGGGAGGAATCGCCCGTTGATTGTTTTGAGAACACGACGTGTCGGATGAGACGGGTTAGCGACACCGAGAGCCGGAGTGATGCCCCTATCTGCTGGCGTCGGGCCACGATCTATGTCCTACCTTTCCGAGGACGATCAGGCAGCGGCGAACTCGAGGCAACGAGTAACAGCACGAGGCTTACTGATGTGTTCGCGCCGAGTCGTCAATATGCTGTAAGCGAGATGACAATGAAATTGCACGCACGCATGTATTATAGAAGAGAGCGTTCGTCTCATAGCGTCAGGTACAATTTAGTGCGGGTTGGATATGTGATGCGGTACCCAACATGTCAAGATGATAAAGCTCAGTCGAGCTTCTTGGCTTCTTCTGGGGATGGCTCGGTCTTGCCGTTCGTCAGTGATTTTGCCGCGGCCTTGTGCTCTGCCTTGTCCTCCAACTCATCCGTCCACGCCCATGCTTCCGTGAACTCACCGCGCGCAAGCGCAGTCAAGACGAAGGAAAGGATACATGCGGGGCTGTATAAGGGTCAGCGAGAATGATAGGGTGAAAATGGGAATGAGGGACGCACCTTAGGTATAGCAGAGCGGGTTGCGCCTTCTTAAAGACATGCATCACGGCCATCGTGGTGAAGAGCCCACTCGCGTAGGCAACAAGGGTAGCAAAGAAGTAGACTTTGGAGACACTGCCAGTCGATTGCCGTTGCGCCGCTTTGTGATAGTCATAGCGAAGAGCCATCGCGACGAACATGCCCGGGATGACGATGTCCCCAAGACCCAGCATGGTGAACCCGCGCTCAGTGGAGAACACCATAGATTTTGGCCAAAGGATTTTGATGGGAACGTCGAGTGAGGTGGCCACCTTAACCATCTGTGAATGAACGTCAGTGAGCAGTGGTTCGATAGAGGCCTGCCGAGATGACATACCACTTCGGTTCCAAATACCCACCATATATCGTAGATGAAGAGACCAGAAAGAAGGACGCAGCCGGTCTTGAACGAGTCCAACTTAAGCAAGGAGAGCGCATTGTGCGAGAACGAGAGCGCGAGAAGGTCCGTGAGCAGAGCAGAGCGACGTGTAGCGCTATTTCCAAAGGTATAGAGGAATGACGGTATAGCCCCAAGCGGAATGAGGAACAGTGACGGGGTGCGCAGCGAAACAGACAGTTGTTCTGCAGGAGACGGTGAGTGAGGGGGGATTTTCCTGAACGCGGCGACGCACCCTTGGCTCCTTTAAGGATAAGAAACTGGACCTTATCGAACTTTTGCCATCGTGATTGACCGACAGCCCATCGTGACAAGGAGATTAGCGACTGGAAAGCGTTAGCATGCGGTATGACATGATAAGAGCACGCCGTACTTTGCCGAAGCTTCCAATGCCTGCAAAGGTGAAGTACCACTGCAGCAGCCACGTTATCCACTCCTTGCCAAAGTACTTGACGATAAGATAGAGACCGAAGAGGACTGCGGAACCGATCTGAATGCGGTGGTTAGACGTTGTCACGCGACTGTATTCGGAAGCGACATCACGAACAACGGGGAATAGATAAGCATCTTGCGACGAGAGGCGGTCGACCTCCTCGTCTTCCTCTTCCTCCTCTTCTTCATGATGGGTCGAGGTTCCCGCTAACCGGGTACTCCGGCTCTACAACACGGAGCACGGTTGAGCGAAGAGCGGGAAGGATATCAACGTGAGAGTTTCTGACCGATAATGAACCGTGAGCGCCTGCATAGATGGAACCGCATGCCAGCGACAAGAGGCCCGCGTACGAAGAGAGCAGGTCCCAGTCGGTTCCGGCGGCGGACATCGCGGCGTGCAGGTGAGTAGTATTGTACGTATGGATTATGCCACGTCGCTCGTGGAGCGTAGGACGAGTTTGTGCTTGTTTGAAACGGAGGCTTTTGCCAAACATTCACAAACACCGTCTATCCAATCGGAGGACAACGGAACACGCCGATTGTTCCGTCATTGAATTGTTACACTGCTGCGTCGCGTTGTGGCTTTAGCGGAACCTATCTTGCATCTAACCCATCTAACACTTCCTATGAGCAGACTTGTTGATGTCTTCGGGATGGCGTGCTTGCCGCTACCTGGATCCGCTTCATTATTCAGGAGACGCCGCACGCAACCGTCGCGTGCCGTGCCTCCGGTGGCGGTGACTTCGTGACTCGCCGTAAAAATTAGCATTCTTGACAGACTAGTTGGATGCAAACCATCGAACCTTCTCAGCCACCCTCCTATCCTTGGCACCCTCTTCTTCATTTGTAGCAGGTTCTAACTAGGATGAGTACAACAACGGTCGTGCAACGTAAATCACTGAAGGATTGCGTCCGGTTAGTGTTCTTATGCCGTCCCCTTTGACGTCATGACGCTCATATCCCCAAACATTCAGCCACTTCACCCCAGCATGGTTTGCGGCCGTCATGGGTACAATCTCATATATTCTTGAAGAGATGATTCGGCTGTGACTTACCTCTTGCGTGCAGGGACGGGTTCCATATCAATCCTTTTTCTCAACTCGCCGTTTGCAAACGAATCATCGACAGTAGCGATCTTCACCTACATCTTCTTCTTCCTCAACCTTGCCCTCTTCATTCTCTTCAACGCGCTCACCATAGCGCGATATACCATCTTCCCCGACATCTGGACAATGATGATACACAATCCCATCCAAAGTCTCTACCTGGGCACATATCCTATGGCCGGCGCCACTCTCATTAGTGTTGCCGTGGGCCGAATATACGAGAGGGACGGATTCGGCGGGAAGGAATTCCTCTACGCAATATGGGGCTTCTGGTGGATAGACGTCGCTCTTTCGCTCGGATGCGCCTTCTTGCTCGTACATATCATGCAAGTATCTTCCATCCATTCACGCCTCTCAACTTAGCTGACCTCCCTCCGCTCCTAGGAAAACACGACACACCCACGCACTTGAACGAATGACAGCCGTCTGGCTCCTGCCCGTGGTCACGCTCATCGTCATTTCGTCCTCCGGCGGCGTTGTCGCAAACGCACTCGCCGCGCACTCGCCACACTACGCGCTCATCACCCTGACCGTCTCGCTTGTCCTCGTCTCCATCGGTGTCGGGCTCGCGTGGATGATCCTCACGATGTACCTTCTCCGGCTCATCGTCTACGGCGTCCCGCAGAACGCCGAAGTCCTCAGCGTGTTCATGCCGCTCGGCCCGATGGGCCAGGGCGGCTACTCCATCCTCCTCCTCGGCCAGGGCTTCCGCGAGGTGCTCCCGCTCACATACGGCTCTTCGCATGTTCTCCACCAGGAGAACGTCGCGGACATCGTCGCGGTTCTCAGCCTTGCTGCGGCCCTCGTGCTTTGGTCACTCGCGACGATGTGGATGATCTACGCCGTGCTTGCCGTCATCGAGGTCCTGCAGAAGACCCGATTCCCATTCACACAGACATTTTGGGGCCTTATCTTCCCTAACGTAAGTCTGCGCATGCCGTCTATGGGTCCATGCTGACCGTGTGCCGTAATGCACACAGGGCGTGTACGCAAACCTTACGATCCAGCTGTACCGGACGATCGACTCGCCGTTCTTCCGCGTGTGGGGCGCGATCTACGCGCTCGGGACGCTCCTGCTGTGGACGATGGTGTTCGTGCGGACGCTCACGCTCGTGCGCAACGGCGCGATCTTCTACTCGCCGTGCCTGGAGGACTTCGACATGGCGCGCGGGATCGAAAAGAGGCGAGTAGACGCACAGCCTGCCCCGCACTGCATGTCGAGTCTCAACAAAAACAGTTCGCCGATGAACAGCGGGACCTCGTCCGCGAACGGGCACTACGAGGTGGGCGCGCAATGAAGTTTGGAAGGGTCAGGGGCTTGAGGAGAGATGGGAGAGGCACGCGTATCGTAGTACAAGATTACTCGGTACAGCACACAATATATAGTAAATGATTGGGGGCACAACACACAAGGACTGACTCTGACTCTGGAGGGTCCGGTGGCCGGCACTCTATCCGCAATGATACAAATGAAGGACGACGCGAGGCTCGCCAGATCTACCGTGCGCCCTGCGTATAGTACAATCCATCCAGGTCCGGGGCACGGGAAAGGACAGGAAGTGAAGTATGCGTTGGGGACTACGAACCGATTAGTGGATAGCATGGGGTAGGCTAGACTCAGAGGGCTACGGTGGACGCGGACGCGTCGGGGCCGTCAACGACGCCGACGCCGATGACAAAGCCCTTCTCCGCGTCGATGTGTTTGGTGGGCGGAGGTTGGAGGTCGGGCACGTAGGGCGCCTTGAACAGTGACCCGTCGATGAACGCGGGGATGCTGCGGAGGAAGACGGTGATCCACAGGGTGAAGACGACACCTATTGGGTCACTATGAGTACTATTACACGTGCGGAACAAGAAATGGCACTCACCGCACCACGCTGCGCCGATCGCTCTGAAAACAGGGCTGTCGAGCACCTTCGCGAGCTGGACGCACAGAAGCGCGAACACACCGTTCGGGAAAATGAGGCCCCAGTACGCCATCGAGAATGGGATCTGGGAGCGCGCCCTGACGTGCCAGATAGACACGACGGCGAGGATGATCCAGGAGACGCCGAGGGAGAAGAGCACGAACGCGCCCAGGAAGCAGCCCGCGAAGATCATCTGGCCGGCGAGCGCGATGGTCGGGAACTCGTTGCCCATGTGCAGCGGGAGGAGCTCGGAGAGGTCCTGGCCATTCACGAGCAGCGAGAAGCCCCCTTGCCCGAGCGGCCCGAGCGCGAGGAATGCGGAGAGGATGAGGGAGGCGTCGGGAGGTCCGCTCGTGATGAGGCGGAGGAGGTAGACGGTGGTGATCATGAGCGCGAAGCCCAGACCGATGATGACCATGGTGAAGGAGAAGCCGGTAGTGACGAGGGCAACCGTGGTAGAGTGCTTAACGAGCGCGTTGGACAGGAGACCTCCTGTTGACGACGCGACGACGAGGGTGACCACGGGGAGCAGCCACACTCCAGTCATCTTCTGTAGCGAATGCTCTTGTCGAACCATCCTATGACATGTGAGCACGGTAGCACGGTATGCATAAACATTGAAGAAGGGCATACATGGTGTAGAGCATTCCGAAAGCGATTGCATAGGAAACGGCGGAGTCCAGCCACCAGAATCCCCAGAGAGTCCAGAGGAAGGCGTCGCCGCCGAATCCCCAGTCTTGGTTGATGTTCTACACCACCATTAGCAGGGCATCTGAAAAGCGAAAGTAAACAGCACTTACCAATGCGGCGTTGATCAAAGTAGCGGCCCCCATGGGGAAACACCCGATAAAAAGACTTTGTGCCGGATGTGACAACATCATCCACCAGACCTGCGACGTAGGTGAGCCACTGGAAACTCCTGGGACATAAGTACAAGGGTCTGTTGATCGTAACTTACCTCTGGGAACATGATGTACCGGAGGACCGTACATATGGAGACAAATACGAAGAGCACAAGGTTGAGGAGGAACATGCAGAGAGCAGCGACCTTCAGCGCCAGGCTATCATTGTGGTACGGGAAGTTGTGGAGGAGGGCAGAGCACACGCCCGTGCCCATGATCACGGCATACCAGGCCCAGGTGAAATGTCTAGCGCGAGCTGATAAGCGAGGGCACTAGGACGCGGGAGATCTCAAAACTTACCGGATTCTCTCGCGCCAGCTCTTCCAGGCGTGGACGGGGAGCAAAAGAGGCATGTTTGAGGCAGGAACGAGCCTGCAAGGCTGAGGGGATCACACAGACGGGCAAACGAGGGGGGAAAGCTCAGTCGCCTGCGGGGGCGGGGCCCCTGGGGCTATATAGTGTCAGCCGTCATGATACGAGCGGGCGACGCAGAATGGGCGTGCAGAGATTGGGACCGGACCTGGAACATGTGCGCCTAGCGAATTCCGAATAGTGGTCTTCGCCGCGTAGGAGACGGTCTGCCTCCAATCGTGGCCTGCGCATATCGCCGTGCGTGACACGGGATGCATGCTGTACACCACGCCGAGGCGCACCGCTCCCAGAGATGCCGAGTGGTATTCGGAATTGTTTGGCCACTGGGAGGAGGAGGATGACTGGCAACTGTCACACACTCGACCCGCATCCCGTGGCGCCCTCCGTCAGCACCGCCACTCACGTGTCGCCACGACGCCCCCGAGCACTCCCGCCTTCATGCTTTTGATCTTGAAGTGGTCTTTGGATACTGCCATAACATCACTACAAAGATGCAGACGGTAAGTGTGTGAGAACGCACTTGGGGACTTGTGGGGAGGAGAGGACCGACCTCCAGGGCAAGGATAGGAGTTCATGACTCCGCCGGTGCCACTGTCAGCCCCTTCGCTGCGACCCCTCCCGGTATTCCGAATACCATACTCCGAATGTCAGAGTCAAACCGCAGGGGTGCGGGCGGAGTCGTGTCACGGTAGAGCTTGTCTCACGGATCATGAGGCCAATAATAATGCTTGGGCGCCTAGATGCCCGGTCGTCTCCTGCACGCATGTTGCTGCGAGACGGCGACGTTCATGCCGAATTGACTGTTGGAAGAGAGACGAGAGTGGTTCTTCTCGTTCGTGGACCCACAAGTGTTCGCGCTGTGGGCATTTGCAATATCTCCACGCCACCTCATATTGCGTGCTCACGGGCCTGGGTCGGAGAGACGTCCTTGCCGCAGTAGGACACCGGATTGCCGGATTGGGCGGAGACATCATCCGTGCCGTCCAATACCTTTCTCCTGCCACGTTCCGGCTCCTGCACAGTCCTACCCCGCGTTCCCGTCTACTGTACATCCGCTGCTGGCTACTTGACGACGACTCTTACGATGCCCGACCGGTCAGGATACCAGCCTCTGCTCCAGGACGTGGATGGCGAGGAGGCCGACGTCTCCGAAGGACTCTCCTCACAGACGCTGCCAACACGAGGATTACGCAGGGCAGGTCGCCCGGTGCACATTGATTTGAGCAAATTAGACAACGCGTTCAAGAGGTGAGTGCCCTGCCATTACCGCCTCGTCCGCGTGCTCGGAGCTTGATGGGCGTTGGAGGTGGACGGAGTCCATTGCGCAGAAGGTGAAGCGGAAGAAGAAGGTCGAGGACAACTCGAAGAAGCAGATTTGGCACAGCGTCTTCGAGCCCCAGTACATCCCCTCCTTGACGTACTCCGGACCCGTAAGTAGCATAAAACCTTGCGCCGCCGGTCTGCAGTGGTAATGCGACGCTATGCAGACCAAGACGCTCGACCACAAACCGCCTATGACAGCAGCCGACTTCGAGATGTGAGTGCGGGTTGGGTTCTTGGGTGTACGTCTAGCTGAGCGTACAAGATTTGTGGAAGCAGTCCGAGACGCCATTGCGGAAGGCATTCACCCCAAGATGATCACCAAGGGGTCTTCTGGCTCATACTTTGCGCGTGCGAAGGTGGATGGGCGCATCCAAACTGTGGCGTATGTTTCTTATACGTGGTGTCGGTGACCCCGCATCCCTGACACTTAGGCAGTGTCTTCAAACCAAAGGATGAGGAACCATACGGACGTCTGAACCCGAAGGTGCGTCTATGATCCTGTTTATATACTTGCTGTACCTTAATACCCCACCGGCTAGACCACGAAGTGGCTGCACAGGCAATTCCGGTGGATCATTCCCTTCGGACGTGCATGCTTGATTCCGAACCTAAGGTAGGGTCATGTTATTGTTTCTTCGCTTCAGCTGCAGGATAACACTAGCCCAGCTACATCTCGGAGGCTGCTGCGTCTCTGCTTGACGAGCGCTTGTCCCTGAACATCGTACCTCGAACGCAGCTCGTATCCCTGTCTAGCCCTGTGCGTACACATCTAGGACAGAGCTTTACCTTTTTTCACTCCTTTCCAGGCTTTCTTCTACGACTGGTTGGACAGGAACGGGGCCAAGAAGGGCAAACCATTACCCGAGAAGATCGGGAGCATGCAGTATTTCCTCCACGGCTTCACCGGTATGTGGACACCCTTGGTTGTTATATGTTGCTTACCTCTCCACAGATGCATCTGACTTCCTGCGCAAGCACCCATGGCCGGGTCGCGCCATCTCTGACACATTCGACGACGACAGCCATCGAAAAGGTGGCTTCTCCAAGAAGTTCATGAGTGCTGTCAATGTGGTCTGCGGCAAGACTGGTGCAGAGGAAGAGGTTTACGACGATGACGAAGAGAATGACGACCGTATATTGTATGACGCTTCCGAGGACAGATCTGGACAGCCGTTCTACTGGACACCGGGCCTGCAGGACAGCTTCCGCGAGGAGCTAGAAAAGTACGTGTGGCATCATCTCGTATTCTTGCAGTGAGGCCTAATACATTTCTTTCAGACTTGTGATCTTAGGTATGCGCCCTGAACCTTTGCGGCCTGCTTCTTCGCTAATGCGATCCCAGACTATTTAATGCTCAATACTGACCGCGGCGCGGACAACTACATGATCAAGGTCTGCGAAGGCGACCATTCCAAATCTCTGGTGGACGTTGCGCCTTCACGAACATCACGACCTGAGATGCCCATGATGACAGAGTTGCGGCGAACGGACACGAACAACGGGCAGACCACCGCGGGCACCTCTACGCCCCCAATGTACTCACAGCCATACGCGAATTCCTCGATTCCGTACGTCAAGCAGCCGCACATACATATTGCCGCCATCGACAACTCGCTCTCGTTCCCGCACGAGCACCCGAAGGGCTGGCGCTCGTACACGTACGGCTGGCTGTACCTCCCGGTCACGATCATCGGCCGGCCGTTCAGCCAGAAGACGCGCGACCACTTCCTTCCGCTTTTGACATCGAAGGAGTGGTGGGCGGAGACCACGTTCGAACTTCGGAAGCTATTCGCAGTAGACCCGGACTTCCACCCGAAGATGTTCAGGGTGAGGACATTTTGCCTACTGTCACAGCGGAGGTAGACAACTCATTTCCTGTCACAGAGGCAACTGGCGGTGATCAAGGGCCAGGCATGGAACATCGTGCAGTCTCTACGGCACACAGTGAGTACCCGTGCTTCTCGCATACAGCTCCGGGCAACTGACACGGCTTTGTAGGACGAAGGTGACCACTCCCTCCCCTCCCATTCACTCCGAGACTGACCATTCCCAGGCCCGCTGGAGCTGACCCGGCGAACGAAGGTGCTCGTATGGGACGACGACGTGCCCGTCTCCGAAGACATGCTCCCGGACCTCCTCGCAGAGTCCGCGCACTCCGCACACGTCCCCGCAGTATCGCCGCACGCGTCGATCGCGACGATGCCTCTCCCGATGCCGCGCCGCACGCGCAGCCAGAGCATCTCCGGCTTCCCGCCCCCGCCGATGCGCCGCGTCGAGACAGACGTGACGGGCCTCTCGCGCCCCGTGTCCTTCTCCGCGAAGTTTCAGCGCGTACACCCCGCGACGACGGGCGTGACCGTGCTCGAACACATGGAGCGCCTCGACGCGGTCGAGGCTGGCTTGAAGCGCATTGGGGTCGAGGGCGGCGAAGAGGACGCGGAGGAAGAGCAGGAAGAGGTCGACGTCGGCGAGTCGTCCTCGTCCGTGCAGACGCTGCCGCAGCTCGTGCGCGTGCCCTCCAGTGCGCCCCCGACGCAGACGGTCTTCGGGACCCCGCCGTTGCTGCTGGAGCAGTCCTCAGAGGGCGGCGCGGGAGCGTTGTTGTCGCCGTCCGCGCGCTCGGAGCGGCTGCCCGCGGTGCCGGAGGCAGAGGACGCATTGTCGATGTCGATGTCGTTCACAGAGGAGGACCTGATCGCGATGTCGAAAAGCACGTCGCACATCGAGGCGCCGCACTCGACGCTGCACACCCGTTTCCAGAGCTACCACGGGTCGCATTCCCAGGTGGAGCGCCCGAATCTGGACTGGATGCAGGGGGAGCCCGCGGAGAGCCCGAAGACGAGGACGGTCATCGTCGAGGTGCGTGTTCTGTTCCCTCGGTGTACGTGAGCGGCGACGCTGATTGTCTGTGTGCAGCGTTTGGAGACCGTCGACGTGAAGCCGCTGTGTTCGTGCTGGTGAGCGCGCTGGGAGCTGACTCGCCTACTTCTCTTTTTGCTGTCGATGCTTTCGCTTTTGTCGAGGACGGTTGGCATAGTGCCCGTGTACATTTCGGATTAATATGCTTCGCGAGTTCGCAACATGATATACGCATAGATGATAGACTACACACGCGGACGCGCAGGTTTCCGTGAAAGCCTCTCAAGCACAACGCCCAGTGTCCTACAGATCACGACTCTCCTTGCTCCATGAGCCACTTCGCGAACTCGTCCAATCGGTTCTTCTCGTTCTCGTCGCCCCCTGCGGCAGCGTCGCCGAAGCCGCTCCGTCTGAACCGCTGTCGTCCTGCGTATAGCGAGGCCTCTACCCGACGACCCGCAAAGAATCGACCGTTCATTTTCTATGCAGGTTTCGTCAAACTGTGGGACCTTGACAAAAGTTCGGAACACTCACCAACACACATGCCTGCGCGCTAAGCGCATCCTTGAACTTGACGGTCATGATACCATCTGGCTCCTCCTGTAAGTGACAGTCAGCATGGGATGGTAGAAAAGCGGAGACCACGCCTACATCGTATAATACAACGTTGGTCACTTCACCTAGCGTCTCGCACTCTTCTCGCACTTCCTCCTTGAGATCGAGCAGCAGCGCGCTGTCTTCCTCTAGCTCCTTGAGCGTGAACATGTACTTCAGGACCACCACGCGTCCGTGCTTGTTCATCTCCTTGAGCTTGTCCTCCTCCGAAATCGAAGGCCCGAACCCATCCTCGTCGTCCCACTCGCCCAGCTTCCTGCATCGCACGTCAGCCCGCCGCGCACATCTGACGCGCATGTCAACGTACTTCTGCATCTTCCCGATCCTCCGCGTCGCGCGCTTCTTGTCATGCACCGTCTTGCGCGGGCGCGCCTCGCCGCCCCCTGCGCCCCCAGCCGGGCCCTGCTCGTGCTTGTGCCCAAACTCCGCGCGGCGCACGCTCATGCGCGTATTGGGTTCGCCGACGCGCAGCTCCGCATCGTCGAGCATCGTGATCGCGAGCGACACGCTCTCCTCCTTGAAGTACACGACGAGCGCGTCGCCCGAGAACGAGCCGTCGTCGCGCGCGTACAGCTTCACCTTCGGGCTCCCCTCGTCGTCCTCCTCAATCAGCCCGAACTTGCCGAAGCGCGCGGCGACCTCGTCCAGGTCTGCGTCCGCGGGCAGGCCCGTCACGTACACCGCGGTGTTCTTGGACTTGCGCTCGGGCGGTGCCGCGGGCGCGGGCGCGGCGGCCGGGGCAGAGGACGACGAGGATGACGCGCCGTTGTTGGATGTGGACGCGTCGTCGTTTTTGTTGCGCTTTGCGCCGGTGTAGTTCACGTCCTCGGCCTTGCGCTTCTTCTTCAGGCGCTTGAGGACAGGTGCTGCAGGTGTCTGCGCGCAGTCGGGGGCGGCGTTGAGTTCGGTCGGTCAAGCGGCGAAGGTGCGGCAAGGACTCACCTCCTCGTCTACACCAGCGATTGAGTATGCTGCTTGCTGCGCTTTCACGAGGTCCTCATCCAGCTAGAAGTGGAGGGATAGTCAGCTCCCGTTCACATCTTTAGGTGCGTTTAGGGACGTACCAGCGGGACCCATGCGCCCTTCTCGTCATCGTACTCGAGCTCCGTACCATCGTCCTGCTCGAACCTCCACGTTCCGGCGGTGCGATCGAAGTGGACGCGGGGGTCGTCGGCGAATGCTGCAGCTTGCGCCTCTGCTGAGGAGCCGCTCGCGAGCGCCGCGGGCGGGAGGCTTTCCGACGTCGACATGAGTGTTCAGGTGTCGCTGGGGTGGTATATCTTCCTAACTTTGCTGGTCTCCAAGTGGTTGCACTGATATACTAGGTGGTGGATGGCCTCATAGAGCACGAACGGTAGATTCACGAGCTAGGACGAGAGCAAGGGAGCAGTTGCGGAGACGCCGTGAAGTGGACCCCTTCCCACGATCAGGCACGTTTGTACATACGCACCGTCAAGCCACTCAGCTTCAACCGAAACGAGACCAAGAACACCAAGAGCGACATATACACCCTGACATGGCTATGCCCAAGACGCAGCGTGATGATGAAAGATGGATTTGGGAGCGTTACACCTCCACATTCACGCGACCACACGCCATGTCTAAACCACGCGAGAGTTGAAGGGACGATAGTGCATTGCCTGAATCTAGTCTACTTCACGAGCAACATCGGGAAGTACGCATGCGGGTCGTGCGGGGGATCCTCCACGCGCTCTGGCCGCCACCGCTTGAAGGAAATTGGGGGCACGGGGGGAAGCTTGGACTCTGAGTAGGCTTTGCGCGCGGAGGTGATAGTAGCAATTGCCTCCGTGAGGTCAACGGCAGCCGGCTGCTCGGCAGGGACAGACGATGCCTCAGATGCCTGAGCTTCGCCCGGGGCAGCGACACTGCGCACGGACATGAGTTCCCGCGGACGTGAATTGAAACAGGAACAGAAACGCACGCTTCCGCCTTCGCATGGTCGAGCAGCAGCGTGGAGAGTTCGGTCTGGGTCACCACCGAGATACGGGGGTATGCACGACGGACATCACGCTTCCAGTACGGGTTCTGCGCGGGGTCGGAGGCTATGGAGGTGTGAGCTTGGGAGACCACCGCCAGGGATCGTACGCGACCGTACCCTTTGTGGCCGGAGTGGCATACTTCTCTGGTCGAGAAGCAGGCTGGGGGTAACGGTTGCGGTCTGCAATGGGCAGACCAGTAGAGATTTCAGGATTTATGACCACGGCGTCCCCTACGAATGTCCACGACGATATGAGCCTCGAATAGAGCGCACCAGACAAGACGCAGATACGCACGGAACTTCTTCCAGAAACCCCTGGGGCTGAGATGGTAGAGAGTGCTCTCTGCCGCCTTGCGTGTCGCCATGGCCTGCAATGAGCACGAAGCGGAGAGGAGGGCGATGTGAACGACGAGAGAGACCGAACGGACGACGAGCACGCGCACGGTGACGCCCGAGATTGCCACGTGCGATGGGCGACTCTCCGCCGCTCCGTCTGCTCGGAGCGTCGAGCTCGTTCGCGTTTCTCATCATCCACGCCGCCTTCCACGGTCTCTACAAACACTGCGCTCGCCATTGCTCAGCAATGCTCCCCAGACCTGCCCGACTGCGATTGTTGACGTGCACAGCGCCTTCGGGAGCGACGCGGCGTGCTGTCCGCATGGACACCCACATCGGACATGGGCGCGCACCGCACCCCAGACACGTCTGGGGTTCCGGCCACTGCAAGGTTATGTTACCCCTGCCTATTCTCACTTGTGCTTGTGCATTCGATTTGTGTGCAGCGTTTGTGATTGGCTGCGGGACGGCCGCGACGTTTTTTCGGTTCGCGCCCGCCAGGTCGGTGTGCGCGCAATCGCGCAATCGTCGCGGTCGCGTTACTCAACCTCGCACCATCCGTCCAACTACACCCCCCGCATTCCAGGCCGGCCAAAATATAGACTTTTGACTCCGTAATCGGCCATTCGTGCGGTGCTCGAGCTGTCGTGCTCGCTTCCGGTGACGACGGGATGGCGACGAGCCCACGTCCTATAAAACGCGGGGTACCCTGGTACGTCGCTGTATTCCCCAGCAACTACGTTCACCTGCTTCCCCTCAGAGTCTGCTTTACACCATCTGCCTCCAAGCGACTTTTACGTCTCTAAGGACATCTTCGAACCATGGCTCAGGTTGCAGTAGCCGCCCCTGTCTCTTTACCTCCGTCTCTGGATCATGCTTCTACTCGCGTAGACACGTCCACGCCGGTTCAAAAGACCGATATCCAGGTCGAGCAGCTCGCATCCCAGGAACAGGCTACCGAGGCCCTCGCCAAGCCTAACCTTGACCCTCACATCTTGCCGTCCTTTGAGACGCGCGCCACGTCCCCCATCCTCTATCTGCCTCCCCTCCTCTCGTCACTTCCCGTAGGCGTCGGGCACGCTCAGCACCCCACAACTTCGCCGGCGTTCTCATCCCCCAGCGTGCCTCGCCCGCTGTCGACGGAGTCGCGCCTTCCCTCCATCGACCCGGCGTCCCTAGCGCTGCACCGCGCCTTGCACCACTTCCGCCCGACGACGGAGGAGTATGCCAAAACTCCATACCCGGAGGCGTTCAACTGGAACGAGCTCGAGCTTCCCCTCGATGAAGAGCGCGAGTGGTACTGCGTGGTCTTCCGAAGCCGGCGACGCGACGGCAGCGACGGCGGACGTACGTATTCGACCACCTTGTGCCTGTACCACGTTCCTCCTGACACTGATCCCCCTCTCACAGCGCTCTACGAAGCCGACAAGAAGGCACACGAGGAGGCCGTCCAGAACGGCGGTGTACGTCCACGTCACCTCATATCTCCGGAGCATACACTCATCCCGTTTTTGCTTACAGCTAATCCTCTACTGGTACGGCACGCCGCACCCCGAAACTGGGTTGAACCTCGCGACGTGCATCTGGCAGTCGCGCACGCACGCGGCTGCCGCCAACTCGCGTCCGCACCACATCCGCGCGATGCGCCTGGCCGCCGCATCGTACGAGCGCTATGAGCTCGAGCGCCACCGTTTGCGCAAGGTCAAAGGCGAGGCGCGGCTGCGTGTAGAACCCTACGACGGCGGTGACGTCGGCTGGTGATCGACGTAGGTACTCGCGCTATACCCTGGAGAGGTGATGTTTTCTTGGCTGTCTGTGTATATTGTTGTCTCGCTTTCGTTGTCCATCGTTTTCGGGTGTGTACCATATAATGGTTCTGTCTTTTTAGTATCTTCCCGACCGTCAGGGTGCTCCCCTGCATCATCCGGCCACTAGCTGTGCTACGATCGCCCCGACTGGATCAGCAGGAGAACGTCTACACGCACAGGCTTTCTCATTGCTCTCTGAGGGGATATATGCGCATCTGACAATCTATTCTCGGTCCGTTAGCATACGCTGGCCCTAAGTCGCAGGGCGAGGTCTGCGGTGCACTGGCATTCCGGGCATTTACATAAGGAACGCGATGGTTTCTAGCGTCAGCACTTCGAAGACGAGCGAGCTGGCCTTGCTTGATCCTATCGCCGTGTCCAATCAAACGCCGTGGCCACGCGTGGGTACGTTCACCTGAATTCGAATGTATCAGAGTTCCAAGCTATACTCACCAGGAATAGGCTCATAGGGACCATGCCATGCATTGCAAATATTTCTTCTGATCCGCGTGCAGCCGGTGCGGGTTACTGGTTGTTACTTGGGCCTCAAGGCCGTGGCACACCGTTATACGGGCCAAGACTCTCCAAGACTCTCCAGGACGCAGTGCATGATCTGATCCTCTGGATCCGTTAGGTTCGGAAAACATGGACTCGCCGCCATTGAGCCACCCGATTGCTGTGCTCACACTATATTTTGCGCTGCATTGTTCCTTCGCCTTCAATATTTGACGACCTGAGTGGAGACAGGTACGTCGTATCAACACAGCTCACTCAAAACCTTGTTCTTTTGGTGCGCACCCATTACTTCCGTACGTCTGACAGAAGACACAGGTTGCAGGGGTGAGTGAATCTTGTCTCATACTTTTCACCCGAGCGCGACCGGCTCCACGCCCATTCTAGGGCATACGGTTATCTCGCTTCGGGAACGCCCGTTCTTATTGCAAAAAACATGGTGACATAAGATGCCATAGGCTGCACGTTGCACCATGTCTTACTCGAGTGCACGAGCGCCATGGAGTGGTATAAGTTGAGCCGTAGCTGATACCTGGAGTTCAGCTCATTTCTCCTCGAGCAACCTAAATCTTTCCGAACTCACCATGACCGCTACGCAGTACAAGCATCTGGTCGTCTTCCCAACGTACTTCTGGGGTACGTGCATCTATGGCCCATCAAGCATTGGACGCACTAACACTTTGATACAGGCCACTCTCGCCCTATGTGCACGCTGGTCGCGCGGATAGTGAAGCTGCGCCCGGTCCATATCACGTTCCTCACCCTACCGAGCCTCCACGGTCGTGTGCAGGGGGAAGTCGCGCGGGACTTCCAGCCGGGAGAGGAGCACCTCGCAAGCAGGATCAGGTACCTTGAGGCCCCGAATACGACTCATGAGCACTCTCTAACGCGGTGTACCACAGAATCATTGCGATAGAAGAAAACGTCGCCCCCAACCAGATGAGCGGCGCGCCGGGGGCATTCAAGGCGGCTTGGAGCCAGCTTTGTAACGTCCAGACGCTTATCTGCGCGAAGACGGGAGCCAGCTTCGAGGCGCTTCCTGTCCGCCCGAGCGCGGCTCTTATAGACGTACGTATATGTGGTATTGCGCGATCTCTGGGATATACCGACACCCCCGGGTAGTTTTTTGCAGTAGAGGCTTTCGACGTTGTGCGCGAAGTGAGCGGGGAGGGGATGAAGCGGTACACCTGGTGGGCAGCGTCGACCAATTCCTTCTGGCTCGTCACCGGGAAAGACAAGGCTGCTGCGGCCCAGGCGGAAGCTGCACGCACGGGGAAGTCGGTAAAGGAAGCTGACTTGGATGTAGGTCTGGTGACATATTTCGACGGCTCTACGTTAACCTTCACGTGCGCTGTAGATGTTCTTCACTCTGAATGGAAGACTGGTCAACAGCCCGTGCACACCGACGATGCATGACTACGAGAGGCATCCCCAGCAGGTACGCCTTCCGATACCTGATATCGGCAGGCAGACTGTTGACCGCCAAGCCCACAGGTCATACTCCCCAAAGAGGAGTTCGGCGATATATTGTTCAGAATAGGCCGGTAGGTATATTTCCTGCGTGCACATGTCAGCTTGGGACCTTACGCCCGCGTTGCCCGCTAGGAATGCACACACCACCGACGGGATAGTCACCATCGATGCCGCGGAATACCAACCCGAGGCCACCAATGCCATTCGTGCATTTTACGCGGAGAGGGGCTCCGGGGAGGTCTTCTATGCAGGCCCTCTCCTGCCTTCCGGCTCGCAGGCCGTCTCGAACGAGAAGGTACTTGCACAAAATGGAACCGGGATCATGAACTTCTTGGACGAGAAACTCAAGTCTGTGGGCGAACGGTCCGTTCTTTATGTGAGTGGTTCTTGCTATATTGCTCTCGCCTTTGCTTATCATATACGCCAGCTCTCATTCGGCTCGCTCTTTTGGCCAGCTGACCCCGCCAAGATTTGGGCTGTGGTCGACGTTCTAATCGAGAAGAACGTCCCGTTCGTAAGTCTAGCATCGGCTTTAGGCATGTTCGAGCCTGCCACGACATCTTACTTACCTATGGGTTCATAGATCATGAGCCACGGCTCGTCGATGGCAAGTCCCATCCCCGATGATGTCAAGGCCAGGATCGAGGCCTACGGCAACGCGATCGTCTCCGACTGGGTTCCTCAACAAGCCCTCCTGGGCCACCTTGTGAGTAATCTTCTCGGAGGAGCGCTCGAAACCTCAGCCAGTCCTGTGCTCACGAGCTCACTTATGTGACAGGCGATAGGGTGGTACCTCACGCACGGTGGACACAACGGTAACATGGAGTCTATCACCTCTGGTGTTCCAATGTAAGTCCAAGCCTCATCGTTGCTCTGACTTAGCTGAGTGCCGATATCGGCCCCTTGAAGGATCGTGTGGCCGATCGACGCAGACCAGCCGCTCAACGCCATCCACCTCACGGAAGGGCTCAACGTTGCATATGAGCTCATAGAGGTGCGCAACGGCTGCGGCTTGGGCAAGATCTACCGTAACGGGCGCACGCCCGTGGGCACCATCGACGCCGTCAAGGAGGAGATGCGCGGTGTCCTTGATCAGGCGTTCGGTGCGGATGGCGCTGAGAAGCGCGTCCGGCTGCAGGGGCTGAGGACAAAGCTGCAGGCGGCGTGGAACGAGGACGGCATCGCGCGGCGCGAAGTTGGTGCGTTCTTGGATGAATTTTAGCAGACTAATAGCGTTTTCGGCGTACATAGAGTAGACGTTCCAGGTTATATCTAGAATATCGGTATAGGAAAAAGGACTCACTGGCTTAGATCGCGAACTTATGGTTATCATTCAATTGAGATGTCAGCTTCACTGGAGTACTCACCACCGCCCGTCAAGGGCAATGCAAGCGGCTAGTAAGTAAGACCTGCTAGACCTCAAGCTTGAAGTTTTTTTGTCGTAGTTTGGGAACCTGGATGTTCGTGCAAGGATCGGGCTGGCAGTGGCACTGGCATGGCCGTCCGGACCTGTCGATGTCGCGACTATATGTAGCCTCAGCCTGGATGGCGTTTTGAGGACCGGTTTTGCCCGGATTATATCATGCCTAGGGGCTTTCGGAACTTTTCCAAAAATATCCATATTAAGCGTCAGGTCAGGGATTTTGGTGAATTGTCGGGGGTGCTCCTCTACCATCATCTCGGTCGTCGACTGCGTCGCTTTCACCACATAAGTAGTTTGGATTGCATGACGCCTTCAATATTTCAATCGTTGCTCTGAAGTCTTGGTGGAAAAGGTACGTCGCGTCGACACAGCAGGGGCTCGACATCTCTCATAGTTCTAATCGCCGTGCAGTTCTGGTGCTCACAATGTTTCGGACTTGAAGATCTCAGGACAGCACTAGTGGGTACTGTATCGTGTGCACTGGCAACACAGCCGTGGTGGTGAAAGTGACCGTACCTTTACTTATCGTCCTCGCCCCACCCAAGGCAGCTGCACATATGGTTAACCAGTGACCCGATCCATACGGGGTCGGAGAACGCTTGTACGTACGAGATACTCGCTGAGATTCGTCATACACAAGCTGACCGATCGGCAGCGTGCGCTATGAACGTAATCATGCTGTGCGTTCTGTATACCCATGAGAACTCAGCGGAGCGACCATGGAAGTGTATTTCATACATGCTGCCCATTGCAGCCGGGCATCCTACAGGAAGACAAACTTTCTCAACGTTTCTGCAAATCCCGATTGTGTAATGTGTCCAGTCCATGGGTTTCGTTCAGTACATGCTGAGTTGTTTGCATGGATTGAAGGCAATAGCGTACGGCGGATGCGATAGCCGGCGCCGCCGTCTCGCTTGCGTATGTTTTCGCTTCAAGTATCGCATCGATTGTCCTCTGGCTCTCGGTTCGCCGTCCTGGCTTTGCAGTCGTGGCCGGCATGCGCCCCACGATGTCGGTCTCTATTTCACGGCACACATCTTTTGGGGCGCGCCCATTACTTGCCGGCGCCGGTCGGGCAGAAGACACAGGTTGCAGGGGTGGGTAAGTCTTGCCTCATGCTCCTTCCCTGGGCCCGACCGGCACTGCGCTGACTCCAGGGTGTGCCCTCAACCCGCTCATCTCGCTACGGGACCTTTTATTGCAAAAGCATGGTGACATAAGATGCCACAGGTAGCACGTTGCACCATGTTTTACCCGAGTGGGCGAGCGTCATGGTATGGTATAAGTTAAGCCGTCGATGTTACCTGGGGTGCAGTTCATTTCTCCTCGAGGCTCGATCATCGTTTCTAGACTCACTATGACCGCCACGCAATACAAGCACCTCGTCGTCTTCGGGACGTATTTCTGGGGTATGTGCAATGATGGCTCATGAGTATCGGAACGCACTGACTCTCCGATACAGGCCACTCTCGCCCTATGTGCACGCTGGTCGCGCGCATAGTCAAGCTGCGCCCGGTCCATGTCACGTTCCTCACTATACCAAGTCTCCATGGACGCGTGCAAGGGGAGGTCGCGCGGGACTTCCAGCCAGGAGAAGAGCACCTCGCGAGCAGGATCAGGTACCTTGGCGACCCGACTACGACCCGCGAACACTCTCTAACGCCTTGCGCTACAGAATCATCACGATAGACGAGGGCCTCACCCCCAACCAGACGAGCGGCGCGCCAGGGGCATTCAAGGCGGCTTGGAGCCAGCTTTGTAACGATCAGCCGCTTATCTGCGCGAAGACGGGCGCGAGCTTCGAGGCGCTCCCTGTTCGCCCGAGTGCGGTGCTTCTAGACGTGCGTGTGTGTGTTATGGCGCGATCTCCGAGATATGCCGACACGGTGACCCCTTGCGCAGTTTTTCGCCGTAGAAGCCTTTCACCTCGTGCGGGAGATGAGCGGGGAGGCCGTCAAGCGGTACATCTGGTGGGCGGCGTCGGCGAACTCCTTCTGGCTTGTCTCCGGGAAAGAGAACGTGGCTGCGGTCCATGCGGAGGCTGAACGCACGGGCAAGTCGGTGAAGGAAGCCGCCCTGGATGTAAGTCTCTTGATATTTCGGCGGCCCTGCGTTGACCTCTATATGCACTGTAGATGTTCTTTTCCCTGAATGGGAGACTCGTTAAGAGCCCCTGCACACCGACGATGCATGACTGGGAGATGCATCCCCAGCAGGTACGCCTTCCACTACTTACTGTTAACAGGGTATTGACTGCGAAGCCCTTAGGTCATGCTCGACAGGGAGGAGTTCGGCGAAATAATGGCCGGGATAGGCCGGTAGGCATGCTTCCGGCTTCTACATGTTAGCTTGGATGCTGACGCCCACACTAACCGCTAGGCTCCCGCACACTACTCACGGGATAGTCACCTTTGATGCCGCGGATTACCAGCCCAAGGCCACCAATGGCATCCGTGAATTCTACGCGGAGAAAGGGACTGGGAAGGTCTTCTTTGCAGGCCCCCTCCTGCCTTCCGGCTCGCAGGCCGTCTCGAACGAGAAGTCACTGGCACAGAATGGAAATGGAGTTATGGACTTCTTGGACGAGAAGCTCAAGTCTGCGGGCGAACATTCTGTTCTTTACGTAAGTGTTTCTTGTGCTATGGCCGTTTGCCTCGCTAATCATAGACACCAGCTCTCATTCGGCTCGCTCTTCTGGCCATCGAACCCCGCCAAGATTTGGGCGGTGATCGACGTGCTAATCGAGAAGAACGTCCCGTTCGTAAGTCCAGCTCTCCGTTTTAGGCGCATTCAAGCCTGTCACGACGTCTTATTTACACGCAAAGTCATAGGTTATGAGCCACGGCGCGTCGATGGCAACTCCAATGCCCGACGACGTCGAGGCCAGGATCGAGGCGTACGGAAACGCGATTGTCTCCGACTGGGTTCCACAGCAATCCCTCCTGGACCATCCTGTGAGCGATATTCCTCAACAGCCAGCAACCCCATCTAGTCATTTACTGACAAGATACGTGACAGGCGACAGGGTGGTACCTGATGCACGGCGGGCACAACGGCACCATGGAGACTGTCACATCTGGTGTCCCAATGTAAGTGCCGATCCGTGTTCGCTCTGACTTCGGTTCCACATGCTGATAACCCTGCCTGACTAGGATCGTGTGGCCGATCGACGCGGACCAGCCGATCAACGCTGTCTACCTCGCCGAAGAGGTCAACGTGGCATACGAGCTCATCGAGGTCCGCAACGGCTGCGGCCTGGGCAAGATCTACCGCAACGGCCGCACGCCCGTGGGCACCATCGACGCCGTCAAAGAGGAGATGCGCAGCGTCCTCGAAAAGGCGTTTGGGGCGGACGGCGCTGAGAAGCGTGCGCGGCTGCAGGTGCTGAGGAAGAAGCTGCAGGCGGCGTGGGGCGAGGACGGCGTCGCGCGGCGCGAGGTCGGTGCGTTCTTGGATGATTTCAATTACTAGGAAATGGACAGCGTTTTTGGCGCATATAGAGTAGACGTATCTTTCGGGTTCAAGTTATATCTGATGTATCGGTACGGGGACGTGGTTACATAGGACTCACAGGCTTAGATCACGAACGTATGATTATCATATGAGATGTCAACTTTGCTAGAGTGCTCACCACCACGCGTTGCATGCAATCGACATCTCCGCAAGCCAAATAAGACTTGCTATTTTGCTCTACCTCAAAGTGCAGAGGCAAAGCTGTTTTGGAGACGCGATGCTTGACTCGCCAATCGTCGGATGTACTCGAATGGGCTAGTTCACGGGCCCGCAAAGGGCGGGCAAGCCCTCTGTTGGTCTGCAAGATTGTCCTAGATGCTGGGGATTCTGAAGCCGAACAGGCAGACATTTGACATGCAAATGAAAATCATACAGTCAACATCAGTACTAGCGACAACAAAACAGCAAAGCAAGCCTAGAAAAAACATCATAACGATCTCCCTGAAAGACAAAATCATCCACAAACACACAAAACCCTCAGTCCGACCAATCCTCAATCGAGTCTCGGGACACCTGCGACGCGCCCTCCAGCTCGTCCACCTCCTCGATGTCCGACGTCAAGCGCTGTGGGGAGTTGTGGGTCGCCGCATCCTCGACACCCCGGTATATCGAGCTGTTCTCGCGCCCTTCACACGCCTGTTCTTCGTCTTCTCTTCTCTCGGGATCCTCCCCGGCGCGCCGGGGTATGACTGGCAGCTGCGCCGCATCGGCGAGGCTTCTCTTCGCGGGGCTGGCGTTCTATCGGGGCCGTAAGCATATACAATGTCATTGCATATTAGGCAGCACTGTGCTTACCTCCGTCTTCACGGCATCGGGATTCGGGCGAAGGTCGCTCGACCGAGGGTTGGTCTCGATCGGCACAGGTGTATCCTCATCCTCGCCGCGCAGCGGCGATATGTAGATCCCCGGGGCCGGTGCGAACGAAGGCCCACAGGGCGGCGTCGGCGGGCTACCCTCCCGTATCGCGTCAGGCGATGACACAACGCGTCCACGCCCTGAGGAGCCCTGCGCAGGACCGGACATAGGCGTCGTAGGCGTAGGCCCTAACTCCGTGCGCGGGTCCGCCAAGCGTCGACGCGGCGTCGACGGGGCCGGCTGGTCGCGCGGGGCCACGATCCACGCGAACAGGCCATCTCCGCCCGAGCCTTCCTGAGAACCGTCGGGGTCTTCTTCGTCGGGAGCGTGGTCTTGAGAGACGGGCGTCTTGGGAAGATCGGTTGGGGAAGCTTGGGGGACTGCATCGCGAAGCTGCTCGGGATGACGAAGCAGATTGTGAGCCGGGGAATATGGGAGCGTGTCGCGTGGAGGCGTGTGGGGAGAGAAGGCGGGGCTGGCGTCGTGTCTTGACCTGGGACTACTTGCATCGAGAATGGCTTGTGCTGGCTGGGACCAAAATGTCTCCTCCGACTCCGCTGCGACGCGGACAGGAGATGAAGATAGAGCTAGTTGCGGATTGCTCCGGTCGAATCGCTCCCACCTGAACTCAGGTACGTCACAGGGTGCTGCATTGCGTTGAGGTGGCGCGACAGCGGGGGACGGTGGGAGGGTATACGGAGGACGCGGATCGCGCTCGAGCTCGTTGGAGTACAGAGGCTTTGGCGGTAAGCGAGCTGGGGGCGGTCTCGGGCAGCGGGGATCTCTTGTTACGACAGGGGATGAGAGTAGATGTGCTGGGCCCGGAGTAGCAAAGGGCTTGAATCCGAGGGTGCGCGGCTGTAGAGGTCCAGACGAAGGTCGAGATGTATCAGATGATATTTCCAGACGAGTGTCCGCCACAGGTGAGTATATTGGAGATCCATTTTTCTCCCGAGACGCTGGCATAGTATGTAGAGGAGACGAGAGGCCTGACGATGATAGGAATCTCGGCGGTGAGACATCGTGATTCCGAGCCAACAGTAACGTGTTGCAATTCGGATGGGAGCTGGCAGAGGGGGCAGGGGGCGAGCAGAGCGGGCCAGGCGTTGAAAACGGCAGAAAGTTGGGATGTGGTTCGTCTCGATCCAGGCTGTGGAATCTCGTGGCACTTGTTTCCGTAGGGAACTGTTGTTCGCTGACATCTAGCTGTAGCGGTAAGGGGACAGGGTTCTGTTCCAAAGTGAAGCCGGACGCCGGACCAGGAGTCGAGAACGGTCGTAAAGAAGCTGCCAGGGGAGTTTGGGCTCGAGGTGACCATCCAGCGATATGATTGTTGTCGAGAAGCGTGCGGGAAATCCCAGCAGAGTCATGCAGCAAAACACCAGGCTCCAGGTCGCCGTAGGTCGAGTACGCGTTAAGGGCGGGCGAAGAAGCCCTCCGAGGAGGGATGACAGGAGCAACGAAAGCAAACGGAGTGTCGTCGACAGGTGTAGGCAGTGAATCTGAGCTCAGATCAAGAGCAGAGGGACTAGAATCTCCAAGCAGCGCGGACTGTCCGGGAGCGAGAAGCCGCAGGGGATGCTTGGGTGCCAGAGAAGAAATAGTGCCTCGCAACCAAGCTGGAAGGTGCTCTTTGGGTTTATTCATGCCCGGCTCTCGAAAAGCGTCGACAGCAAACATATCTGTACCAGCTAGAGAGGGCTCGGAGACCCGCATCTTGAGAACAGAAAAGTCGCGGCCGAGCCTATGGTCCTCAGGCTGAGGCGTCTTGGGAACTTCACAGCTTGTTCCAGAGGATGATGAGATAGCGCGCCCTCGACTCCGACGTCGCTCTGTGATATGAGGATGGCGCGGGCCGTGCATGATATTGACCGTCTGGATCATCCTATCGTAACGCGAGTTCATGCCGTCCGTCTTCTGCCGTTTGGATGGCCGTGTCGAGGCTTCAAAGACCGCATATAGTATGGATGTGCGTCAAAGAAATATGTACTTACAATGTGCGCTGCCCGATGTGGATAGGCTGGCCCTCTCGTGAGCCTTGAAAATGCATCCGAGGGAGCAAACTCAGTCGGAAGCTTACCGGGCGGGCTGCAGTCCGTTCAAGAGCAACCGTCTGTCGTCAAAAGACATGTCATGCGAGGCTCCTAGATATATGCGTGAGACAGGGTGGAAATGAAGCAAGCCGGAGGACAGGGCGCGTGGTGGTCGACAGCAAAGAGAGTTACGCGACTGCTCGACGCGTCGCGTCGCGTGTTTACGCGCTCTTGGCAGGAGTAGACGCCAGTGCGTCACAGCCCGATATGGACTTCACTCCACAACGCTTTCTGGCAGGTCGGTACCCGCTTGGACACAACGCTCAGGCTGTATGATCCGTGCACAGACCCATGGTCTAGATTCATGGGGCCAAATGACGACTACCCGCGCTGCGTCGTTGGTGGGGCTGAGGCTGTGGCTTGGAGTCTTCGACTGACATATACGTCCGCCCGAGGACCTAGACCGCCAACGACCCCCTCGTTCGCTCGCTCATAAGCAAACACTCGGCCACAATATCGTTCACTATACAGATACCCCTCTACATCTCAGGCACAACACCCTCGCTACGCTAGTTCAAATGGCACCCAGCGTCGATGAAGGTCAATTTGTCTACAACGTTAACAACCTACGTCCTCCTTATGCCGCACTGACGCAAGAATTTTGTATTGGCAGTGACACCACCGAGCTCTGGGTATGTATACCCATCAATACGGCTCCACCTGGGTAACTGAAATAGTGTCTAGAACGATTATGGAAACAGAGGCGCCCTCGCACCTCACGTTCACATGTGCCGTCGCCTCCGCGCAAGGCCCTCGAGATGAGATGGAGGACACGCACACGATCGTCATTCCTTTCGCAGGAGTACACGGCCAAGCCCTCTTCGGCATCTTTGACGGCCATGGGGGGGACGAGGTCGCGAAATGGTGTAACAAGCACTATCCCGAAGTGGGTACTCAGTGTTTATCAGGCCTCGCTCGACATGCTGACGCCCTTCGCGACAGTGCTTATTGAAGGCATTAAAGCAGAGCAAGAAGAGAAATATAACAGAATCAATCAAGCACTCTTTCAACGATGTGGATCGTAACATCCACGATCTGTGGGCCAAGTCGGATGGGGAGGTTCGCTCCGGGAGCACAGCCGTTGTTGCCTTCATACGCCTGGAGGATGATAGCGGGCAGCAGTCATTCATACCTCCCGATTATGGCCCCCTCAAAGCAGTCGTGCGAGGTGCCAGTCGTGACAGTGAAGCCAACAGTGAGCGGACCTGTGGCAATTTTACCTACCCGAGCTGTACACCAACATCTTGACCCTGTATAGATAAAGACGCTACTAGGGTTGACGACGCCATAATCCCTCCATCCGAAGTCCGCAGAGTGCTCTATTGTGCCAACGTAGGAGATGCACGAGGAGTCCTCTGCCGTGCAGGAAAGGCCATGCGCTTGACATACGACCACAAAGCATCCGACAAGCGTGAGGCGGCCCGTATCGAGAAGGAGGGGGGCACTATCGAGGACGGGCGGGTGGATGGCATGCTCATCCCGACGCGCGCTCTCGGAGACCCGGAGATGAACCACTATGTCACGAGCAACCCGTATACTACGGAGATCGAGCTCGGCGACAGCGACGAGGTTCTCATATTGGCTTGCGATGGGGTACGTCGCGTCACTCCGAGATATAGAGCTTAAATACTGACGTTCATTGTAGTTGTGGGACGTCCTCGAAGATCAGGAGGCGGTGGATCTCGTTCGCGGTACCCGCGATGCGATGGAGGCAGCGCAGAAACTCCTGAACGAGGCGCAGGTGCGCAAGACTTCGGACAATGTGACCGTGCTCGTAGTCCGTCTGCAGGGCCCTCCGAAAGGCGTTTGAGATCATTGTTTATTAAGCTTTCGTGTTTTACTGTTTGGAACTGATATATACGATATACCATGATACAAGCTGTAGTACCTGCATGCTCTCCGACAGGATGGGTCGGCGGCCGCCGTCCGGCATATTCGTTCGAAGGCGGGATCCCGGCCATTTTAGGCGGTGGATAAATAGACGCCGTTCGCCATCGGGCAGGTGAATATCGCAATGCGCGTAGCGGGACCCTGGCGTCCACAACGTCCTTGTACAGTACCACCATCATCATGGACCTACAGTGATCGCCAGCCTGTCATTTCCTGCTCCCCAGTGCTCCCCTCGTCGACGATTCCGCGACCCAAGCTATGCTTAGCACCCGACCGGGTGTTGCAGATAACCCAGATTACGATATCGAGCTTGTCAGCGGCACACCCACGCGCGTTCTCGTAGGGATTCGCGCCGGCATGACTTTAGCGATTCACCCAGTGTTTGCTCTCTTAGCTTCTCATCCCGTCCCACCACCTCGTCGCCGCTATGCAGAAGCCAGGCATCCTCGCTGAACCTCCCCAGCCTCCCCGCGCGCGCTGCGTATCTTGGCGCATACGGGCCTGCCTCGCCGGTATCGCTCTCTGGGGAACCTACCAATACTCCAGCTCCCTTCAATGGAACGGTGACCAGGGGCCGCTTTGCGGCTTGCCTGCGCTGCACAAGAGCAGTCGTACGCGGGTGCCCTCAGCGGGACGCAACCCCGCATATCTGGTGCGCGCGACGAACGGCGCGGTCGCGAGCGAGAACGAGCTCTGCTCCGACATCGGGGTTAACATCCTCAAGGACGGCGGCAACGCGGTTGACGCGACCGTGGGCACGACGCTCTGCATTGGCGTTGTGAACATGTTCTCGTACGTCTCCCACTTCCCCACCCCTTGCGCTGCACTGACGCGCGCGCACGCGCCCCGATAGCTCCGGGATCGGCGGCGGCGGGTTCATGACGGTGCGCATTCCCCCCGCGAGCCCTGGGGCAGCGTCGGAGGTCTTCTCGATCGACTTCCGGGAGACGGCGCCGGCACTCAGCAACAAGACGATGTACGTGGACGACCCGCTCGCCGCGCGCTGGGGCGGGCTCGCGGTCGGGGTACCGGGAGAACTACGCGGGCTCGAAGAGGCGCACAAACGGTGGGGGAAGCTGCCGTGGAAGACGCTCGTGCAACCGGCGATCCGGTTGGCGGAAGGGTGGACGGTGCAGACCGAGCTGGACCGACGACTTGAGGTTAGTCTATTCCCCGAATGGGCGCAATATATGCGCAAAGTTTGGCACTCTGAACAGCGTTCTTGGTGTGCAGATGTTCGCGCCATTGATGCTCAACCATCCGGACTGGAAGCCGATATTCGCGCCGGAGGGGCATACGCTCAAGACGGGCGAGACAATCCGGCGCACCAACCTGTCGCGCACGCTCGCAGCGATCGCGGAGGGCGGCGCAGACGCGTTCTACACCGGCCCCATTGCAGACGCCATCGTCGAGAAGGTCCGCGTAACCGGCGGCATCCTTTCACACGCGGATCTGGCACAGTACGAGGTCCAGGTGAAGCGTGCGCTACAGGGCACATACCGCGGTCGGACGGTGTACACCCCGCACGCGCCGACGTCTGGGCCGGTACTGATCCACATGCTGAACCTCATGGAGCACTACGACGACCTCGCCGAGGAGGGCCGTACGGTCGTCAACGTGCACCGTGCCATTGAGGCTATGAAGTGTGAGTGTGGTGGTTGATGCGGTTTTGCGGGATTTGACTAAGCACTTGCGCTCGCGCGCGTTCAGTCGGCTTTGCTGCGAGGTGAGATGGGCCGTTTCCCGGTGCCGGGCATAGCTGACGACGGGCATCATCCAGGACTAGGATTGGCGACCCTCTGTTCCATGATGAGGTGCACCGCATCCATGAGATACCCACCAAGCAATATGCCGACGATGTGTTCCCTAATATCACCGACGTACGTGGCATTGTAGACTATCCTGATAACATGCTAAGCGTGGGATACTCGTACCAGGATACCACCCACTCACCGGAATACTACAAGCCGATATATGACATTGTCGAGGATCACGGCACGGTAAGTTGGGTTGAATTTCTCTCATGTTATTCAAGGATTACTGAGCTTCTATCTCGAATACAGAGCCATTCGTCTTTCGTTGACAAGGACGGCATGGCTGTTGCATTGACGACTACCGTGAACCTTATCTTTGGTTCTGCGGTCCTTGACCCTGTCACTGGCGTTATACTTAATGATGAGGTAGTTGTCTTACAAGTTCTGTCGACGACGCGAGCTCATATGGGCTATGATAGATGGACGACTTCTCTACACCCGGGATGCCTAATGCATTTGGGCTTTATCCCTCTCCTTGTGAGCATCCCCGCAAGTCCCCTTCGTGGTGGCAGTATTTCTAATTTTGTGGCAGACAACTACCCCGAGCCTGGCAAGCGTCCGCTGTCCTCCACGACGCCTACGATCGTAGAGCACGAAGATGGTTCATTCTATGCGGCCATCGGTGGCTCAGGCGGCTCTCGCATTTTCCCCGCCGTCTTCCAGGTGCTCTTGAACATGGACTGGGGTATGGACGTCAGTGCCGCCATCGAATATGGTCGTCTGCATGACCAGTTGTTCCCCACAATGGTGGACACGGACGACACCCTGCCTGCAGAGCTCATCGACGGCCTAATTGAGAAGGGACATAATATCTCCGGTCAGTGGAAAGCTCAGACGGGGAGAGGTCAAATGCTGAATATATGCTGTAGTGGCGGAGATCGACCGTGTCGCTGCCGTCATTCAGGTGGTTGCGAAACTTAATGATACGATTTACGGTGGGTATTGGGCTTCTTCTCGCCTTACACGCCTTCTCTGACATGTCGGAGTACAGCTGCTAGCGACTCCAGGAAGAATGGGATCGCAGCGGGTTATTAGCGGGTCTCAGCCATACTACTGACCGCGTTACTAGAATATACTCTGCCTACTGGTGCCTTGAACGTGATTAGCACCATGCTGCCACTGGTCACCTCTGGCAAGTTTATCCGCTCGACGTATGGCTGCAGTGTGGTGCGTGCGCTGGCAACATATGCCGAGATCGCTGAGGGGGCGGACCGTCCGCCACGTGTGCGTAACATTGCGTCCATGGGTCGCACTTCTCGAGGCTTCGCGCTCGTTATGCGTCGCCATCACCCCCGCACTGCCATGGAAGCCTATATAGCGTGCGCATGGTCTGGCCACGGCAACGTCCACGGGACCGAGCACAAGCGTACTGGGTAAACTTCGCACTTGACCCCGCAAGCGAGGTTACACCGGGCCGCCGTTCGACGCGTCCCGCTTTCCGATCACCGCGGTTTATAACAGTAGGTCGGGGCAGGCGAGAACGCGAGTGTCGTTAAGAACGCCTACCAACCTACTCACGATGTTCAGCGTCGGCTTGGTCTCAGCAGCTCTCGCGCTTGCGCCGTTCGTGAACGCGGCAGCCCCGCAGTGGGGTCAGGTGAGCCTTGCGTGGGTGTATGTACCTAGCGACTTCATCCCGCTGACCCGCGACACGGTCTAGTGCGGCGGCATCGGCTGGACTGGCGACACAAGTACGCGTCATTCAATCGCATAGGCCTGTAGAAGCTACTGAACGTGTTGTTCACGCAGCTTGCGTCTCCGGCTCCGTGTGCACGGCGCAGAACGCCTACTACTCGCAGTGCCTGCCCTCCGCCAGCGTACCGAGCAGCACGACCGCGGCCCCGTCGCCGCCTCCGCCCACCACCGCGCCGAGCTCGCCCACGACGACGGCCGCCCCGCCGCCCAGCTCGACCGGGTTCGTCAAGGTCTCCGGGCAGAAGTTCGTACTTAACGGAGAGACCTTCCCTCTTGTCGGGTGCGTGCACTTCTCTCTGGGATGATTGTGAACACCCCAGAAACTAATGTTAGGGCGGCCTGCGTAGCGCGAACTCGTACTGGGTCGGACTCATGGGCTTCAGCACGGCGCAGATGAACCAGGCGTTCTCGGACATCGCGAAGACGGGCGCGACTACCGTGCGGACCTGGTAAGTGCCACCGGTTGAGGTGTATATTCTGGACGCGCCGCTGAACTTGGAGCAGGGGCTTCAACGATGTCACGACCGCGAACGGCGACTACTACCAGCTCTGGCAGAACGGCAAGGCCACAGTCAACACTGGTGCTACCGGCCTTCAGAACTTCGGTGAGCAGACTTCGAGAGATGATGCAGATGTAAATTGACACCGTATGTAGACAACGTCATCGCCGCTGCGAAAGCCAACGGGATCCGTCTCATCGTCGCTCTGTGAGTTCGTTGTCCAAGATATAGCTTCCGAGATACTGAATGCTGCAGCAGTACAAACAACTGGAGCGACTACGGAGGCATGGACGTATACGTCAACCAGATCGCCAACTCCCCCAACCACGACCTGTTCTACACGAACGCCAACGTGATCGTGAGTACCGCCTTAGCTTGACACATACAGCAGGAGACCCTAACAATAGATTATAGGCCGCGTACAAGTCGTACATCAAGACCTTTGTGAGTCGCTACGTGAACGAGCCGACTATTCTTGGATGGGAGCTCGCAAACGAGCCGAGGTGCAGCGGCAGTACGGGGTAAGCTGAGCGAGCTTCACATCATCTGTGAACCCGACATCTTACCAAGCAGCACAGAACGAGCACGGGTACGTGCACGACGCAGACGATCACGAAGTGGGCGAGCGATATCTCAGCGTACATCAAGTCCATCGACTCTAACCACCTTGTTGCTATCGGCGACGAGGGCTTCTTCAACGAGCCCGGAAACCCCAGCTACCCTTACCAGTGAGCACGCAATGGCGTTATATCTGCCGACGACTGCTCATTTGTTAACTTCACCCCAGGGGTGGCGAGGGCATTGACTTCAACGCCAACCTCAACATCAGCACCATCGACTTCGGCACTGCTCACGTAAGTCCGGGCGAGATATCTCGGCGAAGTAAATATCTAACGAAATCCTTGTCAACAGCTCTACCCTGTAAGCCTTCCAGCTCTTCTGAAGCGGCCGCCCCATCTGACTCCCAGCAGATAAGCTGGGGACAAACGTCTGACCCGACTGGCTGGGGTTCGCAATGGATTGCAGACCACGCCACGTCCCAGAAGGCGGCGAACAAGCCCGTGATTCTCGAGGAGTTCGGCGTGACCGACGGTCAGGCCGCCACCTACACGGCATGGTACAACTCCGTTATCAGCTCCGGGCTGACGGGTGACTTGATCTGGTGGGTACCTGAGCGGTTGCGTGACCAGAACTCATGGCTGATGTTGTGTGAATTCCAGGCAAGCCGGCTCGCACTTGTCGACGGGAAGCACGCCGGACGACGGCTACGCGGTAGGTCTTTCTTCTTGCCTTTGCGTGGCATTGATACTCATGATGGTTTTGACAGATCTACCCCGACGACCCTGTCTACCCTATCGAGGCTGCTCACTTTGCGGCGGTCAAGGCCAGGGGTTGAGACATGCTCGCAAGTTCTCGAGGGCAAAATGCTACTGGGCCATCATGTACACCATTCCGATAAAAATTCCGATATCGGCTGTTCACGCTGCCTCGCGCACCTGAGATGACACACGGCAGACAAAGGCCAAAGCCGACATGCCACTACAGCCGTGCTATAGCCAAAACCGGCGTTAAACTATCGCCTCCTTTCCGGCCTTTTGATAGGCTATCGCATCCTTTTCAGCCTTTTGGTCAGGCTATACCCCGACTATAGCACCTGGGTGATTCCGCACCTTGCCTGCCGTGACACCTAATCCAGACCCGCTTTGTGCATGACCAGGCGTGACCCCGTGCCGACAATATTTCTTCGTAAGACCCGCCAAATTGAGCACGAGCACTTTGAAGCAGACTCCGAGGAGTGGCTGTACGGTGGGATTTGCGGCATCAGCCAAATAAGCGTACGCGCGCTTGCACATCCTGCTGTTGCATTTTGTACTCGACCTTCATGCCCTCGAAGAACCCTCTCATGGATTTCTCTGCGGTCTATGACTAGCTGTGTGTGAGCTGCAGCTATGGTCGACGTCTTGGAGCTCTCGTGATCTTCGGCAGTTGTGTCAGCAGCGCTCAGGCCATTCGGAATTGGGGCTGCGGCTGTACGTACCAGGCTCCGCCCCTCGCGTTGAATTCGGATTGCCTCGAACGGCCACTCGAGTATAACTTCGCGTGATACACCCCTCTGTGAGTCCCAACACATCCATCTCGACGCCCTCGAAACAAGATGTACAAAGCCCCCGTTCTACGCGCCTTGCGTCCTGCTGCTCGTCTCTTCCGTCCTCGTCTTGTCCACACCCACGCCGCATCGGCGCCGCATGTTCAGTCTGCCCAGACGAGACTTTACAGCTCGGCCTCGTCGGCCTCAGCCATCCACGATGCTCTCACCGACGGTACGTTCGTGTCACGGGCCAGCGCCTTCAAGATACCTCCCGCGGAACCGTGGAGACGGCACGTCAGTGCCGACCCAGAGACCACTCCGACGGTGTACACCTTCTTTGAGAAGGCGACGTCGACCTGGCAGTACATCGTGGTCGACCCGAAGACTTCCGAAGCCGTGCTGGTCGACCCCGTGCTCGACTACGACCCGAACTCCGGTTCAATTTCCACCGACACGGCGGACGGGCTGGTCTCCTTCATCGAGCAGAACAAGCTCCGAGTTACGCGCATCCTGTGAGCGGCGATCCTTTCGCGCGTGCAATGCCAGCTTACTGAAGTGGTGCCTAGCGAGACACATGCCCATGCGGATCACCTCACCGCCGCTCAGTATCTCAAGCAACAGTTGTATGGAGACGTCACCGTCTGTATCGGCCAGCGCATCACGCAGGTGCAGAACACGTTCGCCCCCATATATGGTCTCGAGCCCGCCTCCCTCGAGAACGCCTTCGACGTGTACTTCCAGGACAACGAGGAGTTCGCGCTGGGCTCTCTGTCCTGCCACGTGATGCACCTGCCTGGACATACACCCGACCACGTCGGCTATGTTGTAGGCAAAGCGGTGTTCACCGGTGATTCGATCTTCAACGTAAGTTGTGGTGCATCTTGGATCTGACATATGACTAAGGGAGACGCAGCCTGATGTAGGTTCAGCTCGCGCCGACTTCCCAGGCGGAGATGTAGAGACCCTATATGCGGTAAGACGTCGAGCCCGAGCTTCCCAGTTTCAGAGCGCCGGAAATAACCTTATGAATTACAGTCCATGCAACGCCTTCTATCCCTGCCAGAGGACTACCGGCTCTACGTCGGACACGATTACCCTCAGAACCGCGATCAGACATGCTTTGCCACCGTCGCTGATCAACGGGCGCAGAACAGGCATGTCAAGATTGGCACCGAGCCCTCCACGTTCATACAGTTCCGCAAGGAGCGCGACGCGGTCCTAGGGGCACCTCGGCTTCTCCACCCCGCTCTGCAGGTCAACATCCGAGCCGGCAGACTGCCGCCCCCAGACGACAAGGGGAGAATCTTCCTGCGCATCCCCGTTCGGGTGGACCTCCAACTGGAGTAGACACTACGTACGTGATCGACGCGGGCTCGTTTCCGTTCCTCGTCCTGTTCCCATCGTTATCAATCAAATTGTACCCGATGCACACACCCTCGAGGTGCCCGACGGACAATGTTACACAAGAATCTCCGGGCTCACCTGCCGCGGTGGCGGTGCAGTAAGCACGGCGACAAGACGGTGTCGACAGACTGGCTCAACTGTAAATGAAGATTAATGAGAAGGCCGTCGACCCACAGCCAGTGCGATCAAACCGCGGCGAGGCGATACCTCACCCGTCCTCACATAAACCCGCATATCCTCAGATATAAGACCTTCGGGGCCGGTGTGGGGCTCTCAGCGTGCGTCAAATACCCTCGTATACACTTCCACTTCCTCACTGCCGCGTTTCCTCTGACGCTATGACACGCCTGCCATTGGAAATCTGGCGAGAAATCTTCAGCTATGCATGCTCCGACGGGGGCTACACTGGAACGTCTTTGGCTCTAGCTTGCAAGCTCTTCTACAACGCTTCCCTCCCAGTCCGCTTCTACTCCTTATCCCTCTTCTCGCTTCGCCAGGTCGAGTTATTTCTCGCCTTTGCCAGACGTTACGAGGAGAGATACGATGGAAGACACCTCAAGGTCCACCATCTCCTTCTCTCCTTCCCCGCCCCTCCTTCAAACTGCAGACCGGACCTCAGTTCAGAGGGTTCCTCGGGGGAAAGCAGCGACCCTGCAGAACACTGGATCATCGCGCGCCGGCTGCGCGAACACGACAAGGCCGCCTGGGACCGCCGGTTTCTCAAAGTCGTCCCCGCCCTCCTGTCACTCGCCGCGCCGCACCTGCGATCGCTCGCACTTCTGCAGTCGGACGGGTTCGCGTTACCGGCCATCAGACACGCCCTCCCCCGACTCCGCGAGCTCACCCTGCTCGTGGGCATCTCGGTGATGCTCAACAGCGACGACGCGTTCGACGTGGACGGCCCGCCGTCACCGTCGCCCCCCTCGACCCCTGGATCATCACCCGCCGCGGAGGCGCCCGCATCCGCGACACCGAGCTCCCCGCCGCGGCGCGCGCGCTTCCCCGCGCTCGAGCGTCTGCATGTCGTCTGCGGGCGCCACCGCGACTTCGTGCTCGGCGACACGCTCGCGCACCTCCCCCGCCTCGCGCCTGCGCTGACCCATCTGCGCGTCTCGAACGCGACGTACACGCACGAGCACTGCCTCCCGCCCTTCCTGCGCGCCGCGCTCGGGCTGCCACACCCGCACTCGGGCTTCGATAGCCTCGCGACGGGTGCTTATCCATCGTGGCTCGCGCAGGCCGCTGATGCTGACGAGTGCACAGCGAGGCTTCCGGAGTTGCGACGGCTGCTCGTGCACTCTGTGCCCCCGCCATCGGCTGGGACTTACGAGGGGCCGTACAAGGAGTACATGGCGCTTGTCGAGGCGGTGGACGCGATCGGCGCGGCGTGCGACGCGAGGTGCGACGTCAGCGTGCAGACGATGCGCAGCGCACGTGCCAAGCAAAGGCTTTGGGAGCAGATTGTCGAGGCGGACTGGGTGGACAGAATTGAGGGAGGGCCCGGGTGCTGGGCGGGCTGCGAGAGAGACGAGGACGCTGCGGCGCGGGTGTAGGCATGGACCCCGGCCGCTTCGCATGTCTTGGTCGTGCGTGTTTTATTGCTGCGCGGTCTCGTCTGACTCACATCTCACTTGCGTTGTTTTCAGGTCATACACTGGTCTTCTTGCACTATCCCACTGCTGTCGCAGTGAGCGCGTAGTTGTTCATGGCAGTGGCATGTTTCGTTGATGGGTGGGCTGTTCGCAATCAGCAGCCACTACACCACTGTGTTTAATTGTGTTTTACGCTGCTTGGCTTTCCCATTGCGTGTATATTGCTTGCTCATGCTGTGCCGTGTGCGCGGGTGACATCAGAAGGTTTGGTTGATGATAGTTGGTGTCAACACCAGGTCCACACATCCGCGCTCGGTTCACTCGGAGAAGTTGGCGCTCGTCGGTCAATATTCGAATTTCGGACTGTGTTAGGCGCAGTGCTACTCAGCCGCTAGTCAATTTCGCATGTACCCAGTACTTACTAGTCAACACCACGCTTTCCAGTTGGTTGCGACAGGTACGAGACATCTACGGTTCATGAAGTGCTGAGAAGTATAATGAGAGGTCGTGTTCTACCGAAGCTCTCTAGTTTCGCACTTGCCTAGGGAGCACCAGACACATATAGTCTATGCAAACTCGATTAGCTGGCGAGAATAGCGAACTTTCGGTACACGAATGCGAACACGCCACGCTTGGCGCGTTCAGGAGTCTATACTTCCTCTCTGCACATTCCTAGCTCCCTTGTCTACTGGGCACTGTTAAAGTGGATCTGTCGAATGTTCTAAGAAATGGTGTGTACACTAACATTTGCCCATGGATCTTGTCCAGTGATTCTGCACTGAATGACGTGTCGTACATCTAATTCCTGGATCGACAGCTGCCCGTCGACAATCGTTGCCTTCCTCTGCCTATCCCTCGGTCCAGTCAAGATGACGTTCGCCTCGCGCAGGGTAGGTACCTCCTCCATAAAGCGGCGCATGTAGTCTCCGAGGTCGAAAGCGTCCGCTGAAAGCTCCGCAAAACACCACGGGTAGTCATGCTCCTCCGGGGCAGTGGCCAGGTCCCTCGCCTCCCGTTCCATACGCCGGTCGTAGCCCCATTTCCCAGTCTCCCAAGGCCGAGGGTCAACTTGACCCATCCCGATCTCCAACTGCAAGTTTTGGATTGGTGTGCCCACAAGGCTCGATCGCAGGCCCTCCTGCCAACACAAACCTCACAATCAGACACTAGAGGTCGAGAAACTGGACATGCACGCACAAATACCACGGCCACGTCAACATCTTCACCCTCCTCGTGCAAGACTGTGTCAATGCGGAGGGTAATGAGCCGCTCACTTCCCCGCCCTCGGAGCACTGCAAAAACGTCGGGGGCCGCGCGGTCGCTGAAGAACTCTGGCCAGTCGTCCAGCGTAAGGTGCCGAGGGCGAGTATGGAAGAGGATGCGCTCCAGCATATAGAACAGCGGTTCTCTTACGGTGTCGACGTGTAGGCTCTCAACGAGACAGGCGAGGCTAAGCATGTACAGATCGGGGACGCTCCCTGTCAGCTCGCGCATGGCAGCCTAGGTGTGACTGGAGGTGACCTGCTCCGAGATGTTCCGAGCGTGCCAGGCCTCCCATGGCCCGAGATTGGATGGGTGAAAGGTTAGAGGCTGCCTATCGAGGGAGAACGTGAAGTGGGTGAGGTTCAGATAGGTTCGGATGAACGCCATGGTCCGCGGGAAGACGGGAGAGACGACAGAGAGTCGATACATGTGTGGGTAGATGAGCATGGCATCGGGAAGGGTTTGGACATCCGGAGTGGCCCATGACGAAGAAGACAGCTCCTGGAGTGACGTCCTCGACGACGCTAGAAGAACAGCAGGGCCCGGGTAGCACACCTTGAGGTTATCCTCTGGTATAGGGTCGAATGACGTATCATCGTCCGAATCGTCGTCCGTCCGGAAGCCGATATGGACGACAGCGAGCTTGGAGCGGAGAGACCGAAGCATCTCGACCGCACGCACTCCGGCATACCTTAGGTCGAGCTTATGAAGAGAAGGGAGGTCCGCGAACGCGTCGAGGAGATCGGGGTGAGATGAGATGATGTCCTCGCTAAATGACACCAATAGGGTCTTGAGGTTGGACATTCGACGCAGCGCATGTGCTAGTTGCGGCGCGATCGACTCGGGCAGGTCGGGGAAAAGGAGGTCCAGGGAGCGCACGAATCTGCACCGCTCGTCGGCGCATTTTTGAAAGGGCCTGAGGAAGCGCACGAGGTCCTCCTCAGTTTCGAGAGATATGTTATGCGAGAGCAGTGCCGCAAAGCCATGGGTATAGAAGAACCGACAGGTCCTCATGAGTCAAGCGCAGTCGGGTCTTGAGCAGGTCTTGAGGACCTCTCGCCATATGTCATAGTCAAGACCGGGTGGCTGCAACATGGCAGGTAAGGAGCTCAGCTACGATAGGCGTAGACATAATATTTCAGTGCGAGTAAACTAGTATTAGAAGAAGTCCCAGTGTGACCTACGACTGTGATGCGACTTGTGTGTAATTTCGAGGCCTATAGCAACGCATTGATAGGCCTTGTTGAAGAAAGCGAGAAATCCAGTCGTCGAGAGTGAAAAAGAGGTGTTCTGGTTGCCCTGTACGGTAGCGTCGTAGTACAGAGGTAAACAGATAGCGTACGAAAAAAAAGGACACAAGCGCGATACTGAACGCTTGGTAAGCGCCGGTAAGCAGGCGCTCGCTCGCTCACGTCCGAGCACTTGCAGGCATTACACATTACCGCGTCTTGAGAGCTCTGAGGCGAGGTTGAGCGGCGACTGTGCGGTGGATGTTGATGAAGGTGGTCGATGGTCGTACGCATACTGTGTTTTTGCACGAAGGTGAGCGCCTCCAGCGTGCCTTGAGCATACACGTGCCACCCAATTCGGGACCACCCCCGCTCGTCCGCTTGCATATGTATCTACGCTGTGCGGACAGTATGTACAATAGCTACGTGATACAGAAGCGTCGTTAGCATGACTTGCACAAGCTACAGCTGGTCAAGCAATAAAAAGTGCACATTCGAGAGACAGGACTAAATAGCACCAGCGCGAATCCGATGTGTCATGTCGAACCTAGCGAGACACCTGATGTGAGGATAGATATTCGCGCTGTGACAACCGACGCAATTAATGCTGTTTCGTTACACAAAAAGAGATGCAGAGAAGAACGCGCGGCCTTCCTTCACGTCCCTCACTGCTACACGATCCGTGCGCGCATGTTCGGGGTATACCAATGTAGGGCCAATCTTCTGGAAGACTTGTTCCGTGCTCGCTGCAGAATCCAGGTGCACGTAATAGTCCTCGTCGATTTTGGGGTCTTTGATACCGTGTTCACTGGACGCATGTCAGTTCCATACACGGTCCGTGCCCGAACAAATTGACTTCACCTCGTGCAATGTATCACCGGGGGGATATCGCTACGAAAGCAACAGTGCGCGCAGCCAAATGTGTCAGGAGACTGTTCCTGGCCTGAGTTCGCGCACAGAGTTGTCTCAAGTCCGAGGACCGTAGTGGTGTGCTCAGCATCGAGCACTTGCCACTTATTGGCCACCGCATCAAGCGACGGCCCGAAGAGCGTACCGCAACGGGGACGCTCGTGAGCCACCTGCATCCGCGTCCGCTCTAGTTAGCATGGCACGCACTACTAAAACAGCACCCCAGTGACCACTCACCGCTGCCTTCCAGTTGTACGCCTCTAAATATCCGACCGCTGGGACAGCACACACATCGCAGAACAGCCGTACACGGCACTGTTCCATATCTTCGACGGTCGCCCGTCGCGGGTCAAGCCCGCACGCGCGGATCGTCACACACTCCTTCGCCATGTTCTTGTTGGCTTTGAACATCGCCTGCGTGCCGCCCCATCGGAGCGGCAGTCCCCGTTCCAAACACAGCGCATCCAGCTGTTGCACGAACATGTTGCCCATCTCACTCTGGGGACGGGCACAGCGGTGCGCGAGGATAGCGGGCCACCGCAACTCTGTGCGCTTGCACACGGTGCAGCAGAACGACGCGACGGCGAGAGCGAGCGGGTCGACGTCGGAGTCCGAGTCCGAGTCCGGTGCGGGAGGCTCGCAGTTGTTCAATGCGGTCGAGATGAGAGCGCGGAACTCGCGCGCGCGATGGTCGTGCCATTTCGTCTTCAGGGCGGGTACGGACGCGAGGAGCGGCATGAAACTGTCGGTGGAGATCTCCGCGGAGACCGGCGCGTATACAACTTTGCGGAAAGCTGGATCTTGACCGAGGTCTGCTATCTGGGCCTGCGTATCCCAGGTGGCCGTTCTGCGACCCTGTTCAGCTTCGTATGTGGAAAGGACGGTGAAGAGGTCGGAGAGCCGCTGGGCGAGCACACGGTCCCAGACGTCTCTGAGGCGTCTAGCCCGGAGATCCTCCATGTAGCCGTGGAGGTCCTGGCAGATACCCTGCCACTCTGATTGGGGGCCGTGTCAGTAGCAGTATAAGGCGAAATCGGGGAGAAGTGGGCGAACCGTCATCAGTCAAAGCACGTGCGTGATAGACGTGTGGTTCTCGTGCCAAGTACCACATTTGCGAATCGTCCAGAGCCTGAAGGTCTTCGCCCCACCCTTCGTCTTTCAGGCGTTCGAGGATTCTACCGCTCACCAACGGTCAACGTTTGGTACGTACATTGACAGGATTCGATACGCACTGTGCCAGCCTCTGCGCACGCAGCGCGGCGTCTTCTGCTTGTTTACGCCGGCGTTCAGCGTCGCACCATGCGATCATCTTGCGCGCAAACTGAGACATGGCTCTCAGCAGTGGCTTGTATTCATGAGGGAGAAAACGTGCCTTCTGCCGTACGGTACACATGTCCATCTGCTCCTCAGCGACGCGTACCTTATCTTTCTTGGACTTGATGGCAGCCCATCTTGCCTGCAGACTCTGTACGTCGTCTTTCAGGTAGAACTTATCGTACTTCCACGTCTTGGTTCTGTTGAATAGGAGCGTGAGAGTGACGCAGTCTGCGGGATGCACGCAACATACATCGTACAGAGCGACTCGTTCAGAAGCATCGGGTCTGAGCGCTCTGATACCTTTTGCACTTTCTTGATGAGCGCGTTCACATGCCGAGCCTTCACAAGCCTGCAGACCCTGAGAATGACTATGGCGGCGGACATGCCAAGTGAGACCCGTACCGGTCTTTCGCGCATGGTGTGCACACACGCACCCGGAGCTTCCAGCTGAATATGTCCGCGTGCTGCCCGCAATTCTGGCGGTTGCGGTAATAAGAGACCGTCGCTGGACGTTGTGAGTACGACGTGACGCACATGGCACTCTTCAGTGAAGACGAGTCTAGCGTAGTGCATTTCGCTGATGTCCGAAGGGCAATCGGGGAGGTCCTTCCATCGCTGCCTGGCGGCTTTCCAGCACGGTATAGACCGTCGACTGAAAAGATACGCGCGGAAGTCCTTGCATGTGCGCGCGAGGGTCAACAGATCGCGAGGACGTAGAAAGCTCATTATCTGCGGATATCCTCTCTGTTACAAGATGCAACATATAGACCGTGCATTCCTAGGTGCTTACCTCCATCAGAACGTCGAGCGGTAAGTTGAGCAGCCCTTCGCGTGGTCCATATATGACGACTGGCCGCCCTTCACTCTCGTCGGTCGCTGGCTGAGTCTTAATGCGATCGAGACTGTCTTCTGCGTGTTTATCTGCAGCTTGGCGGGCACTCGAGGCGAACCGATCTGACTCCTTTTCTTTCTGCGTCCTCGCTTTTGAAGCCAGACGCGTGCTCGCTCTTGGGGTACCACTGACCGATGCTGTGGTCTTCGTCTTCTTCCTGGGCGGCATGATAGGCTTGGTAGCTGTGTCAGAGCTGTCTTATGGAGACGAGAAAGCACAGGGTTCCGAGGCTCGGGGTGGGTAGTGGCCGGAGTCAAGACGGGGGACGTGGCAAGGAGGAGTGGTAGCCGGTACCGACTGTGAGGTTGCTGTTCAACGTTCAGCGCGCAAGCGCTCGTCGGTACATTCAGACGCCCAGCGCCACAAACGCGACGCGTTCATTATTAATATTCACGATCACGCGTTAGCGCAGTCCGCTGGAGAAAATTAACTCGTATCCTTCCTACAGTAGCACGGCTCTAACTTGCCCCGTCTAGTCCGCACACAACCCATGAATGTTACATGGGCAGCTTCTAAACCCGGGCCCCAAGCATCGTCACGGACTCCCACATCAGACGGTCTTCACGCTCGCGATGGCCCCCATATTCTCGTCTCTTCGGATCGCAAGCCCCGCACAATCGCCTACGACGTGCTCGCTATTGCTACGCGTAGACAAGAATCCGCGGGTCAGGAAGAATGACTGTCTCCGAGAGTTGAGGGTGACGTACCTCAGTCGATGTAGCCCAGCTCACAACCCCTTCGCTATCGGTCCTCAATCTGCAGTTTCCCGTCGACAATCGTTGCCAGCCTCCACCGCTCCCTCGGGCCTCTCAAGATGATATGCGCGCGTTGCAGCGTCGGGAATTTGTCCATGAATCGACGCACATAGTCCTCGAGGTCGAAGTCCTCGGCAGAGCGCTCCGCAAAGCATAAGGGGTATTCCGCGGGGTCGGGCGGAGGAGGGGTGGGGAGGCGATGTCGCTGGCGTCGCATACGAGCGAAGGCGGTCAAATCGTTGCGTCGCGGGGGGCCAAGATCATCCGTCCATATCTTCATGCGCAGCTCTCGCAGGGGCGCGTCCAGGAGCGAAGATAGTAGGCCCTCCTAAGGTAAGCGTTATTGAGAGATGATCTTGTAAGGTGATGTGCGCATGGCAACTTTGAAACACGTACGAATACAGCGGCGATGTCTACCGCGCTATCATCGTGGTCTTTGTCCAGCCCCGCTTCGATGCCAAATATTTCGAGCCGCGAGCTTGCCTGCCCACGGAGGGCTGCGAATACGTCTGCCGGGGGTGTGGAACGGATATCCGCGGGCCAGCCCTTCAGCGTGAGTTGTCGGGGGCGCACGTAGGAGAGCGCGGGCTGAAGCATGTAGTGGAGCGTGTCGTGCATGTGGTGCAGGTGCACATCGTCGACGGTGCAGATGAGGCCCAGCAGATAGAGGTCAATGAGGCTCCCTCTGAACTCGCACAGCGATGCCCAAGTGCGGCCTAACTCGAGTTGGTTCGCGACGTTCAGGGCGTGGCAGGCATCGTAGTCTTCGATGGTGGATGAGTCGTAGCGACCCAGTTCGCTCTCGCCCGTATGGAACCGGAGGTGGGTGAGGTTCGGGTATGCGGTTATGTGAACGATAGTGCGCGGGAAGAGGGATCGCTCGAGGTCGAGCCGACGCATCTGCGGATAAACCAGCGCGGGGTCGAGATCGGCATTGGTGTCCATCTCCCAGCCGTAAGACGTCAATTCCTGGAGTGAAGATCTCGAGTGCGCCAGGATCACAGCAGGGTGGTACAGAGACACATCATCAATACCGCCAGAGTCAAAGAATCCTTCTCCGTCGGCGACGCCGAGGAAGTCGATATCGACGCTGACGAGCGCGGAGCGGAGCGCTTGGAGCATACCCATGGCAGTTTCTCCTACATAGCCCAAGTTAAGCTCTCGGACAGAGCTGAGCGAAGCAAATGCGTCTGGAAGGTCGGGGTGCGACAAGAGCGTATCTTCGCTGTACGAGATTGATAGTGTTTCGAGGTTCGACATCCGGCGCAATGCGGTGGCCAGCTCCAGACCCGCGGGCTCGCTCAGGTCGAAGAAACCGAATCGTACAGAACGGACATATTTGGAGCGCTTGTCGGGATCCTTCTGCAAACAGGCGAGGAAGCGCAAGAGGACGTCTTGCGTTGAAATTGATATGGTGTGCGAGAGCAGCGCGTCGAAGCCGTGGGTGTAGAAAAATCGACTAATCTCCATGAAGCGGGTGCAGTCTCCAGGGCATGCGCACCACTTGAGGACCTCCAGAAGGATGTCGTAGTTGAGGGCGGGTTTCGATGACATGGTGAGCAGTTAAAGGCGGAAGGGGAGGAATAAGTCTGAGAGTTCTAGCGAATTTGAGTGATATGAGTTAGTACGGTGGCGTAACTGGGCGTTTCCGGCTCACCACTTGCAACACCCACGTTACAGAGTTTGTTTCGCTATAGAGGCCCACCACAGAATATCAAGCGATGCTTAGGCTTGTCTCACGTTTTCAGAGACCTAGAAAGGGTCCGCGCGGTGGCTCTGCGCGAGGGAGGTGGAAGGAAGACGACCGTCGTAACAAGAGACGCGTACAGTGGCAGTCGCCACAAGCGCCGTGCGACTCGCGTCCCTGCTCCGGTCTCCGACTTGGCACTTGTGCAGCTAGCTAGCTTGTCGCATGTCACCACACTCATGAAGATTGGATGTTTGAATACTATAATGAGCGCCGCCGCCCCCTCAACTCCCACATGTACATCAGGCAAAGGTTGTGACTTGCTCGAGATGACCATCATATTCTCGTCTCTTCTGATCATACGCCACAATTAGGCGTACGTCGCCCACAACATGTTCACTATTCCAACGCGTAGCAAGATAGACCGTGGATCAGGAGGAGTGCAGGTTGCAGGTCATGCGAATGGCGTACCTAGGCCCGTCCATCTTGTTTAAGTTGGCACTTCCTTCACCGCTGGTCCTCAATCTGAAGCTTCCCATCCACGATCGTTGCCATCCTCCATCGCTCCCTCGGGCCGTTCAAGATGATATGCACGCGTTGCAGCGTAGGGACTTCAGCCATGAACCGACGCACATAGCCCTCGAGGTCGAAGTCCTCTGCTGAGCACTCAGCAAAGCACAAGGGGAACTCCTCGGGGTCAAACGGAGGAGGGGTGGGGAGGTGTAGATGCTGGCGCCGCATATGAGCGAAGACGGTGTCGTGGTCGGGCCGCGGGTCGAGAGCCTGCGTCCATATCTTCATGCGCAGTTCTTGTAGCGGCACGCCCAGGAGTAACGATCGTAGGCCCTCCTAAAGTGGATGTCAGGGTTATGATGAGACATTCATGCAAGGTGATGAACGACAGGCACGTACGAGTATAGCGGCGATGTCGACGGAAGAGTCCTTTTCTTCCAAGCCTGCCTCGACGCTGAGTGTCTCGAGTCGCGAGCTTGCATCCCCGCGGAGCGCTGCGAATACCTCGGACGGCGGGGTATCGCTGAGGTTCGCGGGCCAGTGTTCCAGGGTGAGTTGTCGAGGGCGCGCGTAGGAGAGCACGGGTTGGAGCATATAGTCAAGGGCGTCGTACAGAGAGTGCAGCTGGACACTTTCTACAGTGCAAGTGAGGCCGAGGAGGTAGAGGTCGAGGAGGCCCCCTCCGTACTCTTGCAGTGAAGCCCAAGTGAGGCCCGAGCTGACTTGGTCAGAGACGTTCAGGGCGTGGCGAATGTCATACTCTTCCAGGTTGGATGCGTCGTAGTGTCCCATCTCGCTGTCGAGCGTATGAAAACGGAGGTGGGTGAGGTTTGGGTATGCGATGATGTACGCCATGGTGCGCGGGAGGAAGGATCCCTCGAGGTCCAGACGACGCATCTGGGGGTAGACCAGCGTGGGGTCAGGCAGGGTGTCGACATCCATGTCCCAGCCGTAAGACGATATGCTCTGGAGGGATGATCTCGAGTGCTCCAGAATTACGGCGGGATGATACAGAGGAACGTCTTCCAGCGGTACAGACTCAAAGAATCCTTCTCCGTTGGGGGGGACGCCGAGAAAGTCCATATTGAGCGTGACGAGCTTGGAACGGAGGGATTGGAGCATTCTGAATGTATGCTCCCTAGCACAGCCCAAACGCAGCTCCCGGACAGAGGTGAGCGCAGCAAATGCACCGAGGAGGTCGGGGTGCGACATGATCGTATCGTCGCTGTACGCTAGTGACAGCACCTCGAGGTTGGGCATTCGGGGCAGGGTGTTGGCCAGCTCTAGCGCCGCCAGCTCGGTCAGGTTGTAGAAATTGAATTGCAGAGAGCGGACGTATTTGCAGCGCTTGTCAGCATCCGTTTGGAAACAAGCGAGAAAGGGCAAGAGGTCTTTGTGTGTTTTGATCGTTATTGGGGGCGAGAGCAGCGCTTCGAAGCCGTGCGTGTGGAGGAACCGACAGGTCCGCATGAGTCGGGAGCATTCAGCCCTTGGACATATCTTCAGGACCTCTAGAAGAATGTCGTAGTTGAGCACGGGTGAGAGTGACATGGCGACCAGCCGAATGAGAATTTGGCGAGGTTTGGTATATCCCGGCGAACTAGAAGATATGAGTTAGCGCAGTGGCGCGACTGGGGGTCACCTTTTGGCTTACACCGTACAAGTGTCGTGTCGCGAGGTCTAATTTTGTAGTGACCTGAGAAAAGTGAGTAGTGCGTATAGTCATCACACGTTTTCAAAGTCTTACAGAGGTTTTGCACTATACTGAGGTGAGTGGCAGAGACGGTCGTCGCGGTAGGGAACTGAAAGACGCGGTGGTTGCCACAAGCGCCGCGCTACTCAGGCGCGCGTGCATTTCGCCGAAGACTTGGAACCCCTACTTAGTACTACAGCAGCCACGTTGTCTCCAACGTCACCGCCGCCTGTGAATGTTTAAACATTGAAGATTCCAAGTCGAACTCACCTTCATATGGTCTTAAGACGTGGTACTTACATGTTGATTGATACTCGACGCAAACTTCTTGAACGTCGCAATGCACGCAACGTCTGCATTAACTAGATCAAGTAAAGTACTAACAGCCTGGTTAAGAATGGAAACATCTCTAGGACTCGGACGTAGCGGCGGACAGATCGTTGAAAAGAGAAGGAGAAAAGAAAGCACGGCCGTTCTTTACGTCCTTAGCCGCACGACGGTCGGCGCGTGCATCCTCCGGGTAGACCAAAATGGGGCTGCGCACATCCCGGGTTTCCGGGTGCATGTAGAAGTCCTTCACTATAGCGGGATTCTTGAGTGAGTGCACTCTGCCATGCGGAGGTGAGCACAAAGTCAACTCCGGACTAGCGGTCAAAGCAAACAACGTACTGCTTGCAGTGCGAGATCGGAAACCCCCGGCTCCGGTAGGGGCAGCGGGTGCAGCTGAAGATGCCCCCACGGACATCGCCCGCATCCTGCCGGGCGGCCTCCAGTATGATCACGCTTGCCGTGGTACTCGCGTCGAGCACCTCCCACTTCTTAGGCTTCTCTACTGACAAGGGGTCTTCGATGTCGCATCGAGGGAGGCAGAGAGACGCCTGTTATGAGGCGTAAGTATCAGCAAGAATCAAGAAAGCACAGAGGAACTGCGTACTCACCGCGCTACACCATGTGTACACTTCCATGTACCCCACTGAGGATACCGAGCAGATTTTGCAATACAGTCGGACATTGCAAGCCTGCATCTCATCATATGTCACAACGCTAGGGTCATATCCGCATGTACGGATAATTCCTTGAGTCTGTTTGCAGACAGTCGTTGCGCGGAACGGACGTCCGCGGCGCCACGGCAGGCGCAGCTGGAGCTGCGTGCACGCATGCGTCAAAGCACGCTCGTAGTCGCCTTCATGATCAGAGCCGCGCCCACACCGATGGGCGAGGATATTCGGCCACCGCAAACCACCCCGACCGCATGCCTCGCAATTGAAGGTGGCGATAGCAAGCGATAGGGGTGAAACGTTCTTCGAGGGCGCGAGCTTAAGCTTCTTCACAACGAGCTCTTCAAGCTCACGCTTCCGCTCCTGGAGCCACACTTCTTGTGAGACAGCAATGGAATCACACAGTTTGGCGATGTCGTGTTCGGTAACCGTTTCGGATACGGGCACCTCTAGAACTTGTCGGAATGCCGGCATGAGCGCAAGATCGGCGAACTCTGCTCGCAGGTCTGACGTCGCATCACGGGGCCCAGAGGAATCGCTGTGCACGTTGACGGCCTTACGGAGCATCATGAGCCTTTTGTGAACCACAGCGAACCACTCGTCCCTGAGACGTGCAGTGCGGTATTTTTCCACCTGAGCGATGAGATCCTCGCGTATTGTACGCCATCCTGTAAAGTTGAATCCGCATATTCAGTTCGTAGCACCGAATGATTAGAAGCAGACGGTACTGTATTACCATCTTCGGTGAGCACTTCGGCTTTGCGGACTAACCCGAGGCTGCGCAGTCCATTGAGACGCGGACTGTTCATGAGGCTGAGTTCCTCGCCACAAGCTTCCTCCTTGAGCCGGAGCAAGACACTGATCAAACTGTTAGTAATATGAGTAGTAGGCATAGTGATTTGAGCCTCATACTCTTCCACGTGCTTCTCCGTCAACTCTTGCAGCCTCTGGGCCTCTTTCCGAGCTTCGGCGTTCCCTGATGCCTTTATGGCATCGATGAACTGTAGATACAGAGCCTGATGAGACTGAGACTTTCGCAAGTGACGTTTTGATCTCACCTTCGCCTTGTCTGCGACTTCTGCTGTACAGCGCTTTACGAGCAGCTTCTTCTCGTCGTCCGTCTTGCAAGACGCCCACGCCTCTCGGAAATGTTCTACCTCAGGGGCATAATAGTACGTCCCGCTGTGCAGAGAGGTGCCATCGCTGAACGAAGCAATATCAGTGCCATGTAACCGTCATTGGGATACTTCTAGTAGCAATTACGCACTGAAACGAATATCCCTTTACGTGTTCTGAACATAAGTAGGGAAGCTCCAAGTACTGCTTGCTATCCTGGGTCACCTTCCTCACCTGACCCGCAAAGTGCGCCATACTGGTCGGGAACTTCAGACTAGGGAACAGGGTGGTGAGAAGTCAGCAACGGTACAACCAGATTAAACGTACAACTGTGGCCTGCATAGCTTGCAATAACGAGCAAAGAACATCAATGCGTTCTCGTCTATGACAGAACACCCGCAATGCTAGAGAACGAATCAGCCGTTTTATCAACACCAATGAAGACGTCAGGACGTACATCGCAGATCGAGCCGAAGATGAGGTTAGCGAGCTGGGGTTCGGAGAGATGGGGCGGGCACACAGGGAATCCTTCAACGCTTTCCCTGGCGATTTTCCAGCACTGCAAAGACTTCCGGCTCATAAGGAATGCTCTGAAAGGTTTGGAGACCCGTGCCAGGGCTAGTATATCCCGCGGGTGCGTGACAGAGAGGATCTTCATTACGGTGTGCCAGTACGTGAACGGGGACATTGTCAGGACAACTTCGCCAATGCCAACGATTCAATTAGCGCATCGAAGGGACACATACCTCAATCAGAACATCCAAGGGAAGGTCTTCAAGGGGCGCCGTACGACGGGCGACTCTCTTCTCAACCGGCGTGGCTTTGACCTTTCGAGGGGTGGTGTGGTGAACCTCCGGAGCCGCCTTCACGGTGCCGGCGGCAGCGGCGGCGGATCTGCTGCGCGTAACCCTCGTCGTGGCCGCCACGGCAGCAGTCTTCGAACGCGCTATTTTGCGCTGCGACCCGCCCGCATTGTCAACACCCGTCGTTGACAGCGCACCTGCGTTCGTGGCAATAGCGGAGCCAGCACTGGCGTCGATTGCTACGATCTTCACCTTCTTCTTGGGAGGCATCCTGTCTCCAGAATGTCCTAGCGAGAACAAAGCAAAACCAAGTATGAGCAAACAGCAATCCAGGCGGGGTGGTCGCACTCTCACCGCTGCACGGGTGATGAGAGTTGCGCGAAGAAAGGCACTGGCGCCCACTGCTCGCATCAGCGGGACTCGTCGCGTAAGAAGAGCTGGAATGTCTTACGTACAGGTTTATACGACGCGACTCGCTGTTGGATCCTGGACAATTTGGCGGGGGAATTTTGAAAGGTCTACGTATTTTCCCTCTTCGCCACTAGAATACCATGTCAACCAGTCTGATAGTAGGATGCTACAGTACCCCAAAACGGCCAGCACATACTAACGATAGGTTGGAACGTGAGTATAACATACTCGTCGTAGCAAGTGTCGTGAACTAGTGGAACAAGGTTATAGAGAAGAACGCATGTCCCCTTTGGACATCCTTGGCAGCCGTACGGTCTCCGCGCGCGTTCTCCGGGTATATGGAAATCGGGTACGTCTGCGTGCCCGTCTTGGGATGAAGATAGAAATCTTCGCCAATTACTGGGCGGTCGGTATCGTGCGCACTGTCATCAGAAGGCTTGGTATGCGCTCGGAAGTAGACGGAGGGGAAACGACGCACTCCATACAATGGGCGACTAGGGACTCGGAGCCTCGACCGCGTTGCGGACAACGTGTGCAGGCGAAGATGGCGCCGCCCGGAATGTCGCCCGCTGCCTGCAGTGCGGCATCCATAGCGATGACGGCCCTGGTGTGCTCTGCGTCGAGTATTCCCCACTTGTTCGCCTTCACGCTGTCGGAAGGTCCGAATCGCCCATCGCGGACGTCGCAAAGCGGACGTTGGTGGGAGCTCTACACCGGATTAACATCGTGCGGCCGCGTCAAGCAGTGCTTGGTGGATTGTTGCTTACCGCGTTCTTCCAGTCGTAAACCTGCATGTATCCGATCGAAGGCACCGAGCAGATCTTGCAGTAAAGCCGTTTACCGCAACTCTGCATCTCGTCGTAAGTGACCCGGCACGGGTCCCGCCCGCATGCACGAATCATCGCCTCGATGTACCGTGGGGCGAAAGTGGGAGTGAACATTTGGGCGGAGCGTCCCCAAGGGCAGTTTAGCTTCAGCCCAAGACAAAAACTTGCCACCGCACTACGATACTCCTCCTCACCGGGGAGATCACGAAAGGAAACATCCCGTCCACAAGAATGCGCCAGGACATTTGGCCAACGTATGTCATCGCGCTTGCAATAGCCACAGCGGAAGCTAACGATGGCCAATGCCACCATCGGGTACTGGAGCAGACGACCCCCTGCGTTCTCACCGACGATCGCTTCGAATTCGCATTGACGCTCCCTGAGCCATTCCGCCTGCAGCGCCGGTATGGTGTCGATCCGGTTCGCAAAGTCCTGTTCGGTAACTGGCTCGCACGCGGGCAGCTCCACAATGCTCCGGAACGCAGGCATCATCGCCAGGTCTCCAAATTCCGCACGTAGGTCCGATGCAGCACTCCGGCGTAGCCCTAGTGACTTTTCGTAAGCCGCTACAACCCCGTGCAAGAACTTGAGCCTTTCAGTCGTGGCTTGGCGACGTTCCGTCCGGAGGCGCTCAGTCTTGAGTACGTCCAATTCGGCAACCAGCGTATCACGCATGCCGTCCCAATCTAAGGAAGACCCCGGTGAGCGAAACGTTGACGCGCAAACGTTGGAACCAACCGTTTTCCGTCAGAGGCATGTTAAGGTAGAAGCCTGGACAATCGTAGAGCTTCCAGAGGGGATCACGCCCGAACGGGTCAATCTGTGTGCGTTGCTTGTCGAGCTCATCTCCCCAGCCCTCTGCTCTCAGCCGTGCGAAGATACTGCAAGCTGAGCGGTTAGAGTGCACAAAAGTTGTATACTACTAGTATAGCGACGTACGCGCGTTTGCGCTTTTCCCGAATGATTGCCAGGTCAGAGGACCGTCTTCTGTCTTCGTCGTCCCCCCATGCAGTAATAGCCTTTACCTCCTGTTGCGATAAGATTGATTCAAATTCACCAGAGGAGCAGCACGCCGTACCTGCTTGCGTTCCTTGACGCTAGCTATCCGTTCTTCAACAAGACGCTTCTTCTCACCGGCCCTTTCGCAGCGCTTCCACTGAGACTTGAACTTGACCGCCTCTGGGCGAGAGTAGTAGAAAGTCGTTCGATATCTAAAAATTGACATGAGTGACATGGGCGTATAGCCCGGGAGATAAGAGATGACACACCGTCCGCGCTCAATCGCATACGTCAGGAAGCCACCGGGGTACCCGGTCTCTTCATTGACCTCTTGCATCAAGTTGTCTATCGGAGCTCCTGATACTATTCTGGCGTACGCCGCACCGCATCAGCCGAACGGGCGCATATATCAGACAGTGGCGTACTTACTCCTTCTTGCTACAATCGGAGCAGGGGCGACGGTATAACGCCCAATATGTCGTACCGATGTGTGGAGCCCCGCATTTCTACAATCGCTATAATCAGCCACTTTTGTGTGACATCGTAGTGTCGGCGGCTAGGAACGCACCGTGCAGTCATAGGTGAACAGGAGAACCGCATACGGACACTTGGGTGCACCTTTCGAGTGCCGATCCCTGGTCTCCTTCCAAATTCGCGAGGACTTGCGGCTCATCAGGAATGCACGAAACGCCTTGGAGGTGCGAGCGAGGGAGAGTAGGTCTCTGGGGCGCAACATAAGGAACACCTGGTAGCAAGGCGTATGTGAGCACGAAACCTGCACGTCCTTGTATGAGTATATACCTCAAATAGAATGTCCAGGGGAGCGTTCTCGATGGAGTTGTGACGAGCCAACATAGATATTGCATTGGCAGTGTCAACGACGTCAGCGACGGCTTCATCTCCCACAAGTTGGTGAGACGCCTCATCCGCTGTCTTCGCTTTCTTGTTCGGAGGCTGCATTTCGTGATCTATAGGGGTGAAGTATATAGATGGGGACAGTTCAGGGTTCAGAAAAGAAAAGGAACAGCAAGAAAATGGACGCGATGCGCAGGTGAAAGTCAAGGTGAACGACAACGTGTCGAACGGAGCGCGTCAGGGTCGCGTCGCGTCGCGAGCCGGTCATTTCGTGGGAACCATACGCGAGCTTTCCGAGAGGGAGAACCCCTTGAAATCACACAGTATAAGCCAAGTATAAGCATACACGCACTAGCATACAGAAGAATAAAGGAATATCAAGCGCTACTAGAGTACAAATGAATGCAGTCCTCCAAAAGGTTAGTCAGTCAGCCGCCATCAGTCGCTCTGGGTGTTGTTCAGGAGCCTCAGGATGTTGATGACTGTCGAAACGCGATTAATATGTGCGCAGACGCTCCCCCAGCCATGCCAGAACTTACAGAGGTTGATGAAGCTTAGCAAGGCACACAAAATGTCAGTGTATGCGACTCAGATCAGGTCATAGCACCACTCACTCCAAGTAGAGGCTGATCGACGCGAAGATGTACTCGTCCGGAGACAGCCTCTTCGTGATCATGTAGGTGTCGTAGATGATGTACCCGCTGAAGATGAGGCAGCCGCCAATGGCGAAGATTAAGTCCATGGTGCGGCTGAACGGAACGAAGATGCCGACGAGACCGGTCATGACTGCGAAAACCAGGTCAGGCAGTTAACTACGGTGCAATAGGGCTATGCTTACAGAGTGCGAACAGGCCAACGAACAACCAGGATCCCATCCCGGAGAAGTCGTACTACGCCGCAGTTAGTTACATCGCCTCGACATATATCGAACGCGCTTACCTTGGACTGCATAGTGAATAGGGTTAGGCCCAGGAAGACGCCAACCGTGATAAGCCTGAAGACGATAGTCAGTAGGTTCAATATAGCACCACTGAGTTCAAGACTCACAGAGCTTGAAGCACGATCGTAGTGTCGAAGAACGCCGTCATGACACCAAGGGTGAATGCTTCAAGGAGCGTGAACGTAGACAATAGGACGAGGTTGAACGGGTGACTGTGTCTCTTCCAGAACAACAGTCCCAGGTTGACGAGTGTGCCCAGTAGAGGCAGGTAGAGTGACCAGGTACTGCGCACAGATATGAGAGGGGTCCCCATCCCAAATCTAATGGCACGTACTGCGTCTGTACCCAAAAGATCGTGCTGTCCGACCTAGAGATGAATCCGGCCACAATCGTCGTCGCCAGCTGCGCGTTTGGTAAGTATCAGAGGGTCAAGGGTACGGGAATAAACCCACAATCTGGCAGACTAACCCACAACACGTTAGCAAGTACTGCGCCAAACGGAGAAAACAGGCACATGGCTTACAGAGGATAGTGTACACCTTCCGTACGAACGCATTTCTGATGGACAGTGCGCACTCCGAGACCGTGGTTCCGTACTGCCGTGCAGTATGTTAGAAAAAGTCGTCCTGAGAGTACCAGTACGCACCTTGAAATCATCTGGGACGTCTCCGAGTTCAGGCTGGTTGTAGATGCCTCCTGCGGACGAGGTGCCTGCGACCGGGCTGCCCAGGAGGGGCTGGGCGGCCTCCTCGTCGCGCGGGAGACCAGAGAGCTTTCCAGCGGGGGCGGAGTAGGGCGGCGGGGGGTTGCTGTAGGACATGGTGGTTGAGAACAAGAAGGCGATGAAAGAGTAGCGAGCTGCGGGCACTCAAGAGACGAGCAGTTACCGCGGCCGTGACGTCCTTCCGGGGGGATCTAGAAGGCCACGTGCGCGGCACTGCTTTCCGTGTATCTCACCCCTGTCCTCGGCCGGGGTTAGGGTTGCGCTCGTCAACTGGCTGCCGGAGCACGCAAAGCTGATTGCAGCGAACCCTCGGGCTTCGCGCAAGCCTGTCGCAGCCCAACATGTTGCGCACTTGCTGACTAGGCCCGATAGACCCTGTTTGCTTCCTAACGCCATCTCCGCTCTCCCATGGCGGTGGACCCATAAATGCCCCGCTAGTTTCACCAGAAACTCGCTATCTCACCCCTTCCACCAGGCCGCCATGACTGTCCACTCGTCGCCACACCGCCGCAATGTCTCGAGGGCAGCCCCGGACTCGGCGGAGAATGACTCTGTCATCGCGAAGCAGAGAAGCAGGCCAACCCCGCTGCCCAAGGCCCAGCTCGCCATTATATACGCCATTAAACTTACGCTTCCCATCGCAAACACCCAAACGATGCCCTACTACAATATCCTCATAGAGAAGCTGGCAGCCTCTGAAGGTGCAGAGACAGGCTACTACAGCGGTCTCGCAGTAAGTGCTAGCACCTAAATGGAGTGCTACTCTGATACAACGGCGGCGCGTCCCATAGCACAGTGCCTTCGCTATCGCGGGGTTCATCAGCATGTTCTTCTGGGGGCGTGTCTCCGGTAATCTCAACGGCTCTTCTTAAAAATGCATCCGACTGACCGATGATGTTCTCAGATAGGTGGGGTCGTGTACCCGTCATCTTCTTGGGCACCGCGGGGACCGCAGTCTTCACGCTGCTTTTTGGACTATCCACGACCTTCAGCTCGGTGCTCATCAATCGCATGCTAGGTACGGGTCCTTACTAATGTCCCCGAGCGGTCCTTCATAAATACCGCGCGTCTTTCTTCGACTCTGGCTGGACTTGCTGCAGGGAAGCTACTCTCGGATGTACTCTCCCTGGAAGAGCGCCTCTTGTTCTGCATCAACCATGCTAGTGGTCTCAAACTGACCGACTTCTCTACAGCGGGATTCTTCCACAGCATCACCGGCGCTATCCACTCCGTGGTCGGGGAACTCTCCGACGAGACGAATCAGTCAACCGCATTCCCGCTCTACGACATCGTCTCGGCGCTCGGATTCGTTATTGGGTCAGAAATTGCGCCACTCCCCGCGTACCCGAGTATATGCACTAACGCCATCCGCAGCCCCCTGATCGGAGGGACATTCGCCGATCCCGCGAAAGAGTGGCCAGACGTGTTTACGAACCCGCTCTGGAAGACGTACCCGTACCTCCTCCCATGCCTCATCACCACCGGTGTCTCGACTGTCGCCGCCCTGCTCTCCGCGTTCGCCCTCCAAGAGGTATGTATCACCACTTTTACCCCTCCACGCTATTCTCACCTAGGGTCCTGCACAGACCCTGCCCGGAAAGCGCAAGAACAAGTCCCCTGTGCTCGAGGAAGAGCCCCTGCTCGGGCCCGAGTCCTCCGCGACGGTGATTGACGTTCCACCGACGCTCGAGGACCTGCAGCCGCTCAGCGTGCGCCACCTGCTCTCGATCCCCGTCCTCCGCGCGGTCATCGCGTCCAGCGGCGCGCTCGGGCTCGCCGGCTCCTGCTTCACCAACATCTTCGTCCTCATGGCGTACACGCCCATTCGCCAGGGCGGGCTCGCCTTCTCCGTACGTCCGCCCCTTCTACCCTCCCTTCTACCCTAGTTTTCCCCGCACACCCATAGCTGACGTGCACATACTCCTTGCCTACAGCCCGCTCAAATCGGACGCGCGATCTCGAGCATGGGCGCGGTGTCGATCCTGCTCAAACTCTGCATGCCGAAGCTCCTGCGGCGCTTCGGCACGCTCGGCATGTTCGACTTCGCCATGCTCGCCTGGATGGCGACGTTCGCCGCCATGCCCCTCGCGTCGCTCGTCGCGCAGAGCGCGGCCGCCGCGGGCGTGCCGCTGCTGCGCGAGGCGTCGACGCGTGAGTGGGTCGCCGTCGCGGTACCGCTGTTCCTCTCGCGCTTGGGGTGTCTTGCGTTTTCGTGCGTCTTTCATCTTGGTCTCTTGAGGTTGGAGGGGTTGGTGCTGACGGGGTGTGTGTAGGATTATCATGATCCTTACGAGGGACCACGCGCCCGGCTCCGCGTCGCTGGGCACCGCGAACGGGCTTGCGGAGCTCGCGCAGTCGCTCGCGAGCACGGTCGGGCCGACATTCGCGAGCTCGCTCTTCGCGGTCTCCGCGTCGAAGCATCTCCTAGGTGGACACCTCTGGGTCTTGTTCATGTTATTACTCTCCGTGTTCAACTGCTGGGTCGCGCGACGCATCCGGCATTATCGCGACTGAGCGGCGGGACGGTGTTGTGATGTATGGTCTGAGTCTCTGCCTGCGAGCGGGTTCCACGGGACATTCTGGATAGCTATGGATGTAGTGTATGTACTTTTTGCGCCCCTGTATAGATATACCCACACTGCTATGAACACCCTGGACGTCTCCCTTAGCCGCCTCATTAAGGGGGGTTCTGGTACAGCGGCTGCGGGACCTGGAACAGCGTCTCCGAGTCCGGCAGGCCCTCGTATACTTCGCGGACGTGGACGGTCATCGGGTCCATGAGGGTGCGCAGCGTCGACATGAGCGCGCTCGCGGTCATCTGCAGGCTCCACGTCCCGACCGCGCGCATGCGCCGGTTGAAGTTCGCCTGCGTGACGTGGTACGCCATCGCTTCGTATACCTGTGCACAGAGCGGGTTAGATGCAATATTTGGGAGGGTCGCTTGGGTTTAAGCGTACCTTAACAGAGATGGCGTCGATGAGCCCGGCTAAGAGATGATTAGTATCACGGTGAGAATATGAAAAAGATCGCGGCTCACTCTCCCACATCTAGATAAATCGCGTTATAAGCACAAGCATTACACGACACAGAGCAGACCACGTACCGTCCAAGCGCCATCGAAGTTGTCAAGGTCCTTTATTACCCGACACTGGATGGGAACGAGTGTCCGGTTGGCACTGTAGCCCATAGTCAGTACGAAGGGCAATCTTAATAGGTAGTATGCACGCACTTCATGAAGGCCACGATCGGCCTAACCAGCGCGCTATTCACGTAGCTCAAGTCCGGGGTGAATAACGGGACCGCCGCCTTCAAGTCCCTAAAGCGCAAGTCGATGTCGACCACCACCTTCGGTACATCGTCGTCATTGCCCTCGCTCACGTCGGAGGGCGCGCTGAGGGGCGGCTTCGCGAGCTGCGGCTGTCCGGGGATGCGCTCGATGTTCGCCGTGACCGATGACGCGGCGGTCTGTAGCGCGTCCGCGAGCTCGCCGAGGAGCGCATTGAACCCGGGCTCGTCGGGGGCGTCGCGCGGGAACTTGATGTCAAGCACCGCGTCGACCTTGCCCGAGGTGATCCAGGAGAAGGGGCCGTCCTGCGTCGTCATGCTCTGCAGGTGGTCGATGTTCAAGCCGTCCATGCGGAAGCGGGACTGTCGTGAGGCGTCAGCACACACTCGAGTAAGAGGGAGAGGGATGAATCTGACCATACGACTCCACTTCCCGTCCTTGAGGTCCTGGTCGGTCGTACGCCCGATGCTCTGTGGACGGTGAAGGCTGAAGAGGCAGTTATCGAATTGGCCCACAACGTTCTCCGCACACAGGAAGTCGTAGAAAAGCCACTGTTTCCGGAACGTGCGGATGTCCGCGCGGAAGATCGACGCGGTGTAAGGGCGGAAGTTGCCTGGCTGGTAAACGGTGATTAACACGTCCTCAAGCTGTAGCGATTCGAGCTCGAAGTCGCCAGGGTGTCCCTTGTGTCGGAAGGCGGCGGGGTCGAGAGGGTGGTCAGGGTCCCACCATACCGAGCGGCGGTCTGGAAGCGGTTAGAGCATGGTTCGGTGAGCGATACAGAGAGCAACATACCAAGCACGCCGCGGACACCCTTGATAACGGCATCCTCGACAAGACCCTTGCCGTCAAACCAGCGAGCGAATGAGAGCGTCACGTCGATCGAATCCACGTTCAGGTCGAACATGGAGTAGTTGACATCGTCGTCAGAGTGGTCATCTTGACCCTCATCTTCCTCTTCGATGGTGCTGTGGTAGGATGGATGGTTGCTGACATCGTAGCCAGCTGCAACATAATGCCCGGAGCTGTCGAGCCTGCGCCTGTAGTTGTCGGGGCGCCGCGTGATGAAGACATTCTTGAAGGAGATGCGCGAGTCTCCCCATTTTGGGACAATGGCGGACTCGAAGATGATAGTGATGCCGGTCTCTGCAGTCAGGTAGTCGCTCAGGGCTCGTGCGATGTATTCTTGTAGCCGTAGGCTGTTGGCGGTTGCGAACACCACAGAGAAGAACGTAGTACTGCACCGAAGGTCAGTAACAGGTTGATTCAGAGAGCAGAGTCCACTCACGTTCCCACAAACAGCCAGAGCGTCTGGCTCATGAGGAACCAAGTGAAGAAGGCGGAGAGCTCATCCGCGTTATACCGTCGGAAGGAGCGTATAGTGAGCCATCGAACTCGGACGCGAAGTCGTTGCCAGAAGCCGTCTGCAGCCTTGAGGAAGTCGTCGCGGGTAGGTCGTTGTAGATGGGGTATCGATTGTGCCAGCCGGCGGAAGAAGCGGGGATAGTTCTCGAGATTGGTGCTCTCACCGGCATCCTTCGGTGTAGGACCCTCCTTCTCCTTCGCGCCATCCTGTCCTTCGTTACTTGACCGGCCTTGGCGGAGCGGCGTGTTTTGAGAGAACTGGCGTATGACCACGCGCGCCCTCAGTGAGTACGCGTGGTAGAGGTGGGTGCCAAAGGGGTGCGACGCCGTGAATGGAGGCGAAACATGTTGTTGCCTGAAGAAATTGCGGATGGTGGAGTAGCGATCGACGGTAGCCTTGCGACCAGAGTGTTGCAGCAGCAGCCGCTTCATGCCCTGCATGGCGCGGGTATCAACAGGAGGACATGGAATGGGATGAGGAGGAGGGATCTGCGCTCACACGAGCAGGGAGTCGCGAGGAGTCGGAGTCGCTGCAACTTCTCGCGAATCCGGAAATTCCTGCCCTGCACGTGACGCTCGATCGCGACGCGTCGTGGGTTCCTGCCATCGCGTCGGGCACCGGCGCAGCGTCTCTCGGGCACGCTGCCAACCATGACGGGAATACCGCAGGGTTGCCTGGCGACGACGTTCCCCGCACCCCGCTTGTTGTCCTCTTACCACCACCACCACCATGTCACTTACTGACCGCGCCCTCGAAGTCGGCTACAAGCTCCTCGACAAGGTACCGCTCTGCCGCCGCTTTGGGGTCGTCGTCCAGTTTCTGAGAGCGATTCTATCTGCCAGGGTGCTGTTCCAGACTTTATACTCAGACCGGTCATCCGTGCGCTGTGTCGGCAACGACTCAGAGAGATAGACCTCGGCTCCTTCGAGGCCAACTATGCAGCCAAGATGAAGTGGATAGAGGGCGTCCGCGCTAGAACCAAGATTGCGGACCTGACGGAGAAGGCCAACGAGCAGCATTATGAGGTATGTCGTATGAGTGGGTAAGGTAATACATTAACCAATGACATCTGCTAGGTCTCTACCTTGTTCATGCTCTCGTGCCTCGGCCCCTATGCGAAGTACTCGTGCTGTCTGTATCCCACCGGAAAGGAGACATTGGAAGAGGCCGAGATTTTGATGCTCGAAAGCTACTGCGAGAAGGCGCAGTTGAGGGACGGACTAGAGATACTCGACCTTGGCTGCGGTATGCGTCGCGCTCTCGTCTTGAATTTCACGAACTGAAGCTCCAAACTCAGGGTGGGGCAGTTTATCCCTATATTTGGCGCAGGTAGATTTATGACGTGCTGCGCCTAACATCTCTGTTCGCTCATATGCGTTTCGCAGAAATACCCAGGGTCGAAGATTACTGGGCTATCGAACTCATCCACCCAAAAGACACACATAGACAACGCTGCGAAGGCTCGTGGCCTCACGAATTTGGAGGTAGACGCCTCGCCGTCATATCTACTTCAAAGGGCTGACCCGCGCGTCAGATCATCACCGCCGATGTTAACGTCCATGACTTCCACGGCACACGGCAGTCAGTCCTCTTCCCAAGATGTCAGGCGCGCTTCTGACCAGATTCTTGCAGCTTTGACCGCATCTTGTCTATCGAGGTATGGCACAAACTGGATGCTACTATAAATGTCGAAAACCATCTCATATATGCCCTTAGATGTTCGAACATATGAAGAACTACAAGCTTCTCATGTCGAAGGTCTCATCTTGGTTACGTCCGAACAGCCCCGACGAGTCCTTGTTCTTCGTGCACATATTCTGCCACAAGACGACGCCCTACCACTTCGAGGAAGGCGACGGCTGGATGGCGCAGACGTTCTTCTCGGGTCAGAACCCACCCTCATGCATACGTTGTCTCCTCGGGTGCTAACTGCTCACGTACAGGCGGCACAATGCCTTCACACGACCTGCTTGTACGTCTCTACCGACTCTCGATATGTGTGAACACTCGCTTACCTGCGACTTAGCTGTACTTCCAAGACGACTTGACGCACATCCGCAGCTGGTATATCAACGGGAAGCACTACGCACAGACCAGCGAGGACTGGCTCCGCCGGCAGGACGCAAACGCGAAAGCGGGGCTCGCGGAGCTCGAGAAGGATGCCGTCTACAAGGGACTCGATAAGGAGGAGGGCCGGAAGGCCTTCTACAGGTACGCGTCGTACTCCTCGCGTGTCTTTCGGAGGTGCTTATATGGAGCCAGGTTCCGGGTCTTCTACCTCGCTGTGGCGGAGTTCTTCGCCCTCCACGATGGGCAGGAGTAAGTTGATCTCCGTCCGGTTCAGAGCGTACGCTGAACGAACTCACAGGTGGGGGGTTGGGCACTACTTGTTCAAGCGCAAATCATGATGCTCCGTCCATGTATCTTAGCTGCCAGTGGATATACTGATGCGTTCGATGTTCCAGCCGACACCGCTGCGTCGATACGGGACTATCAATCCTAGAAGCGCCCGACCGGCGAGCCCGTATTCTTCGGTACACTCTGTTCCTGCCGAACGCCTCTGGCATCGGGGGTTGGAACCCCTTGGTCTAAGGTCGACGTCCCCGGCCTCCTGCTACCCGCCGGATGTGTATGGAATATGTGCACATGACCACCGTTGACTTCGGCAATTTTGTGGCCCACGTCAAGCGTTGCAAGTCGCCGTCGGGACCATCGGTCTACGTCTGTCTGTCTACGTGTAGCAAACCTAGCCTGCTGCGAGCAACGTGCGGCCTGTCACTGGACTGGCACTCCAACCATCAATGCAAGGTATAAAAGCGGCCGCGTGAAGGGCCTGTCCACACGGTAGCGACCTGTGCTCTCGTACTCGACCAACACCTTGCCTCTACTCTGAAGCGTTGACTTTTACAGAATGGCTCACCGTGTTACGTCCGGCGTTATAGGCACGGACAGGAAGGGGGCCTCTGTGTTCAATCGGCGCGAGATTGTCCCCTTCATGGCCGACGTGAAGCAGTTCTCGCTCTTCGTGCAGGCGTTATGTGAGTACCCCCATGCTAGAGTCGATCACCTCAGCCCTGATATCCATGTCCCTTAGTGCATATGATGACCACAGTGGACTCCAACTCGAACTTGTCGTTCTTCCAGATAGCTGGCATCCACGGCGCTCCATACATTCCTTACGACGGGGCCGGCGTACAGCACGTCGAGCCCACACCAGAATTCTTGGGTTACTGCTCGCATGGCTCCGTCCTGTTTCCGACCTGGCACAGGCCCTACATGGCGCTGATTGAGGTCTGTAGCCCTCGATCGTCTCTATTCCAGACGTTGCACTTCGACCGCTGACGTCCTCGATAGCAAGAACTGCAACGTGTGGCGCTCGACATCGCCCAGAGGTACACCAACTTCAAGCCAGACTGGGTCGACGCAGCCATACAGCTCCGTTTTCCGTACTGGGACTGGTCCAGCACCGCACGGCCTCCACGAGAGCTTTACACCCAGCCGCAACTCACCGTCGCGCTCCCGCCGCTGGGCAATTCGGGTGCGATCGACAATCCCTTTCTGCCGTACAGGTTCCAGCAGAAACCTGCCGACTTCCCGAACCCGTTTGTTATGCCGGCCTGGAACTCGGTCACACACCGGTGGGGCAAGGCGAACGCCAGCACTGGCGTGGTAGAAGACGTCATCGTGCGTCTGCATCGAGATGAGCCGAGCGTTCGATGTGCTCCCGGGCGGTGCGGACGGTGCGGACTCCCGGGGCTGGAGGCTGGAGAATGAATTCGTAAGTATGGGAGGGTGGTGAGTGGTACTAGGTCAGTGAGTACTAGTTTGCGGTGTCGGTTGGCGGTGGCAGACGGTGGGAGGGCAGTTGAGGTCGGCGGGCACACGTGGAGAGCGTTGCAAAGGTGTACATATCATAGATACACCGTTGATGAATGTATATTAAGTGCGCTGAACATGCAGTGTGGATATACGGGGTCAAAGGATCGTGAAGGTAGATACCCGGCACCTCGCGTGCTGCCGACTCGGACACCCACCCCGTCTTTGTGTTCGCCCGAGCATACGGCCATAGCTAACCTCTCCGCGTCTGTTCTTGCGGCGCAGTAGCTATGCTAGCCAAACCGCCTCTTCCGCACGTACCACTGGACTCCGGCCTCGTATTTTAATCCGAATTCTGCCACAAGCGACGTCATTCCAGGCGGAAACGAGCATCCCCGTTGCGGGCCCACACACCTGGAAATATACCAAAAGTGAACACGCGGGCGGTAGAGCCACACCGCGCGGCCGCGTAAGAATGGCGATGCACCATCGAGCGACCCGGAGACACCATCTGCCACCGTCTGCCAGTCGCACCGTCACGGCAGAATTGTGCACGCGCGCATCGCATTACGTGAGGTCAGTGCAATGCCAGACAGTGTGTAGGCTTCCGTTCGTGCCGCGCGCCGGGACCGCGCACCCACCCCGCCCCAACGGACTAGCTTGCGCGTGACAGAGAGTGCAAGGAGACCCAGAAGTTAGAATTCCTGAGTGGGTGCCTAGAGGCATAACGGGACGTCCGGCCAGGGAGCACCTGCGTGTTGTACCGACCCTGGACGAGAGCCCGCTGTGGTAAGCGGCGAAGGGCGTGCGGGAGGTGCCTGCGGGTTCGCCTGCGAGCTGGCGTCGCTCCCGGGGGCGGGATGGGGTCGGGACGACAGCGGGAAACCGGACTCTAGGCTCGGAGCGTGTCGGTGAGTGCAGGCGGCTGTCACAGTCCTTGAATCAGCTGGCGAATACGGTAGAGGGCTCAATACACACCCTATCATCTTTCGCAGATAACTTCCCCCTAGGTCGAGCGAACGAACCTATGTCGCGGGCCGTGTTGCGTGCGGACTCTCAAGAACACTGCAGGCTGAGGACTCACCGTGTTAGTGGAGACACATGCACAGCGCGGCACCCACCAATATTTAGCACTGCCACACGAAGCACCCGCTCGAACACCGAGCTGCCGCTACTGGAGTGGTCGCGTGCTGACTGTTCCTCGCGAGGCGGGCCCAGAGAAGACGACCGTCATGGGAATGAGGAGGGAGCAAAAACGGGGTGCCAACAGCTGACGCAGTCGTACAAACCACCTGTAGATAGCACGAGGTGTATGGGGGCGAGGCCGGGTCGAGCTGGAGCAAGACAGGAAACGGCGGGGAGGGGGTATCGGCGACCAGGATGATTTGCGCGCTTTAAAGCCTTATATACCGTGTCCATGTCAGCGTGCGAGCGCTCCAGATCCGAGATCTGTCGGCGGAGGGGTGCCCAGTTCAGATTGGGGGAATTCGCTTCCCTCCCAATCAAGTCGTGTTTTCCCTCGCGCACCATCGACACTTTGTCAAATCTACAGACGTGTCATCTTTGATACATTACACACACGACTTGCACATACCATTATCTTAGAAATCCCTGTCAGATTTCGCTGCATGTCGATGCCCGCCCGGCTCGAGCGTAGTGGATCGCCATGGACGCTTGCACATCAGCCATACATTACGACAGCCTAAATCACGCCCTGATAGTAAATCAGAGACCTTGCATTGCGTGCGCGCAAGCGAGTTTCCTCCGTGGCAGGCTGAGCGTGTGGTGAGGGAACAGAACGAAGGAACGATCAGCAAGCGCCCACGTCCGGCCGCTCCTCCTGAATGGGAAAGAGGCCTCGTCTGAGACGCCCACCACTGCGATCTCCAAACCTTCGTCTCGACGCCCTCCCCACACACTCCCAACGGACGCAGGACCCAACATCGCTCAAGGATTCCAATTAATTGTGAATACAATACGCAATGCGAGCACAATAACTACGAATACGCTCACGCCAGCCTCCAAGCAGGTAAGTATGAGCACTGATCCCACTCCGAGCCTGACCCTTCCTCCGCTCCAGGCTACAAACCCATCGCAATGTCCGAGAGACGCATGGTGCCGCTCGGGCGGCCGTTGGACTCGAATGGAGAACAGGCAAACAAGGCGAACAAGCTGCCTTCCGTGTCACTGGCAGGCCAGAATGCCGGGATCGGCTCATCGAAGATATAGAACTCCCCGTGCTCCGCCGCAGGCTGCCCGAAGTCGTCCTCGACGTCAGAGTCGACGATGAACGGCTTGCTCTTGACGCCCTCCTTTGGCAAAGGGTTCTTGCGGACATATGGCCCCGTGAGGTCTCGGCCGCGAGGCTTCTTCGTGTCCATACGCTGCTGGCGCTGGTGTTCGCCGAGAGCGGCCGCGGGCGCTGGCTGGGGCAAGGTCAAATGCTCACAGATGGTGCTTGGGCTACCTGGGTCGTCGGCGAGCGGGGAGACGTTGACGGAGTCGTTCAAAGAAGGCGCGGCCGCGGCCGGCGATGGACGCGCCTTCTTCCTCGCAGCACCCGGGCGGACCGCGCTCGGGTTGCGTCTTGCAATCTCGATGTCCTCGGGGGTCGCACGCTCGAACCTCAGAACGCCCTTCCGCCAGCGACGGAGCAGCGTGCACAGCGCCGTGTTCCCTCCCCGGATGCTGTTGAAGTCCGTGAACGGAATCTTCTTCGGCCATCCGCACAGCTTCCACCCGTCTCTGATGACGGTGTTCTTTGCGTATAGCTTCTCCGAATAGCTGAGGTTCGCGTCGTCAATGCCGGTGAGTCTGCCTAGCATCATCGTGAGCAGCTGGACGGTGGAAAGAGCGTGCCATTGGCACTCACGAAACTCGCCGATGACTTCGGTACGGAGCTCCATGCGCAAGCCATCGCGAGTGGTCGGAAAAGCAGACTCGGGCTCTAGGGCGGTGTAGGGTTGGAGAGGCAAGAACGTCACGGTGGGGGGCTCCTCCGGGAAGACGGAGGGCGGGGAAGGCGGCACGTCGGGCAGTTCGGGGGAAGCCATGGCGGTCCGAATGTCAGCGGTCATAGTCTTATGGGCATATGCTCAACACCGCGGAGATGGGTGAGTATTTCACACTCTCCCTGTTGTGCAAATAGCACTGATATTCTTTTTCAGGTTGCTACATCTGGGTGCGTGAGAACCGGTTCCCCTCCGACGCGAAGAGGAAAAACAGTGAGCTCTTGCCCCGCGCCCAAATCTGGCGATATTTTTGCTAATCTAGCCCGCGATGACCTCCCCATGCGATACTGTACTGCTGACTTTGCGAGCAGCTACTCAGTATCTCCCGCCCTTGCTTGCCATCCTCGTCGACTACGGATGTGCAGGACCCGTGTGCGTATTCTTAGATACACAAGGAATGGCCGCGCTCACTACTTCATTTTGCCAGCCGCATAATATCCACTAGCCCGAGTTGTGCGTGTCACACCGTCGGAGCTTTGGTAGGCGAGGATCAGACTTCTGTCGCACCTGGACCTTGTTTGGAAGTCGAGAGCGCATCGTTTCAATACAGGAAAGCCTCTTCCGCATCGTACCATCCGGGAAGGGCAGATGGCACGCTCTTCGGCACGACACTCGTGAATGCCACATCTCAGGTAAGCAGCAGATTTCTGTTGATGCGCACGGCATGCACCGTATTCCTTTCATGCTAAGCTCTGTGCGGGTGTGGAAAGGGCGGGAAGTTCGCACCTTGTGCAGGGGCGAATTCTCATGCGTCTCCGCCCATAATCTGCTCTGCTCTTCCAGTGACTATGGCCACTCCGGCTCGTAGCACATATCATGCGGCGCGAACCGAAACTCGGTGCCCAGACTCTCTCGTAAGGTTCCTGGCCATACTTGCCATCACGTCTCGCTTGTACACAGCACCTCCGAATTCGCTCCGAGTCGAGCCCGCTCGAGCATACTAACGGTCTTTCCCGCGTCATTCCCATCGATTCCATACAGCCCCTCGCAATGTACAACAGGCACACCCTCACCGAGACGACATATACACGCTAGCAGGGCTCTGTAGACCATCGGGGCTCGGATTCTACTGCAAGAAACACCGTCGCACTGCGGCCTGCACCAAGGTAAGTTCACGTACTTCTTAAGCTCGCACCTGTCATGCTGATCGGCTCGGTACAAAGGCTGCACGAAGAAATCTTTCGAGGTTGCCAACGAGGCTGTCATGTATGGCACATCGCACTTGTCATCCATTTGATGACCCCGCCTGAGCTGTATGGTGTTTACCCTGCAGGACCTCCATCGCGGTGTGGTCTCTCTCATCTCTCACCCAACACACTCGAGGAGCCCACACAGGCGCGGCCGCGTGCGTTCTTGCGGAGATCACGGCCGCCGATCCGTGAACGCCACCGGGGGACCCGCATGCTTGGAACCATACATACGGGTTGCAAGGCACATTCCTCGGGCCCGTTAGATGTTCAGCGCCCCCGGCAGAGCGGGCACGAGGCGTCCCAAGCGCTGGGTCCCTCCATATCGCGAGGACCGCGGACGCGAACGATGTACGGCAACAGCTCAACCAAAACTGTCAGCCAAGCTCCTGCCCCGGGAGTTCGTGTCGGCTTCTTCCGTCCTGCGCGGCTCTATCCTCGCGTGAGCGGGTTATGTCCGCCTTGGGCAGACGTGAGGCGCCGGCAGTTGTGGGTCCAGCCCGCAGGAATGCACGTTCCCACCAAGCGGTCCCCCTCAAACGCGTGCCCAAATCCTTGTGCAGCGCGGCAGTAGCGTCTACGCGGGAACGGGAACGTGCTGCCAGTGGTCTATTGGAGCACATACTCATATCAGGGTCAGCGCGCGTCTTCGAGATGAGCTAGGCCGCGCTCATTGTGGGGCACGCCATGTTCTTCGCTTCCGCCGGCGAAACCCTCGTCATACGGTACGGCATTTCCCCCGTTCGCACAGGTTCATTTCTTTTAATTCTCACCGACGTCTCCGATATCATTATAGGCTGCTGCTGGCAGACACGTTGCGGGGATGTGATCCCGTAGCGTCAATGTCCGACATCGGCGGGAGCGACGGCGGTGGGCGGACGTGCAACTCAAGCAGCACAATGCGCGAGGCCTATGCAACTGTCGTCGTAGAGGGCCACAGGCGGAGGCCGCGTCCTGCAGTGTGTGTGCAGGATCCATACATGAACTCAGTTGGTCTGTAAAATATATCTTATCGTAGGCACATTGTCTGCAACGTCTAGACGAGGTGCTATCGTCGCGGACGACACTGCGGCTGGTCTGAAACATGCGCATCGGTGCGGGGAAGCACGTCTATGTGTTTGCGAAGCTTTTAGGGGTGGTATCGGATCGAGGGGGATAACACCTTGGCGGGTTATGCCCCACAGCGTGGGCGCAATATAGTAATGGCCGCGAACCTTATGGTGAGGAGCGCGCAGGACCCCGTGTCGCGTTCCCAACGCGTACACAGTGTATTCATATCTCAGGGATATGATATCTTCGCACTGGCATGCGCAGTCCCAATGCACACCCAGGCTTCGAGCTTCTGCACGCGGTGACTCAATTTAGATGTCCACAAGTCGGATTTTCAAGGAGACCTCGGGATGCATTGTCAAAGGTCAACCGAGCATGCGGTGCATGTGTGGAGCATGGTTCGCAGATCCCCATGTCGTGTTCTACACGTATACGAAGTGTTTACATGTTCAGAACCGTGTAAATTAGCACCAAACTCAGACGCGGCCCCAAGGTTCCCCTCGTACAAACTGCAGATCGTCGAAATGCAACTTTGCCAGCGCGCGCACTCGAGCGTGGTAGAGCGCGGTCGCAGTCGTTCGCTCGCGCATGTGTGCGAAAGCGCGTCGCGCGAGGAGGCCAAACGAGGCCGTCGCGCACATTCTCGGTCGCTGCCCCGTCGCTGCGAATGCAAAACGTCGGATAGGATATGACCATTTTGTGCTCAGATTGGGCTGGAACTCACCGAGCACGTGCGTAATGGTGCACTGTTCGCGTGGTTGCGTTTCCGAGGGCTCCCGGTGCCGTCGCGGGAGGGGAAGCAATGGTTTGGTATAATTCTGGGGACGCTCCTGACGAGCACAGCGCGAGCGCGGGTGCAGCATCGACCGAGTACCTTGTGCGCATGCGCAGTGCATGCCGTACGTCCACGCACCTCGTTCTAGACTGTCAAGAGTGTCTCAGCACTTTGCATGAGATATGTTCGCACGAACGTACCTCCAGATCCAGCGCTAAGGGTCCCCCCTTACGAATTCGCCGAGAGGCATGTTCTCTCCGCGCGCACTCAAGCGTAGCGAGCGTGCGTCGGAGACGTCCACTCGAGCGTGTTCGCGAAAGCGCGCGGCGGGAAGATGCAAACAGAGGTCGCGACGCGCATTTTCCTACGTCCTGCTGGCTCCGCCCATGAAATCGACGATAACGAGGCAAATACTTTGTCCTCAGATCGCGCTGAAACTCACCGAGCTCACGCAATTTGGTGCACTGAGTGTGCGTCTGCGATTTCGAGGGCACCCGAAACGGGAGTGGACGGGAATCGACGTTTTTGCGGGATTTTGAGCATGCTTCCCAGCGAGAATAGTGCCGGTGCGAGTACGACGACGACCGAGCATCGTGCCCGCGCAGGTATCGCGTGCTGCACATCTATACGCAGCGTTCTAGATAGATAAGACGTCATCAACACTTTGAATGCGAGTTGTATTCACACAGACGCACCTCTAACCCGTCGCTAAGGGTCCCCCCTTTCGAAATAGTCGAGCGGAAATGTATGTCTCCGCGGACATCCGAGCGTGTGAGCGCGTGTAGCGGACGTACATCCGAGCGCGTTCGTGGAAGCACGCCGCGGGAGGATGAAAATACGGGCCAGGACGCGCATTTTTCTGTGCTCTGCTGGTTCTGCCCATGAAATCACCGACAACGAGGTCAACATTTTGTTCTCGGATCGTGCTGGTACTCACCGAGCGCATGCAACCCGGCTCGCGGAGCATGTGGGTGCGTTTTGGAAGGCTCCCGATGCAGGGCCCGGCGGCGAAGCGATGTTTTGTCATGATTCTGGGCAGTCTTTCTCATTGACACAGCGCCCAGTCGAGTACAGCGAGGACTGAGAACCCCGTACGCGTGTGTATCGCATGCTGTATGTCCCTGCGCCGCGTTCTAGATTGTTTGTAGCGTCTCAATGCGTGGAGTGCAAGCTATATAAGTACAGACGTACCTCCAGACCCGGCGCCAAGGGTCCCCCCTTTCGAAATCGTCGAGCAGAAACTTATTTCTCCGGGAACATGCAGGCGTGTAGACGCATGTAGCGGGCGCACATCCGAGTTCGTTGGCAGAAGAACGCGGCGGGAGGATGAAAATACGGGCCAGGACGCGCATTTCTCTGTGTTCTGCTGGTCCTGTCCATGAAATCACCGGCAACAACGTCAACATTTTGTCCTCGGATAGCACTAATACTCACAGAGCGTGCGTGGACTGGTTCACGGAGCGCATAGGTGCGTTTTGGACGGCCCCGGATGCAGAACCCGGCGGAGAAGCGATGTTTTGGCGGAATTCAGGGGAGGCTCCACCATTGGCACAGCTCCTGGACGAGTACAGCGACGATCGAGCGCCGCGAACGCATGTGGATCGCATGCTGCACGTCCATACGCCGCGTTCTAGATGGTAGACATCGCTTCAATACATGGAGCACGAAATATATACGCACAGACGCACCTCCGGGCCACACCCCAAGGGTCCCCCCTTACGAAATCGTCGACGGGCAACTTTTCTCGTCGCACACATCCAAGCGCAGCGGGGGCCCATCACAGACATATGCGCGAGCGCGTTCGCGACATCACGCCGCGGGAGGATGCGAACGGAGGCCGGGACGCGCACTTTTCTGCATTCTGCCGGTTCTACCCATGAAAT